GAGAATAGCCTCGGCTTGATTTCGTGATTTGAACCCTCCAAAATCGAAAGAAAATGGCATTTCGGAAAAATCGCCCGAAATCTGTTATGGTACCCCTATTGAATCTTCCAAAAATTAACCTAGAATAGATCAGCCCAAATCGGTGCTTAATGGACTTAATCTTTGTTGAAGAATAGCCTCAGGCCAAATCCGTGATATGCAGCCTTCAAAATGTAAAGAGAATGGCCTTTCGTCGCCAAAAAAAATGACGAAAATGCCATCCGAAAATAAATTAGCACAATCGGTGCTTAATGGACTTATCATCCGTGGGAATAGGATCAATAGACTTCATTATCGGTGGAGAATTGCCTTGGCCTGATTCCGTCATCTGTAGCGTTTAGAATCGAAAGAAATTGCCATTTCGGAAAAATCACCCGAAAATATATGATGGTACCTGTTTGGAATCTGCCAAAAATTGCCCCGGAATAAATCCACCCAAATCGGTGATTAATGGACTTAATAATCGTTGCAGAATAGCCTCAGGCCGAATTCGTGATTTGTAGCCTTCAAAATCCAAAGAAAAGGGCATTTCGTCAACCAAAAAATTACGAAAATGTCATCCGAAAATAAATTGGCCCAAATCGGTGCTTAATGGACTATTCATCTGTGGAGAATAAGATCAATAGACTTCACTATCGTTGGAGAATAGCCTCGGCCTGATTCCGTGATTTGAACCCTCCAGAATCGAAAGAAAATGGCATTTCGGAAAAATCGCCCGAAATATGTGATGGTATCCCTTTGGAAACGGTCAAAAATTGACGCCGAATAAATCCGTCCAAATCGGTGCTTAATGAACTTAAACATCGTTGAAGAATAGCCTCAGTCCGAATATGTGGTTGTAGCATTCAAAATCCACAGAAAATGGCCTTTCGTAGCCTAAAAATTACGAAAATGTCATCCGAAAATAAATTGGGCCAAATCAATGCTTAATGGACTTATCATCCGTGGAGAATAGGATCAATAGACTTCATTATCGGTGGAGAATAGCCTCAGCCTGATTTCGTGATTTGAACCCTCCAGAATTGAAAGAAAATGGCATTTCGGAAAAATTGCCCGAAATCTGTGATGGTACGTACCCCTTTGGAATCTGCCAAAAATTGACCCGGAATAAATCCTCCCAAATCGGTGATTAATGGACTTAATCATCGTTGAAGAATAGCCTCAGACCAAATCCGTGATCTGTAGCCTTCAAAATCCAAAGAAAATGGCCTTTCGTCACCCAAAAACTAACGAAAATGGGTTCCGAAAATAAATTGGCACAAATCGGTGCTTAATGGACTTATCATCCGTGGAGAATAGGATCAATAGACTTCATTATCAATGGAGAATAGTCTAGATCGGCCTGATTTCGTGATCTGAAGCCTCCATAATCGAAATAAAATGGCATTTCTGAAAAATCTCCCGCAATCTGTGATGGTACCCCTTCGGAATCTTCCAAAAATTGACCCTGAATTAATCCACCCAAATCGGTGCTTAGTGGACTTATTCATCGTTGAAGAATAGCCTCAGGCCGAATCCGTGATCTCTAGCCTTCAAAATCCAAAGAAAATGGCCTTTCGTCACCCAAAAAATACGAAAATGTCATCCGAAAATAAATTGGCACAAATTGGTGCTTAATGGACTTATCATCTGTGGAGAATAGGATCAATAGACTTCATTATCGGTGGAGAATAGCCTCGGCCTGATTTCGTGATTCGAACCCTCCAGAATCGAAAGAAAATGGCATGTCAGAAAAATCGCTCGAAATCTGTTATGGTACCCATTTGGAATCTTCCAAAAATTGACCTGGAATAAATCCGCCCAAATTGGTGCTTAATGGACTTAATCTTTCTTGAAGAATAACCTCAGGCCAAATCCGTGATATGCAGCATTCAAAATATAAAGAAAATGGCCTTTCGTCGCCCAAAAAATTACGAAAATAACATCCTAAAATAAATTAGCCCAAATCGGTGCTTAATGGACTGATCATCCGTGGGAATAGGATCAATAGACTTCATTATTGGTGGAGAATAGCCTCGGCGTGATTCCGTGATCTGCAGCCTCCATAATCGAAAGAAATTGACATTTCAGAAAAATCGCGTGAAATCTATGATGGGTACCCCTTTGGAATCTGCCAAAAATTGACCCGGAATAAATCCACTCAAATCTGTGATTAATGGACTTAATCATCGTTGAAGAATAGCCTCAGGCCGAATCCGTGTTTTGTAGCCTTCAAAATCCAAAGAAAATGGCCTTTCGTCACCCAAAAAATTACGAAAATGTCATCCGAAAATAAATTGGTCCAAATCGGTGCTAATGGACTTATCATCTGTGGAGAATAGGATCAATAGACTTCATTATCGATTGAGAATAGCCTCGGCCTGATTCCGTGATCTGAACCCTTCAGAATCGAAAGAAAATGGCATTTCGAAAAAATTACCCGAAATCTATGATTGTACCCCTTTGGAATCGGTCAAAAATTGACCCCGAATAAATCCGCCCAAATCGGTGCTTAATGGACTTAATCATTGTTGAAGAATAGCCTCAGACCAAATCCGTGATTTGTATCCTTCAAAATCCAAAGAAAATGGCATTTTGTCGCCCAAAATTTATGAAAATGCCATTCGAAAATAAATCGGCCCAAATCGGTGCTTAATGGACTTATCATCCGTGGAGAATAGGATCAATAGACTTCATTATCAGTGGAGAATAGCCTCGGCCTGATTCTGTGATCTGCATTTTGGAAAAATCGCCCGAAATATATGATGGTACCCCTTTGGAATCTTCCAAAAATTGACCCAGAATAAATCCGCCCAAATCGCACGAATTCGGCCCGCGGCTATTCTCCACTGATGGTGAAGTCTATGGATCCTATTCTACACCGACGATTAAGTCGATCAAGCAACAATTTGGGCTAATTTGTTTTCTGATGGTATTTTCGTAAATTTTTGGCCTTTTTTTTTACGAAGTGCCATTTTACTTAAATTTTGAAAGCTACAGATCACAGATTTGACCTGAGACTATTCTTCAACGATGATTAAGTAACTTAAACACCGATTTGAGCGGATTTATTCCGGGTCCATTTTTGGCAGATTTCAAAGGGGTACCACACAGATTTCATGCGATTTTTCGAAATGTCATTTTCTTTCGATTTTGAAGGCTACGAATCACGGATTCTGCCCAAGGCTATTCTTCACCGATCATGAAGTCTATGGATCATATTCTCCACTGACTATAAAGTCCATTAAGCAACAATTTGGGGTAATTTATTTTCGGATGACATTTTCGTAATTCTTTTATGGGTTTTTTTTTCGAAGGACCATTTTACTTTGATTTCGAATGCTACAGATCATAGATTCGGCCTGTAACTATTTTTCAACGATGATTAAGTCCCTTATGCATCGATATGGGCGGATTGTTCCAGGTCAATTTTTGGAAGATTGCAAAGGGGTAGCATCACAGATTTCTGGCGATTTTCCAGAATGCTATTTCTTTCGATTTTGAATGCTACGGATCACGGATTCGACCCGAGGCTATTCTCTGCCAATGGTGAAGACTATGGATCCTATTCTCCACAGACGATTAAGTCCATTAAGCAACAATTTGGGGTAATTTTTTTTTTGCTGGCATTATCGTAATTTTTTGGCACTTTTTTTCGTAGGGCTATATTACTTGGATTTTGAAAGCTACAAATCACAGATTCGGCCTGCGAATATTCCGATCAATTTTTGGTAGATTCCAAAGGGGTACCATCACAGATTTCGGGCGATTTTCCCGAAATGTCATTTTCTTTCGATTTTGAAGGCTGTGGATCACGGATTCGGCCCGAGGCTATTCTCCAGCGATGGTGAAGTCTATGGTTCCTATTCTCCACCGACGATTAAGTCCATCAAGCAACAATTTGGGGTATTTCGTTTTCGGATGGCATTTTCGTAATTTTTTTGCGATTTTTTTTCAAAGGGCCATTTTACTTGGATTTCGAAGTCTATGGATCCTATTCTCCTCCCTCTGTTTAATTGGATTGAATTACTGGTAAAGGTTAGTTACTTAGTTGGATTTGGAACTTGGTTCCAACTTCCAATAAATGCAAACGAACACGATTTGGAATTGGGATTGAGATGTTTTATATTTTAGATGTTTTAGATGAATGTCAGGCTAAATCGGGCTAAATCGGGTGACCCATTAACCCATGACCCACTGGCTCAATCGGGTCCAGATCGACCCGCGGGTTGACAATGTACATGGGCAACGGGCTGGGTCGCCCACGGGCTAGCACGGCACGACACGAGCACGTGCACAAAATATATAGGCCGACCTGGCACAAGCACAAATATTTTATGGGTCATGTCGGGTCTAAAGTTCATGGGCACGGGCATGACACGATTTGTTAGTGGACCGTGTCAGGCATAATATTTTTGAGACCTTCTTGAGTATAGTAACGAACATGGCACGAAAAGAATATTTATTTGATAGAAAATAAATATAAAATAATTATAGGTTCAAATATTACAAAATACAAGTACAATAAAAAATATGTGTTGTTATTATAAGTGATCATATAGATATATACCTAATTACTACCATAAATAAAAATGGACGAAGTATTAAATAAAGTCAAATCACACTCGCCATACTTCCAATTTTCTTTTCTCCTTATTTGTCATATTTCTTAAATATTCTATGTTTATACTTTCATTCTTTTTCATTCTTTCTTTTAATTTCTTCCTTTTCATTAAACACGAATATGAGATAGGCATGAACACGATTCAAACCGTGTCCGGGCCCAAGCGTAGCGAAATTAACAAATGGGCTGGTACGGCACGACACGGAAACTAACGGGATGTACCAAACACGATACGAATAAATAAACTGAAGCGTGCCCGTGCCCGTACCAGCCCAAACACGACGCAGCACCCATGTACGGCTGACAACCTAGCCCGCAATACACCATTCCCCATGTACGAGAAACCACGCGAGTTCAATGCCGCCCAAATCCAGTAGGAGGACATCTCGACTCTCGAGTCATTTACCGAGTCAACCACCTTAACTACCACACCAACCCAAGCAATCCGACTTCGAGCAGACTCTACCTCCAATCTCTCGCTCCTCCTTTACCCACCGCCCAAATGTCGAATCCCGACGACGGAGGAATTGGGTATTGGCTGCGATGGCAAGTGGCAATCTGTGCTTTCATCGTTGTCGCCCCTGCAGTGGCGGCCGCTTGTATTATTATCAAGAAATCCAGAGCCGCAGAGACTCTCTACTACAGCGATCTCTGGAAAGCCTGCTGGAGATGCCTCAACCCTCTCTACCTTCTTGTCTTCAGAGCTTTTGCGCTCGTTTGCTTGGCCCCCGTACTTTATGGAGTCGCCTCCGTCGATGGGATCTTCACCTACTATTTCTACACTCAGTAAGCCCCCTTCCCCTTCATTTCTACGAGGAACTTGGGCCCTCCTTCACGCTTCCAAACTGGGAATTTCCATAATTTCTGGAAAAGTGAGACAATTTCGGCATTTCTAGGATGTGGGTTAAGTTGGGCGATTCTGAATTTTGGCTGCTTCTCTCAAATATTTTTCAGGTGGACGTTTACGCTTGTGATGGTCTACTTTGCGGTATGTTGTTGGACCAGAAAGAAACCATTTTCATACATATTGTTCTGCTCATTGAAATGAAAAAATACAAGTTCACTTGTAGTTGGGGACCGTCATTTCTGCATATGGTTGTTACTGGGAATCCCAAAACCAATCACCATCTGGAGCTGGAACCGCTGAAGCCTCTTTGTTTCTTGAGACGGGCTTGGATGATAATGATAAAGGGGGAAGAGGGATTAGAGGAACTGATGAAACAGTACAGTTGAAAGCTGGGTTCTGGGGTTACCTAATGCTCACGGTATATCAGGTGGGGTTTTGAAGTTTTTCTTCTAACTTCTAAGATTATACGAATTGTGCAAATTTTGTGTCACTTCAAGCCTCTTCCTAGCTTTTAGAGTTCGGTTTATGATTATGTATAAAAGGATGCAGAGAACATGCCAATGGCCAAGCTATTTTAACACCTATGGTGTGCTAAGCAACGGTCAAGGCCCCGTTCAACTGATGATATAATCGTGAAAGAATCATACATATTGAAATCGTGATAGAGCCATACTGGATCCTCCAATACTTGGCTACACTGTGAATTAATGTGTATTTGAACTGTCACTTTCGAGTAAATGGATTTGTAATTGGTCTCTGATCTCTTTTCTCCTTCCTGCTTGAGAAGACTTGTGGGGGAGCTGTGATCCTGACTGACATTGTGTTCTGGTGTCTTCTTCTTCCATTTCAATCCGACGAGCATTTTCATCTGGATGTGGTATTTTCACCTTTTTTACCTTAGAAGCCTATCTTCAGTTCCTTCCATCTGACCCTTACTGCTTCTACAAGGAGTTAATTGGAGATTCACTTGTGTTTCTGGCAGTTGATGGGCTGCATCCACTCTCTGAATGTTGCGTTCCTAATCCTTGATACTATCCTCAACAACCTTGTAAGCTCTCCCTTCCTTTTTCCCCCTCCATCTTCATTCCCTTTAGCTTACACACAACTCTGCTTTATAATTCCTGACACCCTCAAATCTAAATAGTATGAAAACACCTCTCATGTTTGGTTTGCAGCCGTTTCCTTGGTTCGGATTTCTATATTTTGTGCTGAGAGCTGTGTCTACATGGTTTTCCAATGGGCGCTTCACATCGGTGGGATTTCAGGGTAATGCTGTAGCTTTAGTTTCTATCTCCTGGCCTAGTTGTACTTCTACTTAATGCACATCTTACACCTTCTCTAATAAGTTATATAATCATTCATTCCACAGGTGGCCATACGAATTCTTGGAGCTCAATACGCCATGGGCTCCCTTATGGTACGTACGTAAGGTCCTTTCTGTAGTTTGTATTCAGTGCTGCCGATTTTTGAATCTTGAGGCCGACATCAACTATACCTGCTCGTTTGTAGTAGATTCTGTCACTAGAAAAAGTCCTAATTTGGCTTTGATTGCAGGTACTTCGCAATCGCTGTGGTGCACGTCCCCTTTTATGGGATGTACGTGCTGCTTGTTAAGGCCAAATACTCACTCCTCCCAAAATGGTTTCCTGGTGCCTTTGTGAGCAGATCATACCCCTGATTCTCCTACTCCTCCAAATGCGGGCCTTTCATTCACCTCCGTCGGATGATTTCGGGGTGAAAGAAGGGTTGAGCTGATTTTTAGCATCATCCTAGCCAAATTCGTCTAGTCTATCATCAATCTTGTAGAAAGCTGAGCCGAGATTAGTAGATGTTTGTGCCTAGTTCGATGTCCTTCAGCTGAAGATTAATAATGCATTATCCCCAGTGAAAGCAGGCTTGGAAGCCAAGCTAAATGCCACAGCTGCGCCTCTCAGATTGGCCACTCTGCACATGGAAGACTACACCAAGAATCATCAGACTAAGTACATGTATTATCGCTGGAGCAGTTAGGATTTTAGGAGCGAGCGAGCATCTGGAGGGTCTCTACTTTAGGACTTAAATCACATATATTTGTCTGAGTTGTGAGCACATTAGGGGGAAGTAGCAGGTGAAATGCCATTGACTATTGTACTGTTGTATTATTGGTTGAGTGTATTTAAAGTACAGCTTTGATAGAGAACAGAGCATAGCTAGAATACTGCAGATAGTGAACGCATAAATAGCAACACAATGGAGAGAGAGAGAGTATAAACACGAGTACATATGGTGTTTTGGTTGTTAACCACCATGGACAAGTGTGTGATGGGCGAGCCGATGCTATTTTTTGTTCCACCCTGATTGAAGCATAAACTAAGACTCTTCTTGAAGGAGTAAAATTAACACAAGAATATGGTTCCGAATGAATGGTGCAATCCTACTGCCAGGTACTAGTTAAGCGTTGAATCAAAATCAAGCAAGTTGGAAGTGGCGGTGTGTTGCATGGATTGGCTCTATTGTCACGATTCTCAGGACAAACCCCTTTCATTAAGGTCAAGGAGATGCCAAGATCTCTCAATGTCAGAGCTGATTAGGTTGCGCGATTGAAGGCCAGAGATTCGCTTCTAGACGACTAGATTAATATTCTTGATCTAATCTTTATTGAGAATGTGATCGGTTTCATGTTTCATTCGAATGATGAAGTAAAAGTTCATTATTCTTGTAAAAAAAAAGGTGCAACTTTGAGCATGTCAAGGCAGACAAGAGAGTCAAGGTTAGGGATGGCAATTTACCCACCCATGGGTAATTTTGCCCAAACCCAAGTAGACCCATTTATTATGGGTAGGGTTTGGGTGATGTGTGTATGGGTTTGGGGTTTGTATATGGGTTTGGGTTAGATATGGATATTATCTAAATGGGTATGGGTTGGATATGGATATCCATTTACTTGAGGGTGTTTTAACTACACATGCAAAAATTGGACTTATTTGTAAAACTTGAAAAGTTTAGGTACCAAAATGTAAGACAAAAAAAATTTAGGTACCAAAACGTAATTTTCCATCGATATTTTGAGGACTTATATGCAAAAAAAATTAAATTTAGGTACTAAATATGCATATCTATTAAGTTTAGGTACCAAACTGTAATTTGTATTTGGGCATGGGTACAAACCCAAATCCATTTGTTATAAACCCAACCCAATCCAAAGTAAATGGGTATGGGTACAAACCCATCAAACTTTACCCATATCCATATATTTGGATTTCATACCCAACCCAATTGGGTTGGATAGTAAAATACCCATGGGCAAAATTGTCATCCCCAGTCAAGGTTGATCGGCTGACCTTTAACCCATGGATGCTAGTTTATTGGAAGTATGAGAAAAAAAAATAATGTTGTAATTATTACTATTAAGTATTAATTAATTGATGCGACAAAGATAAATAGTCTATATTGCTAAGTATGTAAAAATAATGATCAAATTATCTTAACAATGTGACAAAATCAACACTAAATTATTTTCTTCAAAGGTTATGAAAAAACAAAGAAAAATTATACCACGAAGAATCAACATTGCTAGACATCCTAACATCATTACATGTTACATATCACACATCTTGAATTAAGAATGATAATTGCGAAAAATCACATATTTGAAAATTGAGAAAGAAAAGAAAAAGTTGATAATCGAACACATCCTCGCCATCATACGTCCCCAATTCCATCATCAGTTGACAAAGCTACAGCTGCTCCGAATCTCACCTTGACTTCCGGTCAACACATCAATCGAACCCATCTTCACCATCGCCTTAACATACTTGGCAGTCCACGTGGCACCATACCTAGCATTGACCGCCACGTACTTCCTCGTCAGCGAATTCTCCACCAACGTCTGGTCCGACGTCAGCAACCCCCGCCCCGCTGTCAGCTCCACGTAGTACTTATTGTCCAGCCAGTTGGGCGTGGCCGAGTCGAGCGGCACCAACGGATCACGGCCGCCGCCGTTTCGCGGCGGCCGGGGACACGTGGCCTTCAGAGCGGCCGCGAATTTCCGGTCGAGGGACGGGTCCTGATCATGCGTTCCGTTGAAGGAGTAGAGGCGGGCCGAGAACGACGAGCAGTGCGACGCGCCGATGGAATGCGCGCCGGAGAGCGTGACCATCTCGTCGGCCGACAGTCCTTTCCGTGCGAAATTCGCGACGAGTTGGTCGGCGGTGGAGGTCGGGGGAGGGAGGTTCTCGGTGACCTCGTCGAAGACGGTGACCCGGCCGTCGCGGCGACCCGCAAGGACGGCGTAGTCGATACGGCCGAGCTTGCTGGAGCTGTCCCTGGCGGCGAAAGCGAGGATGTCGGCGCAGGAGACGGTGTTGGGGCAGACGGACTCGATTCTGCTCTTGGCTTCCTCGATTACTTCGAATCCTCTCAGCCCCGGATTGTTGGCCGGGTGGTCCCTCTCCGATTGCTGACCACCTGGCCCCGATTTCAGCAGCACGGAACCATCACAACCCTGCAATTGCCATGGTGTGTAAGAAAGCGATTAAGACATACAGATCGAGCCCGAATATCATGAGGTTCAGGATGAAATTATGTGTAAACTGTATTAGATTAGATGTACTTACCCGGACAAAGCAGTCGTGGAAATGCATCCTGATAATCCCGCCGCCGATTCCAGGATTGCGGGACACTGCCCTTCTGACGGTTCTCCTCACAATGGATTCCGCCGCAGGACAAGATCGCTTGTAGAAGCCCACTTTGAGAGACGGATCAGAGTACACGGCCGGCACGAGCAGCATGGTCAAGAAGAGCAACAGCATCCCACCAAACAATTCATGGCTAGTGCAAGCCTTCTTCATATTGTGCATGAATCAATAAACCGGAAGAGAAGAGATCGAGTAGCAAGCTTGACGATACGAGTAAATATAATAGTAGTAGCTATGAATCAGTGTGGATGTTTTGGGGAGAGGAGTGGTCAAGTGTTGGTATTTATATATATGGCGGGAAATTAAGAGTGGAACTGATCAGCGCATATGCAGACAGCTTTCTGCTGGCTATAATGTTTAATTGGTTCAGAGTTACGTTGATATTAATCTCTTGTTTATCTCTAAAACCGTGTGTTAAAAGCTGTAGCAGTTGAAGTGGACGTGGAATATATATATGTAAACTAATGCAAGTTGAAGCATATGCATACGTCCTCATATCAAATGTCCAATGGAATCCTCTTTTCCCTTTGAACGTTTCTCCCATGTATATCTGTATATATAAGGAAAAGTGGTTGAATACCATACATACAGTTTATCAATAACTCGAGTTATTGGGATTAGTTTGTTTTTATGGTATTAGAAATGGTTTGTTATTGAGGTCACGTGTTCAAGTCTTCACTGATCAATATTAACCGTTATCTTAAAACACATAGTATATGGTTGTATATGTGCAAACTTCAAATCTGTGAATTAGTTTTCATTTGGTACATAAACATTTTCCACTAACTCGAGTTATTCAAATTATTGGGTTTATGACCGTATGTGCTTGTTTTCACGGCTACATGTGAGTCCCATCGTTCTGTACTCAACAAAATAGAACCAAATAGAAAAGTTAAATAGGCATGGCGCTATTTGAAACCAGGACTATTTCCCCAGTACTTAACAATTCTGATTAGTATTAAGTGAAGCTCCCAGTACTAGGACAGACGAGAAGACAACAGTAGTTGTTGGTTATGGAAATGATTATTAATTAATTAACCTGGTCCAGTGTATGAACTGCAGTCCTCTTCCTTAACCATTTCTTCTCTATTCCCGACAGTCGGACAAATGGCATCGTTTGCTTCCTCTTTGCTTGTTACTGGTTTAGTGGTGCCCTTTGACTTGGTTTTTATACATACTAGATTATGGATGCCGCGCTCCGCTGCGGGCTAGGTCAAATGTTGGCTTTTCCCACTTTTCCAGGGCCCGACGCCCAACTCCTTCTATCAATAATTTCCTTCATTTTTTTTAATTAGCTCGTAGTTTGTTCCCACCATCATGACAATCAGTCAAATTCCCATTTTATTGTAGCTTTCGTTCATCTTCCAAACCTTAAGCACTACTATCCCTGATCTTTTATGATCAAGAAGAAATGCATCAATCAATAAGTTATCTTTGCCAGATAATGATGATAAAAAAAATGGATAGTGGTGAAAATACTTCAAGTGATCCTGAGAACAATGGTATCATTCCTCAAGCAAATAGACAAAGATTCTATGAGTATGAGAGTGAGGGTGAAGGTGAAGGCGAGGATAATGATGTGTGAGGGATGTCGATGTTGATCATAACGATCTTATGTGATTTTCTACTATAAACTATTAACTAGATTAAGTGATTACTATGAGGTTTCGGGTTGTTTATTTGTTTGTTTATGTTATGTACAAGACTAAATCTATGGATTTTGGTGTTTATTTAACAGAAAAACTTATCTTCGGAAGTAATTAGGTTATATGTGGTTGACTATTGTTTAGGATAACCATTATTATTACTAATTGGTATTTTAAGTGCTTATTTTAATATGAACCTTAAAATCTTATGATTTTACGATTTTACTTTAATTTTTTATTTTACGTAAAATCACGATTTTGACTGCATTGGTCCTAAATGGGTTGTCTATTTGGGATGAACATGAAGGAAAACGGAAGTGGGTTGGCTGGTACAGAAGGTGAGCCTTCAAGGGACCCTAGCCCAAGTTCGCTTGGAGAAGAGTGGAGCAAAAAACGACTTGACATGGATTTGGGCAACAACTCTTTCCTCCAAGCAGTTATGGATCGACTATCGAGCCAAGTAGAGAATTTTGGGAAAAGTTGTGGCTTGTCTTCATCAATACGTGTGTGTAGGAGAGCATTTGATTGAAGGTCCCAAAGGCGTTAATGATGGTGGGTACAATGAAGAGCAGTTCTCAGAATCTTATTTTGTGGGATTTTGAAAGGGAGGAGGAAGAATTGTCTAGTTGTGGACAAGCTGACATGGGGTCACGTGGTTGGAGAAGCATCGAGGAGCGCTGGAGTTGTTGAAGAGGGGTTCATCCATGAGATTGAGCACCATTGAAAGCAAAGAAAGCGAAAGGTCAGTAATACTGAAGTTGTTTGCAATCTTGAGAGCAAGGTTGCTCTCAAGGAAAATGGTACGTTAGAAATCAGATCTTCAATGGAAATCGATCTTATCCTATAATAATAATAATAATAATAGGATTATTATTGATAAGATCAGTTGTATTTGAATCATATTAAGTTTATTATTAGATTTTCCAATATTTTCTATAAATATATACTTTGGGTATTCAGTCATAATCAATAAAAGAAGTATTAAGAAAAGTATTCGCCAAATTCCTGTCTAACCCTCTAAATTTGTCTCTCATCTCCTTATCTAGGTCGCCTGCCATTCTCTTCCCATTCTGCCAAATTCTTCTCTTCAAGTCGTAATACTCAATTTTGTTCTTCCTAACCTAGATCACTATTATTCCTTAATTCAATCCCATTCTATCAAAATTCCTAATCATCAATCAATTCCCAATTATCATATCAGACCCAACAAGCCCTAGATCACATGGTTTCTAACACTCGTTGACTCTTATGTACATTGTTCTTCGTTCTTTTTAAGATAATTAATCGCCTTTATAAAAAAATCTTGATAACTTATATACCAATGGTTGTCTGACGGGAGGAATATTCAGATGTGCCAAGAGCGTGTCAATTTGTTTTCCAACATATTTATATTGTTGTCAGTAAGTTTTGTTTTTCGTGTAGTAGGTCTACTTGTCTTAGTTTAGTGCATCAAGAGTGTCATGTATTCCAACAAGAAAACTAGAGCTGAACAGAATGAAATTGCACCTTTGATTCTAATCAAACAATTATGAGTTCGAGACTTCGAGTCCCATCAAGTGGGCCAATTTGTTTTTCAGTGAGAAAATTAAACTAGAGTTGAACATAATGGAATTGCACCTTTGACTTCTTACAAAACAATTAATAAACACGATTCCAACCTATTTGAACAAAGTTCAAATAAGGGTGTTCGATATTTCTACAACTCATGAGACAGATTTACATTAAATTAGCGCTACTACAACTACACCTATGGATGTTTAGTGAGAGCTACAGAACTACAACTATGGTTAAAATTTACAAAGGAAAAGAGAAAAATATAAAACTTGACAAGTGGTGTCGAGTTGTGATATTTGCGAGTCCTTGCTCTGTCATCTTCATCTCATATTTATAGCCACCAGAAGCAATTGTCTAAAAAAACTACTCGACTGACGTGGAGTGGCAGTACCTCTCAACTGCTCTAACGATGCCCTTACAATTGATGTGCCACCCTTTTCAGTTTTGACCTCCTCCTCTTGATAGCTCCTCCTTATCTTAGGGTTTCGAATGAGAAAAAATAGTTAAGGCATGAAGACCCCATCTTCCCCACTTACTAAAACGAGAGTGGCAGAGGTTATCCTTTTGCCACTTGATGTCATCACCTCATCTCATCACACTAAGGGGGTACTCCACCGCTGAACCCCCACCTGACCATACCAAGGTAGGTTTCTCAAACTTGTCATATTTTACACCACTGTATCGCACCAAGGGTATGCTGGTTGACATTATGGGTCCTCATCGCCACACCCCTCCATGCTTAGCCAAATTTCACCTCACGGTATTGCACCGGAGGGTATGATGATTACCCGCCTAATCACACCATGTGGAGTGCTCCAGCACTTAGTCAAATTTTACCCAACCTCGTCACACTAGAGGCCATGCTAATTACCCCCCCCCCCCCCCTCGTCACACCGAGAGGGGTGCTCAAACACTTAGTCAAATTTTATCTCAAAGCTCACATCATCACACTAGGGGTATGTTGGTTACCCCTTTGTCACAAAGATGCTCCAACACTTAGCCAAATTTTATCCCACGATATTGCACGAGAGGGGTATGTTGATTACCACCTAATCAAATCAGGAGTGGTGCTCTAACACTTGATCAAATTTTACCTCACGTCGTCACACCAAGGGGTATGTTGATTACTCCCATAATCACATCAGGAGGGATGCTCCAACACTTAGCAAAATTTTGGAGTGGTGGCGCAGGGGTAATGGCATTGGGTGTGATGGGCCCAAAAACCAATTCACGTGGTTCATTTTCAATAATTTTAATTGTTATAATTAAGTTAGTCTTATAAAAGTATTTCCTTCTTTTATCCGATGCGATAAAAGATTAATTTTTGGTGGGTTGTTCACCAAACAAGGTCAGTCGTATGATTGACGGTTTGTTGGCACTGTTCTCTCATTTAGAAGAAAAAATACTTTTACAATTTGAAGCTTCAAACCTCACGGAAAAGTGAAAACGCGACCAGGAACAATAACATTACAAAGAAACCCCAACATCTTTACAAGTTACATATCACACATCTTGGATAAAGAATAATAATCACCAAAAATTAACACAGTTTGAAAATGAGAAAAAAAGACAGGAAAAAGGTGATAATCGAACACATCCTCACCATCGTAAGTCCCCAATTCCATCATCAGTTGACAAAGCTACAGCTGCTCCGAATCTCACCTTGACTTCCGGTCAACACATCAATCGAACCCATCTTCACCATCGCCTTAACATACTTGGCAGTCCACGTGGCGCCGTACCTAGCATTGACCGCCACGTACTTCCTCGTCAGCGAATTCTCCACCAACGTCTGGTCCGACGTCAGCAACCCCCGCCCCGCTGTCAGCTCCACGTAGTACTTATTGTCCAGCCAGTTGGGCGTGGCCGAGTCGAGCGGCACCAACGGATCACGGCCGCTGCCGCCGTTTTGCGGCGGCCGGGGGCACGTGGCCTTCAGAGCCGCCGCGAATTTCCGGTCGAGGGACGGGTCCTGATCATGCGTTCCGTTGAAGGAGTAGAGGCGGGCCGAGAACGACGAGCAGTGCGACGCGCCGATGGAATGCGCGCCGGAGAGCGTGACCATCTCGTCGGCCGACAGTCCTTTCCGTGCGAAATTCGCGACGAGTTGGTCGGCGGTGGAGGTCGGGGGAGGGAGGTTATCGGTGACCTCGTCGAAGACGGTGACCCGGCCGTCGCGGCGACCCGCAGGGACGGCGTAGTTGATCCGGCCGAGCTTGCTGGAGCTGTCCCTGGCGGCGAAAGCGAGGATGTCGGCGCAGGAGACGGTGTTGGGGCAGACGGACTCGATTCTGTTCTTCGCTTCCTCGATTACTTCGAATCCCCTCAGCCCCGGATTGTTGGCCGGGTGGTCCCTCTCCGATTGCTTACCACCTGGCCCCGATTTCAGCAGCACGGAACCATCACAACCCTGCAATTGTCATGGTGTGTAAGGAAGTGATTAAGACATAAAGATCGAGCCGAATATCATGCGGTTTGGGATGAAATTATGTGTAAACTGTATTAGATTAGATGTACTTACCCGGACAAAGCAGTCGTGGAAATGCATCCTGATAATCCCGCCGCCAATTCCAGGATTGCGGGACACTGCCCTTCTGACTGTTCTCCTCACAATGGATTCCACCGCGGGACAAGATCGCTTGTAGAAGCCCACTTTGAGAGACGGATCAGAGTACACGGCCGGCACGAGCAGCATGGTCAAGAAGAGCAAGAACATCCCACCAAACAACTGGTGGCTAGTGCAAGCCTTCTTCATGTTGGGCAGATCAATAAATCGAAAGAGAAGAGATTGAGTAGCGAGCTTGACGATTGAAGAAGAGACCGAGTAGTTGCTATGAAGTGTGGATGTTCTGGGAGAGGAGTGATTGAATGCTGGTATTTATATATGGCGGGAAAGAGTGGAATTGATCTGCTGGCTACAGGGTTTGATTGGTTCAGAGTTGGTATTACTTTTTCTATCATGGGATTAATCTTTTGTTTAGTTCTAAAACCGTGTGTTAAAGCTGTAGCAGGTGAAGTGGACATGGAATATATATGTAAACTAATGCAAGTCGAAGCTTATGCAGACGTCCTCACATCATATGTCGAATCCAATCCTCTTTGAATGCTTCTCTTATCTGGTGGATGTGGATGTGTATATGTATAAGAAAGTGATTAAATACGATATATGGAGTTATGTACATCTCTCAACAAATTCGAGTTATTGGAATCAGTTGATTTGTGATATGGTATCATGATTGGTTTGTCGTTGAGGTCACGTGTTTAAGTTTTCACGACCCTCGGTATTAACCATTTGTCTTTAAGCACATGGTATGGTTGTACTTGTACCTGTGCAAACTTCATACTCATGAGTTGGCTTTCGTTTGAGAGTGCGTGCAAAGAAGTGGTTAAGTACCATACATAGATCTCTCTCTCAACATCTCGAGTTATTGAAATCAGTTGTTATTGAGGTCACATGTTCAGGTCCTCACAACCCTCAATATTAACCGTTGTCTTAAAGCACATGGTATGACTGAACCAGTGTAAACTTCAATCTCATGTGTTGGCTTTAGTTCAAGAAGACGTGTAAAAAAAATGATTAAATATCATACATAAATCTCTTCGAACAAGAATGATTGATACGAAAAGTATGTGTTGGTTTCCACAACGACAGGTGAGTCCATTCGTTGGTTACTCAACAAAATAGAACCAAATAGAAAAGTTAGATGGCCATGGCGTTATTTGAAACCAGGATTAATATTGACTATTTCCCCAATACTTAAACAATGCTGATTAATATTAAGTGAAGCTCCCACTAATGGTAGTTGGGTGTAGGCCAGAAGAGAAGACAACCGTAGTTGGTTATGGAAATGATTATTACTAATTAATTAACCAACCTGGTCCGGTGTATGAACTGCGTCCTCTTCCTTTTACCTTTTTCTTCTCTATTCCCGACAGTCGGACAAATGGCACCGTTTGCTTCCCTTCCCTCTTTGCTTGTTGCTGGTTCAGTGGTGCCCTTTGACTTGGTTTTTATAAGTGAAAGACGGGCGCACTGGATCAGCAACAAATCCAACAAATATTGTCCAAATTAAAAGAATAAAAGAATAATTTTGAAGTGGTGTTTGTACATCACATAGGCTGTTTACACTAGCTGAAACCTATCCAAATACAAGCTGGAAATAAGTAACAGAAATTTAAAAAGGAAAAATAAAAAAAAAGTTGGTGAACTAGGCAAGAAGGGGTGCAAATTCAAGAAGGGTGTAAGTTGAGGGGTAAATTGCACGAGATGCAAATTGGTGGAGGTGTAAGTGGAGGGATAAATTGTTGTTTGGATGAAAAAATAAAGTGAAAAGTGAGTAATTATATTATTATAAAATAGATTTATCAAATTTATAAATTATAAGAAAATAACGTAATAAATAATAATAAATATACTTTAATAAAATAATTAGTACATAATAGTGCTCAAGAAATAATTAATTATAATAACTGTAATAATCACTGATCGAGCGACCTCGAAACTCGAAGTCCAACTCGTAACTGGTCATTCTACATGGTTCTAGTGTATAATTTAACTTTGAATTGAATATGGTCAAAATTAGTCAAACACATTCGAATCTGTAAGTTTTAACTATATAATCAAGTAAACTGAGTCAAATCAAACCATTATTCGCTACCTTTTTCGTAACCATTTCTTATCTCTATTTTTCAACGAAAATTCGAAACAACCAAGAGATCTCGATTTGACTAAACGAACACTGATAAACCTGTTTTTGGAGTCAAACAGTCAACCCCGGACATATCTAAATTAATGATAATCATAAGAAAATAAATTGATAATATTAATTATTATATAATTAATTAAATTATTAGAAAAATAATTTTCCCCTCTCCCCCTCTAGAGAGAGAAGGAAGAATGGGTTGTGGTGTGAAGAAATGAGAGGGGAAGGGGGGGTATTTATACCCAACAGACCGCACCCTCCAGGGGCGGTCGGGTAATTTTGCCCAACCCAAAACCACGCCTTGCCGAGGCGGTTTGGTCTTCCCCAGGCTTGACCGCACATCGGCGCTGCGGTCCCCAATCCGTGGCGCAGAGCGCTCCGCTGGCGCGCGGTCCGCCCTCCGATCGCTCCTCCATCCAACGGTCTTGAAGACCGTTCCACAGAATATGTAAACCGCACCTTCCTAGTGAGTTTCGTGTGCTGACGTGGTTTGGAACGCACCCCTAAGGTGCGTTTTATAAGTAAACCGCACCCACGAGTTCGGTTTACTTATAAAACGCACGTTAGGGGGTGCGTTCCATTAAAAATGGTGTTATTTCTGTCAATTTTTTGGAATGAGTTCTAGTTTTGTAAAAAAAAAATTAAACGTGCTATTATTGGAAAAATCCTCATATTTCTCCTATGTTGATATGGATGAGGATGAAGCTGTAAAAGGCCGAGTGATTAATTGTATAAGATAAAATAAAACGGCACGGCGCCGTTTAGGCGGAGCGCATCATTCCTGGAACTGCTGGTCATAATAGTCTCTTACCTCGCGGGAAGAGAGGGATCAGGGAAGGAGCCGCCGGCGCCGGGAGATGTGAGATAGAGATAGAAGAACCAACCAACCAAGGGACCATTGCCTGATTTAGCTGTTAGTTTCCGCCGCTTGCTTGTTGAGTTGCTGCGTCTATCACCGTCGCGTTGTGAATAGTAACTGTGGAAGAGCAGATAGGGAAAGCTGAACTGGTCGGCAGGAGAGCTCCCCTGCTACCCTTTTCATCGGCTTCTTACCATCTCCGTCTACTGTAACGTTGTGAAGTCTCATCCTTTTCCGGTAATTTGAATGACATTCCATTTATATATTTTTTGTTTGGAGTCGTCCATGTTGGGAGTGATTGAGAGTAGGGTTCCCTGTTGAAGTTTGGATTGATGAGCGAGTGAGGCTGATTGGATAGTGAATTAGTGATGGAAGTTGAATTGTTTCAGTCTCTTAGTAAGTGAATGGTGTCTGCAGTTGTTCTTCAGTGTTGACAGTTTTCTGACTTTGCTATCCATCCAAACCATGAATCAACAAGGGGTGGTTCTCAGTTGAATTCAGTATTTGTTGGCATCGATTGGTTACTGGAAATGATCTTGTTTCGTGGAAGGGTAATTTTATTTGTGATCAATCAAGCTGAGCTGTATACTCGGAAGTCGCGATGCTCTACCCTCTTAAGGCTAAATGCCACCAATGTTTTAGGTGGAGTCTAGGTAGCTATCTTAGGTTTGTTTCCTCCTGTCTTGTGCACCATCATTGAGATTGCTGGTTACCTAAGTAATCGACCAAGTCGCAACTCTTTTTCCTTGGTTTTTGGCCCGATACAAAAGTTCTTTTTGTTTACTTTTTCTAACTGCATTGGGTGGCACAATCACTGATCAAGAAGGGTTTCAGTAACATCAGTTTAATCATCATTTATGGCACAGGTCGATCAAACAGCATTTTGGCTGGTGAACCAGGTTCCAGTCTCGTTAGAACGCTTTAGGGTGCCTGGTTGTGGAAAGGGATGGAGCAGCCTCGTTGCAAGTTCTGGCTGCCCAAAAAGAAACGATTTTGTGCAGTTCTCCCTTTCAAGGATTCTCCGTAAGCTTACTGTTGACTGTCTGCTTTTCTTTCTCTGGCTCACTTCCTCCTAATTCGGTTTCTGTTGGATTGCACGGTTTTAAAGGTTTTGCGGAAATCACATGGTGAGGTCTGATGGCCAATGGATTCCCTGCCCAATCGACCAATCTCAGTACTTCTCCTCAACCATTCTGTTACTCATATATGGATTTTTATGTGTATGGAGTTTAATTGGTCTTTGACGGTATCTTTGATGTGCGTTTTCCAGTTCCGTTCTTACAGAAAATCTTGAAAGTCACGTAAAGAGATGCCCTTTCATGAAGCAAGCACGGACCTTGTCCCTCCAGCCATATTATTGCAAGGGAATCAATGCTGGAAAAGGAGAAGTAGAGGATGATGTTTCTTCTGAAATGAAGAGGCATGCTGTTTATAGAATGAGTATAGCTGAATTTTACAAATTGACTGAAAAGGTTCAACATGTTCATGCGTCAATATGTGATGATATACGGGAATCCTATAAGATGCCAGAAGCTTGTAACATGTGGATTAACAGAGAGATAGACAGGTAATTGTGGCAAGACATTCTTTGCATTTTGGTGGGTTCTTGTTGGATTTTTCATGATGAGTTAATATGTTCCGCAGCAAAATACCATTTCAAGAGAAACATGTCATACAGCAAGCATCGATTCTAGGAAACCTGGAGGATTCTGGGCTACTAAAGAGTTTTCGTGAGAAAGAACAAGGTCAATGGGATGGGAGACAGCAGGATGATAGCCAACGTGCCCCTGCAGTTGTTGAATTTGGAGCAGGAAGAGGCTATTTAACTCAGATGCTAGCAGACTGTTATGGCATCAAAAAAGTTTTTCTTGTTGAGAGGAAGTCATATAAACTTAAGGTTGGCTGAGCTTCATTTCTGCATATGCTAGCATTATATTTTCCATTGTTTCATGAAGTAAATGTGGTACCTATTGAGCATGATTTCCTTGGGGCTTTATTTTGGTTCATATGTGATTCTTGTGTTTGCTCATTTCTTCTTATTGCAACTTCTAGGCTGATCGATCTTTGCGACAAAAAGAGAGCTTGTCATTAGAGCGATTAAGAATTGATAGTAAGCCTTTCTAAGTCTTGTCATTAGAATGTCCACTTTCTTTATTACTTTTATTCCATCTATTTTTCTAATGTTCTCGTGGTTCTATCTTTTGTAGGCATTCAATTTGATTCTATATGTCTTATCTTGCAGTCTTCACATTTCTCTTTACCTATTTTTTTTCAATTTGCACAATCGCATAAATTCTCCCATGTATACAGCATGTCCCTGGTACTATATTTAGCATGTCCTGCATAGTGTGTGTGTGTGTGAGAGAGAGAGAGAGGGAGAGAGAGGGAGAGAGAGAGAGAGAAGAGTGAAATATCCATGGTTATGGTATGAATTCTAATTGATGAAATAATCGATCGTCTTTAAACTTCAGAAAGACCTGTCTCTTATTTATGTGCAACAGTTATTGTCGACATATTGTATGTCTTACTATAGTAACTAGTTTAATTTACGAATGGAATAGGATTCCTCTGTGGCTTTTACTTCTACCACCTTGGTAATCCGATGACCATGGGAATAAAAAATCTATGTTTGATGAAGTGGTACCTTGATTGTTCAATATATGTATGATTTAGGTTCAGTGGTGTTTTTGCATTGCATCCAACGGCAGCGTGTTCTACTTATGCAGTTGAGGACTTGGACCTGAAAGCTGTCGAGTCTTTACATGGAGTCCACTATCTAGCTATTGGGAAGCATCTCTGCGGGCCAGCAACTGGTGAGCAATAATTTTCAGTTTTCCATGCATGGTAAAAACGAGTATGGGACATTGAGACAAAATAATCTTGACATCGGTGAAAACTTTTACTTGCTGTTTCAATGTTTTCTTCCTTGTAATTCTTTGTGGTAGATTTGACACTGAGATGTTGCGTGCCCGAGCGAGTCAGCAAGAGTACCTCAGAATGTGGGGGTGAAAAAACGTACCTTGAGGGTTTTGCTATAGCAACTTGTTGCCATCATCTCTGCCAGTGGAAGCATTACATAAGTAATTGGCATTCCTCGAGTCTTCCTTCTTAACCTTAATGGTATCATTAATATAAATTGTTTCCCGTTCAAGCTGACCGTGTGTAATTGCTTCCAGATAAAGAATTCATGCTCGGTCTGGGAATTTCTAAAGAAGAGTTTAACGCAATCACCTGGTTCACCAGTTGGGCAGTCGATGGTGATCATGGAGCAGAAGTTTCAGACAGCGGATTGCATCTGCAGCTCAGGTAGCCTTCTCTTCCTAAACTACTGCACTTCCTGCTGCCCATTTTGACATCTTTGCTGGTCTTTTAAATCACATCATTAAACACAAATCCAGTTCAACTCTGATCTCAAGGGTTGAGAGCTGTGTTAATTACTACATAAACCGTCGGTAAAGTCTTGAGTTCAACTAAAAGTCATTGAAGTTAGATATTTAAGTTAGTCGTCACTCTATTCATCTCCATCAAAATTAAGTATAACTCGATTTGGTAAGTTCATCGAGATTCCATCTCGCTTGCTGTATGTTTTGTACATTTGGTTGGGCAGGGAGAAAGATGAGCAATCTGGTACAGGCGCAGCAGCGGGTGTGGAAGGTGTTGTGAGAAGCATGCAAGCAGTTGAAAGAGCTGCGCTGGGTTTCATGTGCAAGCAGATCATTGACAAAGGAAGGATGGCATGGGGAAGCCGAAATGGCCTGGAGGCTCGTCTGGTTAAGTACGTAGCACCCACCATCTCTCCTGAAAACCATTTACTGATGGCCAAGCGCATCATTTGAATGTACCCAAAAAGGTTCTTCTTTTCCTCTTCCCTTTTCTTAGCTCAGTGAGACATTAGCCATTCCCCCTTGCGGGTTTAATCAAATGCCTCATTTCTTTGAGTAAAATTACAGATAGATTGAGATCCTTCTCCCTACTTGAAGTGTAAAAAAACTGTCTTTAACTTCTTAAACCTTGTATTACAGAGAAGTGAGGCCGCCATTAAAATGGGGGAAGCAGGAGGTGCAATCTTTTTCAGTAGAACTTGGCTTTGACTACTCCCCTCCTCTCTGCCGTTGGTGGGTGGCGGCTGCCTTGTGCTCCAAGCTGCGGTAGGTGAGGCGATGAAATTTCATTACTCGGAACTGACAGCAGTGGGAAGAAGCTCCCTCACGCCTTGTAGACGTTGTAGTCTAGTCCTTTTTGGGTGTCTTTGGCTACGGCATCTTTATCCTCTCGACTGAGATAGATAGACAGAGACATCGTTTTGGCATTGCTTTCCCTCTTGTTTCAATTGTTCTTTTCATACCAGTTGGCTAGTCAAATCGCATGGCCTGAACTTTGACATTAAAATGCCATAATAGAGGCGTATATTATACCTATAACCCTTCTTTAGTTCTTTTAATTCATTCGTGATTTGTGACACGGTAACCAAGCAAGCACATCAAAATTGTGTTACTGTGTGAAATTCCCGCTAAACTACAAGCTTTGCCGCGCTTCCAATAACGGATCTTTTCGTCTTCACACTCGCACAGTGAAGTTTCGTCGACAAATTCTCTTCAGCGTCACCCCACACGACACCACTGTTCTTCACAACTCTTCTCAGCTGGATCTTATCTGTATATATACATCCAACTATCCATATCCATTATCAGTACAATAACCTCAAAATCAACCATCACCATCACCACCAGCCAGCAAAGTAATCCGAGCTTCAAACCCACAAATGGAAACAGGTCCCCAAGGCACCATCCTCTTCTTTACCGTCGGCCGCACCGACTACGGCTTCGACGTCTTCTCCCGCCAGCTCCTTCCCTCCATTTCTGCCACCGACCGCCGCCTCACCGACGGCATTTCCGTCAATTTCAACGCCCAATTCAACGATGACGAACTCAATCCTTCCATCGTCTTCGTCTCCGAGCGAAACGGCTCCCCTCGAATTTATCACATTGCAGCCGGCGCCGGAATCCCCAAACCACTACCACATTCCGGCGATACTACCCTTTTCGTCGACAGGCCCATCGTCAGGAACCGCCGCCTCTACTTCGTCTCTGCTCACGAAAAACCCAATTTGCCCTTCCAAAGTTGGTCCGCTCTCTACTCCGTCGAGGATTACGAATCCCCAACCGCCTTCCCACGGCGATTGACACCTCCAGGGGCCGTCGACTACAGCCCGGCCCTGTCCCGCTCCGGCGATTTCATCGCCGTCGCGTCGTACGGATCCCGTCCTTGGGGCGGCGAGTTTCAGGAGCTGCAGACCGACATCGTCGTGTTCCGCGGATCCGATCCGGAGAAGCGCGCCGTCGTCTGCGAGCGCGGCGGGTGGCCCTCGTGGTCGGGGGATTCGGCGATTTTCTTCCACCGCCAGGCGGAGGACGGCTGGTGGAGCGTCTTCAGGGTCGAGTTCTCCCCTGACAATTTCCTCGATCTCGTATCTATCCCGACCCGCGTCACTCCGCCTGGAGTTCACTGCTTCACTCCCGCGGCGATGCACGACGGCGGCAGTAGAATCGCCGTCGCGACTCGGCGGAAAGGGAGTAAATACAGGCACATCGAGATCTTCGACCTCGAATCGGGGGAATTTTCGCCGGTTACAGAGCCTGTAAACCCTAATTCCCATCATTACAATCCTTTCGTCAGTCTCGATTCCAAATTCCTCGGGTACCACCGGTTCAGAGGCGAGTCGGGTCCAGGGGAGACGACGATTCCTCGCCTGGACCCGGTCGCTTCCCCAATCAAGGACCTCCGGATGGTGAGGATAGCCGGAGCTTTCCCGGCGTTTTCTCCCGGCGGCGATCTCGTCGCGTTCAATCCCGGGTTCGGAGGATTGAGAGTGGTGAAATCGGACGGCTCGAAAGAATGGACGCTGGTCAAAGACCGTACCTCGTTTGGTAACTCGTGGAGCCCCACGGAGAGGCACGTGATCTACACCTCGATGGGCCCCATCTTCGCGTCGACCGATACGACGGTTCAGATCGCTCGAGTCACGTTCGATCCACGCGATCTCGGATCGGAAGCCACCACCACCAGTCAAGAGGTGGTGCCTTCCGAGGTCAAAATCCTGACAAGGACTGACACGGGGAACAACGCATTCCCGTCGTGCTCTCCTGACGGTAAATTCGTAGTGTTTCGATCTGGACGATCTGGATATAAAAATCTATACGTGGTGGATGCCGTGGAAGGCGAACATGACGACGATGGAAGCGTGCGTCAGCTGACAGAGGGGAAGTGCATCGATACGATGCCGTCCTGGTCCCCCAGGGGCGACCTCATCGCCTTCTCCTCGAACAGGCACAACCCCAGCAATACGGAGGCGTTTAGCATCTACGTGATCAGGCCCGACGGATCGGATCTGAGGAGGATCCACGTGGCGGATGGGGATGCTGACAGGGAGAGGATCAACCACGTATGCTTCAGCAGGGACGGGGAGTGGCTGTTGTTCACGGCCAACTTGGGAGGAGTGACGGTGGAGCCCGTGTCGGCGCCCAATCAGTTTCAGCCATATGGAGACCTGTATGTGATGAGGCTGGATGGGAGTGGGTTGAGGCGGCTGACGTGGAATGGGTATGAGAATGGGACGCCAGCGTGGCACCCTAAATCTGATTGTGTGGAGATGAAGTTGGGAGACTTGCATTTGGGGGAAGGAGTTGGTGATAAGCTGACGGGCCAATTCGATGAACCTTTATGGATATCATGTGATATCTAAGTATTCCACAATGAGATCAATGTTTACTTAGTTATCTCAATAATTTGAACTTTCCCTTCTTTATTTATGAGACAATAAATGAAATTTGAGTGATTAATTATGTATATTCCTCTATTAATTAACTCTGTTTTACGAAATATTAGTTTTAGGGGTGGTGAGGTGGTGGTTAATTCGTGGTTTGTCATTTGATCCATCTGCAAATAATTCAAACCGCAATAGGTTGATGATTTATGTGGGTGGATCGTAGATCAAAATTTTTGTAACCGCACATATTTAGATAGGTGGGGATACCTGAATGATTCGCATCCCACTTTCACATGTAAAGAGTTGTTTCTTGTGTTTATGCCATCGAATAATCATCATATTACGTAACCACACTACACGTCGATCATTGCCTTTTTTAACAAAAGATAATCATATTGATTGAAGACACAAAATAAATAATATTTGTGAAATTCTACTATTAGGTACTATTTGTGTAATGTCCATCGAATATTCTGATGCAAATTATAAATTATTAATCGTATCAAAATAATAATAAAACGTTAATTTTTCGTACACACTTGGTTGGCGAGGTAATGAAATATTTGATATTCTACCACTGAAGTGAAATTCACACACTTAAAAAGTCACTTGTTTCCACCCACCTCAAACACTCAAGAACCTTATTCTCTAATCATCACCGTGCCAATTCTTATGGAGATGGGCCGAAATGAGGCTGGGGAAGGGCCCGCCAATCTTCCTTCCCTGCATACTAGTTCGGCCAAGCCCACAATCCTTTCTTTAATTAAACCGAAACCCACCTAAGCCCATACCTTGGCAGGTGCATTCAATTTAGTCCAAAACTCGTTGGACTTAGCCCACCCACCCATGACCCAACCCCCTAGTATGATATCTTTCGGGATAAAATCCAAGGCGTGGAGACTGGAGAGGAGTAGCGTCAGTAGGGAGTTTAGTTATGATATTAATGGTTTAATCACTAATCGCACTCTAATTCACTGTTACTGGAGGTTGAAATTTTTTTATCGGATTATTAAGTCATAAACGGCTAATAACAAATGGCTAGCGATTAACGATTAGGGTTGTTAACCAATCGAAATAGACAAAAATTCACATTCAACAAAGGAAACTATTTTCATCTGACCACTCAGCCCTCACCGACTTCAATCACCTTGTCTTCTCGGCCCAAACAAAGAATGAACATGAATTGCTTGTCGTCGAGCTATGTACCGTCCCTAGTTGCATCGACGACGAATGATTAATCGTTAAATTTTAACGGATCGACCAATACTGATTTTTTGTTTGGCGGGTAACTGTAATCCACATTATCAGTTAACAATTAACTACTAACGGACTCAACTATCACCCCAAGAGTCGGTGGTGGTTTTCGTTGAGAGAGCAATTTCTAAACAGAGTTGCTGAATGCATTGATTCTATACACATCTAAAATTGCTAGATTGAGTCTTTGATTGGGGATTCCTCCGCAAAACCTCACGAGTTACCCTTTTTCATACTGGATTGTTCTTATGTTGTGCATTTAAGTGGATGATATATAATGATCATTGCCTCTTCACTCATTCCACTTCCCGCTACTCGCTACTGTATGTGGATGATATTATATATGATTGTGCCTGCCATGTCGAGGGTATCGAATTGTTGACCGAAGGTCTTCATCGGTGCTTTTAAATGGAAAACGCGAAACAAATAGTAATCTCGTTGATCAAACATGTAATTTACACGACCATTCTCTCATTTGGGGGGGGGGGGGATTTGAGGACGTGAAATGGTAGTGAGACAAAAAGTTAAAAATAATTCATTTTTAATTGTCACATCATCTATCCAACAACCGAAGATAAGACCATCCACATCCATGAAATACAATTTATATTCCATATGTGGCCCCTACTGCCACATCAACAGCTTTTTCTATTTCACTACATATCACTTTCATTCCCTCTACATCCATGAAATTCACTATCTATTTCATATGGTGGGTCCAACTTACTTTTTAATACATCTATACATTTATATCTAACCTATATGATTTTACCAATTTAAGATGTATCAAATAATTAAAATAATATATTGTAATTGTTTAATTATCAATGATGAAATAAATTTATTAATTCATTAACAAATATATTATAGCTTTATTCATTGATTAAAAAAAATAACTTATGGAATTTAAATGGTAGACTTTAATAAAAATACATGAAACTTTTATTAAAGTCACAAGTACAATATTCAAATGACAAATTACAACACAATCACAATTTAAATAAACACACGTAAATAACACAATTACTATTGCAAATAAACACACTTAATACAAATACATAGAAATGATGCTAGATTAATCATCGTACCCTTCATCTCCGAATCGATTCCATATCTCTTCAATTAAATCGGATTATTTGTTGACCTATTACGAATCCTTGTGTGGTTCCAAAGATACTCATCATACTCCGGGAGATGATTTTGAGAAACTGTAGGCATCGAGACTTCGAAGTTCACGTCTTCATCTGTGTAATCAAACTGAGGAACATATGTATCTCGCTCATCTTCCACAATCATGTTGTGCACAATTATACATTTTATCTAACCTACATCATTCTACCAATTTAAAATGTATCACATCTTAATTGTATATATTTTAATTTTCTAAATATCGATAATAAAATAAATCTACCAATTCATTGAAAAATATATCGCAGCTTAATCATCGATTAAAAAGGACAGTTTTGAAAAACATATTGCATCTTAGTTGTAATTAACAAATGATAAATTGAAAAAAGGAAATAAAAAAATAAACACGACATCAAACGTACACATACACATGCCCTTTCATTTTACCATTTTTTTTAAATACAAATTTCAAAAGAAAATGAAAATGAAAAAAGGGAAATAGCAACAAAAGTGGGATGTAGCCCACTTGCTCTTCCATTTGCTATTTCACTTTGTGGAAGATCCCACTTTATAAAAGAGGTGCTCCAACAACCATGACAGAGACAAATGGGATTGCCACGTCAAAATGAAATGGCTCTTTGACAGCCGCTGCGGATGCTCTAACAATTGACAGTAACATAAGATGAATTTAATAAAATTGAACAATTCTTAATTAACAGGATAAGTATAAAATAGGATTTAGATCGATTGACTAACGAAAAAGAATAATCATTACAAACATGAAAGAAACTTTATAAATCAAGTGAACAAAATCCATTTTGGTCCCAAATCGGATCCAGTTAGAGGTCATTACGTGGTGCCCAAATTCCGAAACTCAAAAACATCATTGTCGTCATGCATTACGTCAAACGTTTGATTCCACATTCGAGATTCGAGGAAAAGCACCACCTGGGCTGTGCTGAGCTGTGCATTTCAATGCAATAAACAACCATTTTTTAATGATATCCATAATTCGGTCAGCGTAATCGTATCTACAAAATCCCAAAGCAGCTTGTCCTGTCCTCTTCGTCTTCCATAAAACCCACATGGCTTTGAAATTCTAAATACAATCCCAAAGGCCAAATCCCAGTTGCATACTTGCAATTCCCTTTTGAATTAACCATGATTAATAACATAATCGCAACTAAATTAATAACATTTCCCTCTTTTCCCTTATCATCTTCTCTCAAAGGTGTCAATTGACATCGTGTAGGGCAGTTACTCAGACCTGTTTTAAGACGAATATGCTAACCACAATCTCGTAACATGTGGTTAGCGGTTACCCATTAACCTCATAATGCAGGTAGCAGTTACCCGTGATTATCCACTAAAACCCGCATTACTTAGTGGCGAAAAAACAAAGAAACACAAATAAAAAAAATCCTAAATAAATTATTGCCTCCTCATCCTCCTCTTTGCTAAAATCTCCAACACCAATAGTTCACATAAAGGAGCTCCATCATCAATGGCTACACTTGGAGGTAAAGAAGATTTATCTTTCCTTCCACTTGCGTGTTCCCTATAAAAATCCAGACAATCAGTTATACGAAAGATGCAACATAAACAAAACAACAATGACGAACTCTTCTTCCTTCCAGTTGGAGCGGTGAAGCACCAAGATGTAGCAGCATCACAACAACAACGACAAATTGGAACCCTAGAAATTAGAACAGGTAGGTGACAACTTTTCCTTTGCCAAATTGGAATGACTGATAGGAAAAACATGTTGGGTCGAGCTTGGGATTTGGAATTTAAGATTAGGGGGTTGGGTTGGTTGCCATTAGGGTCGAGTTTAAGAGTGTTATTTCCATATTGGGTCGAGTTTAGTAGGTGCAGTTATATAAATGGTGATTAGCGATTAATTAGACAAATTTCTCGTATTCGATGGTTAACCGCACAACCGCAAAATATGTTAATATTATTAACCATACCCTTTTAAATATCCTCTCAATCACATGCAATATATTGTTAACCACTAATCACTCTATTGCGATTCGGTTACGGTTAAACCAAAAAACCATACCATATTGACAGCCTCATTCTTCTCCTATTCCTTCCCTTTTACTTCGCTTGAGTTACAACAATGGAAGGAAAAGGTGATCTCTCACCTCCAAGAACAAAAGGAAAAATACAATTCACAAAAAAAAAAAAACAGATAAAAGGGAAACCCGCCAAATTGTGAATTTAATTAGTCGAGGAGGTCATGTGAAGCGCAACAAGAGAGGCATAGAATCCATCTTTGATGTTGATCAAACTTTCATGCCTCCCTTTCTCCACGATCACCCCATTCTTAACCACGGCGATCACATCGGCCTTCTTGATCGTCGACAACCGATGCGCGACGACCACCGTCGTGCGATTTACCATCACTCTGTCCAGTGCGTCTTGTACAACTTTTTCCGATTCAGCATCCAATGCACTGGTCGCCTCATCTAGCAACAAGATCTTCGGATCCTTAACGATGGCTCGAGCTATGGCTACTCGTTGCTTCTGGCCCCCGGATAGCTGCACTCCTCGCTCCCCAACCATCGTATCGTACCCCTGCAACACGATAATTCGCGTGTTAAACCAGTTCGTTCAAATAACTCGAGAACCAATTAGTGGGATTTCGGAGTATGGATTTTTACCTGTTGTAGGCCACTGATAAACTTGTGTGCATTTGCTAGTTCTGATGCCGACTGGATTTCAGATTCCGTTGCATCTCCTTGCTTCCCATAAGCAATGTTGGCCCGAATGGTCTCATTGAACAAAGTGGGTTCTTGGCTCACAAGCCCCATTTGCTGTCTCAGCCATTTGATGTTCAAGGTCTGGATTTCCACTCCGTCAAGGGTTATCCTTCCTGAATCTGGATCATAAAACCTTTGCAGCAAAGCAATAACTGTGGACTTCCCACTCCCACTCTCCCCAACAAGAGCCACGGTCTAAATGGAGATAAAAAGAAGCCATAATCAGAAATGTCTAGCTTATGATTGACTGATTGATTATGGAACTTGAAGTCTCAGTCTTTTCTTTATTACCTTGCCAGAATGAATAGCCAAGTTGAGGTCTCTGAAGATCTGAATGTCTGGCCTAGAAGGGTAGCAGAAGCTAACGTGCCTGAGTTCAATGTCTCCTTTCACCGCGGCTAGTGTCGTCCCTGATTCGTCACAGGGATCGATCTTCGACTCCCTGTCTATGATTGAGAAAATGGAAGCCACAGCAGATTTGGCCTTTGAGGAATCAGGCCCAAATGAACTTGATTGGGACACTGCTAGAGCTGCCATTGTCAGGGCAAAGAACACCTGAACCAGACAATTGATGAACCAGTTAAAGCACAGTCTGCAACTTGTAATGGCTACATAGAATGAAAAGAACCCCTTTTTTTCTTCTTCCCCAAAATGGGAACTGACCTGAAAGACATCGGAGAACGTTGTTTTGCCCTGCTTCACCAGCTGAGCACCAGCGTAGAAGCTGGTTGCATAGAAACAGAAGAGCAGAAAGAACGAAAGCCCGAATCCAATCCCGCTGATGAGACCTTCCCTGATTCCTGTGTTCTTAGGCCCCTCACATTTCTTCCTGTACAGCTCCATCACTTTCTCTTCTGCACAGAAAGATGCCACTGTTCTTATGCTCCCAACCGCATCGTTCGCCACCTGACTCGCCTCTTCATACATCATCTGCCAACAACAAACAGCAACAACGATTGAGAACAACGCAGTCAAAAGTACGATTCTACGTAGAAGCATTTTGGTGATCTAGAAGCGTAAAAGCATAAATTACCTTTGCATCTGCACTGAATCCTTTCATGAACTTGAGCTGGAGATACCCATTCATCCCTATCAACGGCACCAACGCGAGGATGATCAGAGCAAGCTGCCAACTGGCCGTGAACGCGATCACCAAACCAGCAACAAGAGAAGCGATGTTCTGCACCGTCTGTCCAAGCTTGTCGCCAACTAGGGCGCGAACCGTGGCGGCATCCGCCGAGAGCCTGGCACCAATTGCGCCGCTCGAGTTCTCCGGCTCGTCGAACCAGCTCACCTCCATGCGCAGCACTTTCTCGAAGCAGATCGACCTCACCCTCTGGATCAGCCTGCACCCAGCCACGCTGAACAAGTAGGTCTGCGTTGGGTAGATCAGCAGCGAAGCGACGCCGAGGGTTGTGAACATGAGCGCCCAGAATTGGGTGTCCTTTTTCAGCTCGTTGGGCGGCTCGTAGAAAGATCTGATGGCGCGCGAGATCAAGATGCCGAAGAGTGGGAACATCACCCCGTTGCCTACCGCGGCGATGGCTCCGCCGATCAGCACCGGGATCTCGGGCTTGTTCAGGTACGCCAGTCGCTTAATCGAAACATCTGGCGCATCCTGTGAACGAACAAACACATCATTTAGTCTCAATAACTCGAGTTGCTAGAACAAAAAAAAATTTGTCAGTTTACATAAATTGAATATATCATCCCTTGTACTAAACCATTGTTCGTATTAGAGTGCGTCATAAGTACTAAAGAAATGATGTATATGAAAACTCATATAGACCTTCACTGGGGCAGGTGATGCTTCCATGTCATGTGCAGGGTCGCCTCCTGTGGTGTCGATTCCTGTTGGGAGGCCGAAGGAGACCGAGAAGGAGCGGCGGCTGCTGCCACCTACCCCGCCGGATGATCCTCGACTAAGGGATCGCTGCGACATTCGGAGGCTGGACTGTCTGAAGGACTCTGGGTTCATATCGGAGGGTTTCTTGCTGTTGTTGTCTTCTGCGTCCGACGGTCTGTTGATCTCCTGCAGCCGAATGAGCTGCGCGTATGCTCCTTCTGGGTCCTTGAGCAGCTCGTGGTGCGAGCCTGATAATCGGATAATTGTAAAGTGTCATGACAAATTGGATAGTGAACATGTTTCTATGCAACAATTGGTTAAGATGTTAGTGTTACCCATACCTTTTTCAACCATCTTTCCACGATGGATGACTGCGATGGTATCAGCGTTCTTGACAGTGCTCAAACGATGAGCAACAATCACAGTTGTTCTGTCCACCATGATCCTGTCCAGTGCTTCCTGCACAACCTTTTCGGACTCTGCATCGAGTGCACTTGTTGCTTCATCCAGAAGCAAGATCCTCGGGTTCTTGAGAATAGCCCTTGCTATGGCGATTCTCTGCTTCTGTCCACCAGACAGTTGAGTTCCATGCTCACCAACCATGGTATCCAGCCCCTGGAATATGGCAAGTTTAAAGATCGAAGTTACATGAGTCATCCAAACAGCTCAAAATTTAGACATCACTTGTATCTGTAAGTTTTTACATAAGAACGAACACAGCCATGCATCGCAACTAGTACCTGAGGTAGTTTATCAATGAACTTAGCAGCATTAGCAAGCTCGGAAGCAGCTCTTATCTCTTCAGTGGTTGCATCTTCTTTCCCATATGCAATGTTGTCCTTAATGCTTGATGTGAACAGAGCGGGTTCTTGGCTAACAAGCCCGATTTTACCTCGGATCCATTTCAGCTGAAGTTCTTTGAGGTTAATCCCGTCAATGAGAACTTCACCAGCTAGTGGATCATAAAACCTCTCTATCAAACTAATCACAGTCGACTTCCCACTCCCACTTTGTCCAACCAAAGCTGCAGTTGTTCCGCTCTCAATCGAAAGAGAGAAGCCATTGAATATCTGCTCATCTGGTCTCGCTGGATAGTTAAAGTGCACATCTTTCAACTCGATATCCCCTCGAATGTCTTCCAATACCTTCCCCTTAGGGTCGTAGGCATCGATCTCCGGCTTCCTGTTGATGGTCTCGAACATTTTATACGCTGCAGCTTGACCAGCTGCAAAAGCAGTCAAAGAAGGAGAAGACTGCCCAAGTGACCTGAAATTGTTCAAAAATATGTAGATGCTTAATGATCTTGTCACAGTTTCACATTTCAATGAACAATTCAAGACATATAACTACTCATAGAGAGCAAAATTACTCACATGGAACCAGTCAAGACAGCAATGATGACATTGAGAACTTCGCCTCCAGTATACCCTTTCTCCAAAATCATCTTCCCGCCAAACCAAATAGCCAGACCATAGCTAGCAAACATGATGAACATAAGCATCCCAAGGCCTAAGCCAGTAGCCAATCCTTCACTGGCACCAGATTTATAGGCAGTAACAAGATGCTTCTTGTAATTCTCTATGGATTGCTTCTCCCCTGTAAAGGACGCAACCTGGTGGTACAAGTAGTAGTAGTATTAGTGTCAAAAACACAAAAAACAGTCAACATACATCAACTTGGAAGATTTCATGTCGAATCAGTGGACATACTATTCGTATCGATCCAATGGTCTGCTCAACCACGGTCGACGCTTTAGCATATGCCGATTGTCCCCTGGTTGTCATCCTAGAAACCATCAAGGAAATGACAGCCCCAGTGATCACCAGCAAGGGGATTGTGCTCAGCATGACAAGGGTAAGAAGCCAGCCTTTGATGAATGATATAACGAACCCTCCGATGAACGTCGAGAACAGCTGAAGGAACTTCCCTACCTGTAGAATCAAACAACCATCTACATCTTAACATCATAACTCCTGAGAACAAGCGCGAAAAAGCGCTACGAAAAAAAGTGTACCTTCTCGCCCATGGCGTCCTGAATAAGAACAGTGTCACCAGACATTCTGCCCACAACCTCTCCTGTGTTTGTTTCCTTGTCGAAAAATGCAATGTCTTGCCTCAATATGGTCTTCAAATACAACCCCCTAATCCGAGCTGCTTGTCTCTCCCCCGTCACCATCCAGCAAGTTACCTCTGCACAACAACAACAATCAGTCCGAATTTTCGACATAATTGTTTTCGTACAATACAATATCCATCTGATACATTTCATCTTTGTGTGAACTTACGAAGAAAAGCTAGCACACCAGTCCCCACTGCCAAGTAGACGAACTTGAGAGCCACCTATTAAGTTCACCATGTCAACAATTTGAGTAATCAATTGAAAGGCTATTATTATCATTGATGGAAAAGATGTTTTGGTAGGGTTTATTACCTTGGAAACCACAGAGACAACATCTGAGTTGTTCTGGTTTTGGCCAAAGGAATCAGTGAGCTGCCCAAATAGAATCGTCATCAAGGGCATGGCGACCCCATTCCCAATAGCACCAATGGTTCCAAGGATCATCAGCACAACATCAATGGAATCGGCGAAGGAGAAAAGCTTGTGGAACGGAACTGTTTTCCCGGTCTCCTCTTTGTTCTTCCCTCCGCCGTTCTCCTCTCTCTCGTGGCTGGTTGATGCAGAGGCAGAGGCCTCGTTACCATTACTGTTCCCGGCATTCTCCATGGCCGGGATTGATTACACCAACAAGCTAAGGTGAAGGAAAACGAAACCTCGAAATCAGAACTCTTTTGTTTTGTTTACAGACAACCATTCATGAAGCGTTTCAAAACCATTGTTGAACCTCAAGAATCACAGGAAATTTGACAGGAGAGGCAGAGTGGGGATGAACGAAAAGGAGAAACTTTAAGGAGATGAAAAACAGGATCTTTTGACCATAAATGGTGGTGGGGAAAAAGGAAAGAAGAAAAATTTGTAAAACTGACTTCATTAATAGAACAATGCTGAAGCTGACACTCAGCTGTTTCACATTCAAAAACAATGAATGCTTTTTTTTTATTTTCATACCAAAACAAAACTGATGAAAGCTTTCGGCTTTCCATCACCAACCCAAAAACTAACAGAAACCCAGAAAGGGAAAAGAGAATAAAGATGAAGAAACAGCAGTAAAAATAAGCTGGAATGAAAGGAAAAAGACAGTTTCGATCTTGAAAAAACAGAGTACATACAAGGAAACAGAGCAATGTTTCAAGAGGAGTGATAAACTCACAGAGGAGGCAAGTTGATGACTTTTCCTTTTAGTTTCGGAGAGTATACAAGAATCCCAGAAAGGAAAAGAGAATAAAGAGGAACAAAAAGCAGAGCAAAAGAAGACTAGAATGAAAGGAATAAACAGTTCCGATCTTGAAAAGAAAAAAAACAGAGTACAGACAATGAAACAGAGCAATGTTTCAAGAGGAGTGAAAAACTCACAGCGGAGGAGGCAAGTTGATGACTTTTCCTTTTCAGTTTTGGATCTGAATAAAATGGGTTTGAGCTTTTCGTTTCCTTTTCTTTTCTCTTTTGCCCTGGGGATGAGATTGCGGCAAGCCAAGCCTTGGCTTTTTGCTTTGCTTATGAGCTGGGCTAGCCTGTGACAGAGCAACAAAAACAAAACGAAATCGCCCACTCTATATATATCTGGTAAATCCGTGCTAGGAAAGTAAAGCACCAGCAATAAATGGGAAATGAATGACTTGGGAATGGCGGAAGTCAAACTTTGGTTCTTTGTTTTTTTCTCGATTCTCTTTTTCTTTGCTTCCACAGCAAGGATCGAGAAGCGTCACCACCATACTCTGAATTTAAATAAAGAGATGGGAGCTCAAGATTGGCTGCCGGCGACTATTCGGCGACCAACAGTATTATAACATGTTAACAATGCATATGCTCATTTTTTTCCGCCATGGAAGTACTTTAACAATCGGTCGATCCTGCCCCATTCCACAATCAACTTCAGTGTATCTAAATAATTAGTGTTTTTAACAAAACAGGACGTCCAGCAGTTGAAATCTCACAAAAATACATTAACATTTTGGTGTAAATGAATTCCATAAGTTTGAGTAATTCATTTTGAAATGAAATATTTTTGTGTTTGGTATTAAAAAGAATCCATTTTCAATTCTAAATTTTGAATTCTACGGAATTGGAACTAGTGATGGCAATTCCGAGGAATTGAGATAAAATTTCCAAATGAATTCCACAAGTATTTACTAATTATAATTAAATGACATGATTATCCTCTTTTATTAACTAAATTACTTATACATATGACATACCAAACACAGAAATTAATTTGATAATGAATTCTACATGACACTTCAATGATTTGAATATAACATACCAAACATAGGATTTCATTTGACAATGAATTCTACACGTTAATTCATTTTACAATGAAATGAATTCTTGATTCATTTGGTACCAAACGGTCTGTAAGAATTTATTAATTCTATCCGCATTCATAGTTGTAAAGTAGCAAATAGTCTACAAAACTCAAGAGAATAAGAAAAATAGTTATACAGAACAAATAATCTACTATGTTTATCAAAAAAAATTAGAAAAATAAGAACATCAAAATATTTTGAAGCTCGTAACATAGGTAACATAGAAGAAATAACAAATTGAGATAGTCGATTTCACCTTGATTATTCCTCTGAAAATCTCTATGTTGAACGCTAAACCACTTCACTTTAGCATAGTCATCACAAATTATGCTCGGAAGGTCGGTTGGACGCGACAATGCACAAAAAAGCACCAATGAATAATCCAGCAAACACGATGATTATATTAAACCAACACAAAGGGTTTTTATTTTATTAATGGATTTGGACGGAAACTAACGAAAGAGTGACTAAATGTGACCTGTTTCAATAATTCAGGTGATCAAAATTGATATTAAAATTTTTTAGTACTAAACATGATAAGATTTAATAATCTACTGACCAAATGTGACATTTACCCCTATTTGTGTGTCAACAAGCACATTTTTAATACTTTTTTACCCTGTTTTAATCGCGACGTTAAATTTTAAATTCTTGAACTAAAAGAAACGTTACTGATTTATGTTTGTGAATGTCAACCTGATAGCCGAATTGCACATATAGACAATAAAGGAAAGTTGTACCTGCCCTTTGTTTTTATACCATTTGTTTCTTCTCTATTTTGAATGGATTATGTATGAAATGAACACATATAATTTTTTGATACAACTTGGCACAGAAAACAGATCATGATGTGCGCCACCAGTACCAAGTCATTGTCAGTGCCATAGCCAAATTCTAACAGCGTCATTCGATTTGCAAGCAAAAACCATTAAACTAGTGAGAAAAAAGATTTTAAGCAAAAATAACTAATAAGAACGGAAGAAAGAAAACTGTGTTCCTCTTCAACATGTCAAATTCTATCAACATTTGTCATCAACTCCCCAACAACTGATTCACTACAACCAGAATTCAATCTAAAACAGAAAACAGCCACTATCATCTCAACTCAGCCATCATCATACTTGGCAATAAACAAGCGCAAAATTTGCTCACCTCTGCAGTCTGATCAGGCATCTACAAAACGATTCATTCACAACCCAATAAACACATCTGTGCATTTAACTTCTCCATTCAAAGGTTATCAATCTGGTATCCTCCACCGACTGTATCTATGTAAAGAGGTTCTTGCTCCCACCTTTCCTCCAAACCCCGCGCACAGGCACCCCTCCAGCGGCATCATCTGAAGATGCTTCGCCTACTAAACCAGGACCCAGGTCATGGTCGGAATTCTTCTTGCCTAAGATCACCTCCATTGACCCATCGCCCAGCCTCGCCCTATGGAACTTTGAAGTTTTCTTCTTTTTCATATTTCCATCGCCAGATGAAGTGGACCGTTGCTGACCGCCTGATTCCCAATTATCAACAGTCGAACTAGACTTTCCTTTAGAGTTCCGATAACCATCCTTGGATAACACCTCGACCAGCTCTTCTGCCACAGGTTTCTGTTGTTGTGACTGCAGTGTCCGAACCGTGTTCATAATGTTATCGGCTAATTTATCCCTTGAGCTGCTGCTGCTGTTGCTGCCTTCTGAAGATATTCCCTTGCCCTTTTTAGTAGAGTCTTTACCCTTTTCCTGGCGGCCATTCCTTCCCAAACTAGCAGCAGCATTGTAGGTGTCAACCAGCTCCTTCTGCTTCTGGGGATCAGGGCAAAGTCTAGCTAACTCGAGAACAAGATGAGACAACCCATACTGCTGCACATATCCCAAGTACTCTTCAGTGTCGACAGAGCCCTGTCGATACTGACCAGAAATCTCTTTGAAAGAAGCATACATTGCCTCATCGTGATGTAAGGCGTCACGAATTTTCTCAACCAGAGATTTGTTTGCAGTTTGAACATCTCCAGCATTAACCACAGCCTTCTGCTGACTACTGGAGGGTGCTTTAACCACAGCCTGCTGCTGACTACTGGAGGCTGCTTTGTGTACTTGCACCGCGGAGACTGGAGGGAAATCCGAGTCAGGGGGCTTTTTCAGTAACCTAGTACTCTCAGCAAGACTTGGGGCTGATGCAGAATGACTCATTCTGCCACTAGTGCTCACTAGATTACCAGCAGAGATATGTCCAGCAACTGACACGGGTGCTCGAACAGGGGAAGGACTTGCACGACTTGAAAGTGGAGGAGGTGCAGTAGAAATACTGTGAGAGCTTGATGGCACATTATTATTTATCGCTGGCCACTGTGATGAACCACCACTAACAGAGAGGGGCACACGGGTTGTAGCCCATCCCTTGGCTGAGTTGACAACAGTTGCCTTTTTGTTCTTGCGTCTGAGATGTGCTGCCATAGTGTTGTTTGGTAAACCTTCTGGTTCTTGTGTGGGCTTCTGCTGCTGGCTACTACTACTGCTGGGGCCCGTAGCAAGGGGAGGAAAGGCGGACTCTTGCAGAGCACCATTCCTACTGTGCCCTAATGCTTGAAGATATCTTGAAGGCGTGGATGAGTCAGATAGAGTTAATGAGTCTAGAGGCTCACTGAGTGGATCCATATAAATACCATCTCCAGAATCAGCTGCTGTTTGTGTACCAGATGACGGCAATGGGGGATCAGCGTAAGAGGTATCCAGACTTGCCTGAATTGCCATGGAAAGTTGGTTATCAGAATCATCACGCCGAGATGGGCGGCCCCTTCCACGACGGGCATCTTGTTCACGATGAAAACGGAAGCTGGTTGGTATCTGAAATTGCAATCAATCACCAAAGTTGTCAACAAACAAGAAGAACAAACAGAGAAAACAGGACAGACCATACCAAACAAATAATACTGGGTGTGTAGAACCAGACACTAAGAAGACTGAGTTTGAGAATAAGGAAAGATATACATACCTGTAGAGCAGCATTACGCTTCGAACGGGACATACGCCCAGCATGTTCGATGGTATTATGCCTCTGAAAGATTCAAGAACAAAGTTTGATAAGTAGGCTGGATAAAAATGCAGGACAACTGCATTGCAGAAGCACAATATCCACTTCTCATGAACATACTGACCTTCATTTCAGATTCACTTTGAAAAACAACAAACTTTTTGGCAAGACATGACTCATCCTCACAAAGGAAATGGTCTCCGCGGAAGTGCATCTGCAAATAGAATAGTTTCACTCAGTTAGAAAGAGCAAGAGTTACAAAATAAGTTTCAATCAATCGGGTTAAACAACAACGATGAATTGGACATAAAAGAACAGAGCTCACCTCTAGGTCATCGTAATTTCTGTAATACTCATATTGTCCAGGGTGCTGCCTGTATTCGACATAAGCTACAGCGGTTAATTTCAGGAAGTTGACGAAGTAAATTATTCCAACATTATGATAAACAAAATGGTGGCACACCTTTGGCATATATGACAGGTATAGTGGTCCCTAGACATATGCGAGTATAACTCATTTTCACCATAGAATGATGACTTGCAAAATTCACATTGGGGATGACCCATAAAGCCACCTCTTTCACTTTCACTACCATCCACCTCAGAGTTCCCTGTGCTGCTGTGCTGATTAAGCTGTGATCTGCTATACAACTTCTGCTCACAAATAAATACCTGTAAATGGCAGAGAAGCCCAAGGAATTCAGACGAGAAACAATAAAAAATCCAACATATTCTGCCTCACTTGCACCAAAATTTCAGCTTTAACAGTTCACACTACCAAGCTACTCAAATACAAAGCCAGACAAGGCATCAAAAGATAAAGAAGTACAAAACTTTGTGATGCTATTTTATGTGAGCTTGCCAACCCTTGCAAATTATACACCTAGGGCAGAACTTTAAGTAACAGTTGCAGTAAAACATCAAGAAGACTGAGAAAGAATTACCCGAGTGAATCTGAACCCTTTCAGATTCTAAAACAAGTACTACCACATAACATGATAACAATAAAGCTAAAACCAAATGACACAAAAACAATCAAAATCAACGGAGAGTGGATCATTCTACCTTCCGCCCTTCCAAACATAGGCTGCACATAAACAACTTATGTTTGTGAAACAAATGACCCTTCAGCTGTTCAATGTTCCTAAACCTGGAGCGACGCTTTGTGCCATCATTCGTCTCCTCCTCCATGTTGTCACATACACTGCACGAGAGTCTGCACATTGCCTTGATCATCTTGTAGTGGTCCACATCATCAAAAAACGCCTGTGTATCCTCATGGTACCAATACGACCCGCTCCTGCCTTCCCTAGGTTCAGAAGGAAGGACTGCGAAGTCATTGATCATCCTTGTATAGTCTCCCAGAGCCTGCACATATCACAGGTTACAAACAGAAAGTGATCATCACCAACACCAAAGCCATTGAAGCAAATCAATGAGGACCCTCAGCGGCATTCCCCAAGAGAACCCTTCAGGAGGCTACATCCACCGGGCAGAACCAAGTACAAGTTGCAAAAATCGTTTCTTTATGACAACCCAATTACTGAAGTAACAAGCACTGAAAAACGTATCCGCATGTGAGAAATCAGCTCCAACATTCAACCAAGTCCCAGAATTCCCAACAGCCCATCTTAACAAACATCGCATAGGTATCAAAGAAGCTGTTAGATTGACGAGGAGCAGGGGGGATTGTTCCTAACCTTGGTGACAAAAACGACATCGGACTCCGCCTTGCAGATGCAGCACCGCCGATCATCGCAGATGAAGCGAAGACGAACGACGCAGGTAGAGCAGACGTCGCGATGGCCGCAGGCGCCGTAGGCAACCCATTCCAAGGCATCGGCACACACAGCACAGCTATCGTCCATATTACTCCGATCGGTCGCTCTTCGCCTCCCCTTGCTGAAACTAGCGAGAAAAACTTAGGAAAGGGCCTCCGCCGATCGGGAAGAAGGAGAGAGAGCCGGGGAAGATCGGGAGACAGAGGGATCTAGGGTTTCCAAGGAAGAGAAAGAACAATCAAAACGCGAACTGCAGAGAACAAAGGAGAAGGATAGAGGGGTAGCCCAAGAGTTTCGTGAAAGAGAGATTTTTTTTTTATTTTATTCTCGAGAAATTTATTATCCCTCCTCTTTGGTTACGTTCGCTGGTTCCTTGGTGGGCACTGCTACGTATTTATTTGGGCTACTAGTCCTATTGGCGGGCGGCAATGCTGATAGTTTAGCGGCCCAACCAATCTTTCCTTGTTCTTTATGTAAAAGAATCGAGATTCACATCCTAATTCAGAGCGGATTAATGATTAGGATTCACATCTTTGCTAAGAAGTAAGGACCCTTTCTGGTGGCTTCTCCGTCAGATCAACGGGTAGATGATCGAGAGAGAGAAGCGATGATGGATGTCGTCGTCACCCTCAGTCTCTCTACTTATGTTTTACATGGACGGAGAAGATAGGAGAAGAGGTGGCGACTAGGATTTGGTTGTTCGAGAGTGAAGGAGAATAAAGGCTATATTTTCTTCTGGTCTTTTGTTCATAGAGAGAGTTGATTCGTTTTTTATATGTAGAGAGGAAAAAACAGAGTGGCGAGAAGACGAGAGTGAAGAGAAGAAGGGAGTGTGCATCTAGGATTTTTCTTGCTCGTCACTTTACGTTTATAAATTCTCTAAAAAGACAATTATTCCCCTTGCCTTTGTACATATCCACAAACCTATCACCATTCTCTCTTTTCAGGCGGGTAGGCACTTCACATGATATAGCAAACTCCAAGTTCAAGTTTACTTACTTTAAACAACTAAAACTAACACCAAATGATTAAATTGATCAAGTTTCAAAATGAGAAAACTCACTCTAGTAATGATTCCCCCTAGTCACTAGCCTAATTGATAATTAATGATTCTCTAACTCCTCTCACCATTTGTTCACAATGAGGAGAGTCTTTAACAAGTCTTTAATGTTGATCAAAGCATTCAAAGCCCTCTTGAGTGGATTTCTTCGATGGACTCTATCATAAACTAAGATAACCGACAAAGGCTATTCGGCCTAAACACCCTCTACTGGATTCACACCCAATACAAAGTAGTTGGTCGACTCACTTTCGCACAATCGATCCCTACTTCCAATCAACGATCGCTCTAATCAAGCGAAGAGAGAGCTTACCAACTTTGATCTACGTCTCTCAGTCAGTTTTCTAACAATGAAAAATATGAAGTTGATGGAGTGGAACTGGCGGCAGCGTAGTGGAGGAGAAAGAATAAGACATGACTGAAAAATATACATTAACAGTCTAACAATGAGCGTGGAGAAGGAAGGAATTTGAAGATTGAAGTCGTCGTTGCTTATGCCAACGAGTTTGTCCACCATCTCGCCCGAGAAGGAAGGAACATAAAGACTCATCGGTTGAATTATAGTATTTATCTCAACGTGCACAACCATGTACATATTGAGCTATACTTTTAGTCTCGCTTGGTAGGAGTATGCATGCACACTTAAATGTCTCTAACACAATGTTCGTGCAAATAAATCTTTAGAAAACTTTATATTTTGTATTGTTTAATTTTAATAATATTTTGAAAATTGTCCTAATAGAGATATACCTGGGAAACTAGGAAAGGAGATTATTGAACAAACTCGTTTGTTGGTTGGGCTTGTTGCCCATCAATTTATTTTTTGATGATATAATACCAACCCAATAGGAGGGGATGAAGCCCAGCCCAATCTGTTCACTCGAGTTTCCCAATTTCGCCATCTTCAGTTTCCTTCTCTTTCCTTGCTTCCTCACCTTCAGATCCAGAAGCCTCAAAACTCTCTCAGGTAGAAAACCCGACGTCCGTGCTCCTGCGCGCCTGGATCGGATCATCAGCGAAGGAACTAATTGCGGGAATCGGTCAATTCCCAAATCTATCAACCTACAGCAAAATGGATTTTAGCCAGGTAGATATTCCCTCGTTCTCGCTCTTCAGATCTACGGTACCAGAATTACTATAATTAAGATCGGCCCTCCATTGTTTCCGGCGGCGCATATCTCACACCATCTGTTCTCGTAGTTTACTTGTACGGGATGAAATCCAGCTTTTTTCTGTGCTGATCAATCTGTTTTTTGCTTTTGGGATGTGCAGACGCCTGGCGAAAACTACGCCAATCCCAAGACTTGCTTCTTCCATGTGCTCTTCAAGGTTTGATTCATCCACCGTTTCTGGCATCTGGGTTCTCTATGGGTTCTTTGGTCTTTGCATTGATTTCGATCTAATTTTACCTTTTTGCACCCTTTTTGGCAGGCTGCAGCGCTGGCGTTTTATATACTATCAGCTCTCTTCGTTGATAGTTTCGTCATTATCTTTGTGGTAACCGTGGTGCTTGCTGCTCTTGATTTCTGGGTAGTTAAGAATGTCAGCGGGCGGATTTTAGTTGGACTCAGGTGGTGGAATGAGATCAATGAAGATGGTGAAAGTGTTTGGAAGTTTGAGAGCCTTGACCAACAGGTTTTGTAACAGTCTTCCCACAATGTTTGGTGGGATCATTGCTCCTCAATGTTAATTGCTCATGAGTTGCCCCGTATTTAGAATCTTCTCGCTGTGTTCCTTTTGTTTATGCAGTCACTGGCTCGGATTAACAAGAAGGATTCTTGGCTATTCTGGTGGACGTTGTACCTTAATGTGAGTTTTTTTTTTTGTGGAGTTAGATGTAGACCGTCTTTTCATTTATCAACTTACATTCACAGTTCCATATGTAGTGTCAAGCATTCTCCAGTTTTTCATTTGTAAACAGAACCTAGTTTATGCAAGTGAATGGCTTGACTTAGATCCTCTATTTTGTCAAAGTGAGAGATTTATCGAGGTGTTAACCACAGTTCGCGCTCTATAATGGTTTGTATGCATGATATTCTCTGGTAAATTTGCTGTTGCAGGCAGCTGCTTGGATTGTCCTTGGAGTATTTTCTGTGATAAGGTTTCAGGTGGACTATGTTCTGGTGATCGCTGTCTGCTTAAGCCTCAGCATCGCCAACATAATTGGTTTTACCAAATGCCAGAAAGGTTTGGAACTTCTCCTTTTGAACTTATACTGCATGCCTGAAGCAATATTGAATAATCGGTGTTGCTACTCGAATCCAGGAAGCATGCGCTCATATTGATAGTCTGTTTGACTTCCTGATTCTCCCTTTGAATCTAATACTTTTGGTTGCTTGTGCAAAAGAGTAATTTAACATCGTTTAAACTGTGTGCTGCTCGTGGAAGTGATCAGAGTGTACTTATGTAATGTAGTGCACTGTTTTCTTTATTAGCTCCTTACTGTTAGATATTTTCTTCTGATCTCATCAACACATTGTTGCATTTTAAATGCATGTGGTTTGGTTAAGTTCTCAAGAACATTTTGTTGGTTAAGTTAACGATAAAATTTGGAAAAGAGGAACAATAATATGAGCTATTACATGCTCTGCTAACCTACTTCAAGTCAGTGCACAGTATAAAGTCTGATGTGTGTTATAATCATGTTAATGGTACATTATCCTGAATGGTACTGTTCGTACTAGTTAGTTGATTATCTGAACGACTGCATGCTCTTGTTGATCCTCTTTCTAGTAATGGCCTTCAAGCAAACTCATGTATTGCCACCTTCTCTACACAGTATACTTGACTGTTTGCTCACATTAATAACTTCCTCCATTGTCAGATGCCAAGAAGCAGATCCAAGCATTCGCAACTCAGACGATCTCATCTCGTTTTTCATCAACTCTGCAGTCTGCCTTCAGCGTGGTCTGAGTTATCTGGACTCTGAACAGAAAGTTTCAATGTTATAATTTCGAGCATTTTCGTCAATGTATGCAACATGTCCTTTATCTAGTGTCAGTAGCAGATGAATCGTCACAGCCCTAGTTTCTCAAAGTCCATCCCTTTCCTGGAATGTGTAAAAAGAAAGCATCACATATATACGAGGCAAAAATGTATTGTAAAAGCACTTTGTTCCAAGTACTCCGAGCACAGTCGTAGATGTGATCTTGTTTGAAAAGGATAAAAAAAGAGCTTGCTGCTTGCTCTAGTTTTGAATCTTTCTTTACTTATGAAAAAGAACCATTTCGACGATGGCACTCTTGCTAGACAGTTTAATCACCTTATTAATCCTGATTAGGAAGTAGAAGTCTCCCATGTGTATAGAGAGGCTCTAATTTTGGGTGGTGCTTAAAGGCACTAATCCAGGGAAGTTGGAGACTCTGTCTATTCGGTAGTGCTGAATACATCTGGACAGCATAAACGAACGACCACTGGCGCGCCATCGCAATTTAAGATGATCATAATGGGAAATTGCCATCCAGCTATCTCATGATCGAGGTCTCCGACCAAAACACATGATCAAAGAGGACCCCTTGTCGTGTTCTTTAGTGCCTGGAATCAATGACCAAAACCCATTCATGTTTATAGAAATGATAAAAATGAAATTGACATCATGATGACGACACAGAGATGGTCTCATGATGCAAGGAACATACATTGTTTACTTACCATAGTTTTGATGTTAGTGGTATGTCGGCCGCCTGAACCTGACACAACCGGTATTATGCTATGGTCAAAATTCGAGATACCGGGTGATCCAACCAGAAGCATACATTCCTATCTCTTAATTAAACAGTGCATTTTTAAATTAGATTATTAAAAAAAAATTCTTCTTGGTAATGTTTTTAGCTGACTCGTTCGCCTTGTTCATTCACCATCGCGAGACAACTCGACCCACAACTTCTCTATGCCTTTACTTATTCTTCGCCGACGAATACTAGGTCGGTAGACAATTCATCAGCGACACGACGAGCTAGGCGCAAGGTGCTGATGTTATTCAGATCGGGGGTCACTAATACAACGCTTCATAAGCGAGTGGCTCATTGACATATATAGTCAATACAATGCAATTACTACAAGAAAATCTGATTTTAAGAGGACGAGACTATTTGACTCGAAATGACATTTATTTGCTTCTATATATCGATGGAGACAAATACATCAATTGTTTGTATCCAACTTCTCCACTAATTTTCCTTTTCAGAAGTAACTCAACGTAGATACAAACAACAAATGTTGTGAATATTACCTAACGAATGTTGTGATAATGCCTAACACGTACAATGACAACTTTCACTCAACCGCATGCTGCGAATACTCTCAGACGCGCATATCATGAAGTAAACTCACATATGTTTGTTAGTAACAAGTATCTCGAATTATATATCCAAAAATATTATTAACATCATTCTTACTAAAAATACTTTCTTTACAAACTTTTCTCGAGAAAACTATAGTTTGGTTCCTAATTCCTAAAAAATTACTCATAAAAAAGAGGGTTACAGCAGTGCTACTGCAAATGTTTCTCTTACCCCACCACCTATTCAGCAGCTCCTCAAATCCGCATTATGATTCTGTTATATATATTGAAGTGGCCATGCTATGCTACCACAATAGAATTGAATATTGGAGAATATAATCCACAACTCCATGGCTCCAAACTCCCACAATAATGTGCTCCTCATCCTCCTCCTTGTTTCCTTCTTCTGTTCTTTTTTGGGGAATGGCGCTGCCAATTCTATCCTTGACGAGAAGCTGCGGCTGGCTGAGATGAACAGAATCAGAATCAGCGTCAGCCAAGATGGGAGTGCAGATTTCCGCACCATCACTGAAGCCCTTGCGAGCATTCCGCCACACAATGCCAGGAGGGTCGTCATATTCGTCGAATCGGGTGTTTACAGGTACCACCGATGATATCGCGCGGTAATATCCTGTTAGTGAACGACATAAATCTGAACGACATAAATCTGTGTGTTGTTTACTTTTGTTTTTTTTTTAATACTATTTTTCAGAGAGAAGATTGCAATTCCCAAAACATTGCCATTCATTACATTGCGGGGAGACGCTGGCGGCGACCCACCAACGATCACAGGAAACGACACCGCTTCTGTGCCGGGGAAAGATGGGATGCCGCTCACAACATTTCAGAGCGCCACCGTTGCTGTGGACGGCGATTATTTCGTTGCCGTCAACATCAAGTTTGAGGTGCATCCTCTATAGCTAATTTTACATATACTAGTTACAAAGTATAATTGCCATCCAACATTTAAGCTTACAAAGTATATGACTCGATTAATAAAATTAATAATTAGAAAAAAGTTATCTTTGACGGGTAAAAAAACTTCACTCTCTCCTTTATTAACAAAATCCCGGATCATTTTGGAGATGATTAACAAAATTCTCAAGTTTTATGTATATTATATGTAATAATAACCATAGTTCAAAAAGGAGCACTTGAGCATAGGTGCTCGGCAAAGGCAAAACTTCTTGTATAGTATAGTGGTTCCACGGCAAATTAGATATTTCGAACGCGGTGACACAGTTTGACAACACCTTGGTGTCACCTAGGTGCATTTGGGTATAATATCATACCCAAAACGTCGTTTAATTCATGATCCAAATAGAAAAACTCAACAGACGCACGATAGCCTAACGTACGCCCGGGCAAACGCTAGCCTTAATGAAAAAACCCCTCTTCCAGAGATTCTCGATTATGATCTTCGGCACCCCCCAATTACTTGTAACAAATAGGGATTTGGGGTAGAGAGAAAGAACTAGGGATTTAGATGGGAATAACATAATAGAATAAAGAATCGGACGAGGCCTTGGATTGGATTGGGGAAGAATAGAAATTAGGAGTAGTTGAGAGGTATTAGGTTTAGGAGGGATACTTTGCTTAATACGTTTTTGATTGATTATGAATGAAAAGTTGAAAACCAACTTACATATTTATAGATAAAACACGAGAAAACCATAGTAATAATCCCTATTCTACAAAATCTCTACTAACCTTAATTATAATTATTCGTACGCACTACTACGAAATCTCATATATTTTGGGAATAGATTACAGATTCTCGATCAATCAAAGCAATAACAAGAACATTTTAGTGACATTGCAGAACACAGCACCGCATGTGATAGGGTCTAGAGGAGGACAAGGTGTGGCCATCCGAGTCTCTGGAACCAAGGCTGCGTTCTACAACTGCAGTTTCTATGGCAATCAAGACACGCTGTATGATCACAAAGGCCTTCACTATTTCAACAGTTGCTTCATCCAAGGTTCTGTCGACTTCATTTTTGGCTCCGGCACATCCCTTTACGAGGTCAGTTGCTGATGATTAACTCTTCCATTTGAATTAGAATCAAGAGCTTTGTAAACTTTATTTTTTTTTTATCATCATATTGGATTAAGGTCAGGTCATTGGAGAAGTACTTCCTATACTCCTTTGTAATTTGTAATTTTTTCAAGTGCATATAACCTGGTTCTCTTCCGCCAATGAACTATATAGCTAACACACATAGTGTTAACGAGAATCACGTAAATATGTATGTTTTTTACTTTCTTCGCTATCGTTGTCCGTCTTGCATTGTCGATTGTCCCGATCCGTGTGTGACAACCTCTCTTGCATATGTAATGTGAATCTAGGGCTGAAATTGGCCCAGACCTGCCTCGGACCATGTAAGAACCATGTTTGACCCGTCTCTATAGAATCGATTTATAAAACAGGCCTGCCCCGCCCATGTTTCCTCCTTGATTCTATCTGATTCGTTCAGGTCGGGTCAAAATCAATCAACAAACTGATTTTTTGGTATCCAAATTTATTTTTATCTACACTTAATTTATTTTTTAACGAAATAGGTCGAGGAATTTCGGTAATAAATCCATATTTTACTACTTTTATATTTTTTTCTTTGCATTATAGTATCCAAAGTTTTTAAATTTCATAAACAGGTCCAATTTGTCAGTACCCTATCCTCTCCCAATTTCAAATCGCCAGTTCTTGCTTACGAGTCATAAACCAATAAGATCCTTACATGATCAAAAGACGACCCAATCTTAAACCGATTATTACGTAGACAAACTGATCCAGTCCGACCTTTCTAGGGCTAGACTTTACCGGCCTAAATGTGATATATGATGAATGAAAGGTGTGAGGGTTAATATTAAATGCAGAATTGCGGTTTGAGATCGACGTCGAAGAAAGTTGCCTCAATCACAGCGCAAAAGAGAAGCAGTTCGTCACTTGCCAATGGGTTCTCCTTCAAGAACTGTTCAGTGACTGGAAGCGGCAGGATTTATCTTGGTCGGGCGTGGGGTGATTATTCCAGGGTGGTTTTCTCCTACACTTACATGGACCAGGTTGTCCTCCCTCAAGGCTGGAACGACTGGGGCAAAACTGAGCGTGACAGGTTACTTTCCAAACTCAAAGACTACTGTCATGATATCCAGTTAATCATCATTTTTATGAGCCATTGTTGTTATTTTCTGCAGGAGAGTGTTTTATGGGGAATACAAATGCAGTGGCCCAGGTGCTGATGTGACAGAGAGGGTGCCTTGGGCCAGAATACTGAGTGACGAGGAGGCCCAACCCTTCTTAGGTACTTACTATGTTGATGGAGACGAATGGCTCGTAGACCCACTCACTGAGTGATCATCAGTTTGGGACTAAAAGGTTTACCTGGTTTTCGATTCATCTAATGTAAAACTGATGTGAAAGATTTTATGTCATTGAAAAAAGGATTGTGGTTTGCTTCATGGATTTAAGAAAATGAGAGTTTTGGAAAAAAAAATTGGGTGTTGAAAATTCCTAGATTCGTGGTGGATTTGTTGTCATTACGGATTTGAAAGAGTTTAGAGATCGTTTGCGTAATGGATTTGATCGTGGATTTGATGAACAAATTTCTTCCATCATAGACTTTGACCAAAGTCCATTGTTTGCTTCATGGAATTAGGGGTATCAAATATGTGGGGCGTAGACGTGGCAAATAAATTGGATTGGTGGATTGAATTGGTGGATCCATGGATCAAATGGATTGGTGGAATCATGGATTGGATCTAATGGATTGGTGGATCATCCATGAATCCAAATGAACCCCCATATGAGGCAAAAATGAACCCCCCATATGTGCATAAAGTAGCACGGAAATACGAAAACACTTCAAAAGACTTACGTGGGAAGGAATTCAAATAGTTATTAATCAAGCTATATAGGCTTCGCCCCAATATTCATAAAAGAAGACTCGAGAGAGAAAAAGAAAATTCCATATTGTGAGAGATGAATCATTTCGTCCTTACGAAGTATGTTTTGAGAATCATTGCCAAGATCAAAAGTTTATAAGTGCAAGGGTTGACCTTGGAAGTTTCATATTATCCACAACCTATGATCGAAAGTCAACGTTTCCTTGTGGAGATCTAGTAAGGAGAATGATGATTGATATTAGATTTTCTTGGGGACAAGCAAAATTCAAGTGTTGGGTTATTTGACGACACATAGAAATGTCTATCCTAGGTTCCGTATTATGATCAAAAGTGCATATATTTCCTATCATTATCGTCATAATACCTTGTATTTGTGCTATGATTGCTTCAAGTATGTTCTAGCAATCCTAGGATTGCTTTCATACGATTGATACACTTTTGATAACATTTTGTGCATTTCAGGTCAAAGTAGACTAGTGGAACACTTGGCAACCGAAGTGGACATCAAGATGCAGTTGTTGTGGTCAAGAATCAAAGAGAGAATGCATTGAAGAAATGGCGCCCAAAGCGCCATTTTGAGGAGAAGAAACAATGCCATTTTACTGAGCTCAACGACAAGTCAGGGTGAGCTCCTGCCTCTGAAGTTTCTTGAGGTGAGGTAGCAGTTTCTGTTCTCAATATTGGATGTTCTTGAATGTTCTTACTACTTCAAAGAATAGCCGCCTTGCTCTCCTCGTCGTTTTTACCGGCTATCATATGTGATACTCCACTCTTCCTCCTCTTATTCTTTCTTTCAATCATGTTCATTTTCATCCATGTTTCTTAGCAGGTTCAAGATATCTCATGATGAATTTATTTTACATACTTTTCTACAATGAACTTGTTGAAAAACACACTTCAAAATTGGATGAATGATGAAATCATGAATGATTTTTTTTTGTTCATTATATTGATAGATACATCCTTGATCGTTTGGATGATGAATGTATTTTACGTACTTTTCTGAATATGAAAACACGTTGTGGACTATGGTAAAACATTAATATAAGTTATGAATTATTTTCTTTTAAGTGTTGGAACCACCCTAACAAAATTCCTGGCTACGCCACTGCTAGCACACATGTCAAGTTTATCATTTATCTTTTCTCTGTAGCAATAGTCATAGTAACCAAAACTTACCTTATTCTAAAAAAAACTATTAAAATTATCAAACACTTTTGTTTGAAGTTCGAACTGTATTTTTTTTTTTTTTTTTTTGCCAAACGAACTGTATTTAAACAAGTGCGAATCATATTTAGAATCGTTGCTCATACAAATCAAAAATGCATTTATTAAATTCAAAACACTAGAAGTTTCTCGCTATAAAACCGATTCCAATCCAACACATTCCTCGAGTCCATCGACTTATCGAGAACAGAAGAAAACTCTTCCAATCTCACAACGGACAACTATAACGCCACACTAAAATGAAAAAATATTACAAAACAAATATATATATCATATATGTGTCGAAACAGCAAACCATTAACAATTGAACAATTGGCGGGTGAAAGAATAAATGGAAGAAAAAAAAAACTAGAGGGACAAAACTAGGCACTATTTACATCCAGCTAGCTTTTAGCTGTGGGCGACGAGCCATATTTATTTGTCTATCATCTATGTCGCTTTTTCTTTTTTCTTCTGTTCCTTTTGTTTCTTCCTACACAACCGAGCAAAACATGCTAACAACATTTTATGTGTTTACTAAATACGGTAATTCGTAAATATTTTCTATCAACTCTTTTAGGGCATATTAACTAAAATCGTATCAGCTAATATAGCTAAGAAGACGGTGGCTGTACTTTCTTGAAGAGGTCAAGTCGTGAATCGGCCAGCCGCATGGCATACACGGCCGACTTGAACTCTCCCCAGGTGAAAGGCTGGTACAGGCAGGGACTGCCGCGGGAGATCAGCTCCGGCACGGGACAGATCCACGCGTCCAGCGCCGGCGCGCCGAAGTACATCATCGACATTCGAGCCCGCGCCGAGTTGGCCAGCGCTCTGTGCCTCACGCTCGCGAACCTCCCGTTGGTGAGCGCCTGGAACGCGTCGCCGACGATCGCGTAGAACGCGTTGGGGTCCGGCTGGACGGAGATCCACAGGCCGTCCCTGGTGCAGATCTGGAGGCCCGAGACGTCGTTGGATCGGAGGAGGGTCAGGATCTGAGGGTCCGAATGCTCCCCGAACCCGATCCGCTTCGGAGAAGGTTGGTCCCACTGTGGGGCCCCACCTTTTTTTTTCCCCCAAGGATAGTGGTTGATCCTGATGACCGAGTCGTTATGCGCGTCCCTGACCAGCCGACTAAAAGCGTACTTGTCCCCGATCTGCAGCCCCTCCGCGGCTAAATCGAGGATTTCACAAGCCAGGTCTTTCACTTCCTCTATGTAATCGTTCGCCACGGATCTGAACAAAAAATCAACGAAGCAAGAGATGAGTGACCTCTGAAAAAGTGATCATAACACACCCAAAAAAATAAAATAGGACGATACCAATAATATATTAATCAGAAAAAAAAAAATTGAATTACTAAAAAAGTGACCAAGAAAATTCATAAAAGAAGTGAGAGGACCGGCTAACATGTGCATGGGAATTGTTATTTCCTGGGGATATGGGGAAAGGAAGGTGCCTGGTCTGGTTGGAGCCTTTTATTTATTTATATATTTAATAACAAAATTTGAGACCAAAAAGTGGTCTTTGACTATGTGAACATTTGTGTCCCGCATTTTTATTATTGAAAAACTGGGAATACGCTATTAAAATCAATATATATTTTTTATAAGATAAAATCAATATTATTGGTTTAGGTATTAATCATTTAATCTACGAGTACGACTTAGAGTTTTGAGTCAACAAGAGGATTAACGAAAAAAAAAAAAGAAATTGGAAGGAAGATAGCTGTAGCAGATGTTAAGTTGTTTCATTTGATGCATCGCTGCAGCGGCTTTGTTTCAATTTTTCACAATTATTTTTTTCCCCCCATAAATGGAGCCGTGTCCTTTTCTAGGACACTACGCACTTACATTTTTTTGAACAATCAATCAATCTTTCCTTCCCCAACTTCCACCCATAATTGAGTTGGAACCTAGCGGTCAACTATAAAAAAAAAAATTTCTTAAAATACATTATAGAAAAACTTTTATAACAATAAAAATGAAGAAATTATACCACTCGAATTTATTTATTTTTAATCATAATAAATATTCTTTTATTAATAAAACCGGCCGGCCATCCTAACTCCTTTTTCCGCCAAATTATTTATAGTTATTTATCATATTAAAAAAAGTTCCCCCACCATCTCCACAAGTTGGTAGCAAACCATTAATCATTCTCTTCCAAAATCCATCACTATTTTAGCCAACCCTATAATAAGTTTTAGTGATAATCACTCCACTTATAGTCCACCTTTCAAAAAAAAAAAAACGCGAAAAGTTACCTTTACCACACTACGTACGATTTGAACAAAAAAAAATCAAAGTAGTATAGAACATTTTTATTTTATGCTGAAACCGTAATTGAAACATGAGTTAAAAAATCGTCTGCGGATTTAGACTCCAACAGTAAAAAAAATTCGGTTGGTACGATTTTACGCGCAGTAAAACAGAAATTTATTTGACGCGAATGAAAGAAGAAGAAAACAAGGGAACCAAAAAAAAACAGAGGATGATGAAAGAGCAACCAATCCAGCTAAATTTTGGGTACCTGAAATTCTCCGGTTCTTCAGAGATGGTGAGCGATCGCTCGAAAAGTGAAGCCGGATTGGTATGGAGGGTGAGGTATTCGAGCTCGCCCGTGTCGCCATTGCACCCAATGTTCTTGCAGCCGTAGCCGAAAGGCGCCGCCGGTCCGGCCCTCTGTTTCACCGGCGCCGGCTTGGCGAAGAATTCGGCACCTTCCTTCTCCCAGCGGGACACCGCCTCCATGTCGACGCCGTGGTTGACAACCTTGAAGAACCCGAGCTCTTCGCAGGCGTCCACGATCGATTCCGACATGGTTTCTCTGTCCAGGGAGAGGTCGACGGTCGGGATTCCGACAGCCCTGGATTTCTTGGTCCAGAAGGAAATTGGGGAAGGGACCACCATTGTTGTTGTCTTTCTTTGTTTTGCTAGAGTGAGGAAGAAGGATTGGGAAATGGAGAATGTGATTGAGCAGATTTGGAGAGGAAATTGAAGGAAGGAAGGGAGAAGCGATGGGTTTGAAGATGATGCTCTGGCTCTTCTTATATAGAGATATTAGCAGGTCCAAAGGTGAGAAAGTAGAGGAGGGTGTTTTGTTTTTTTTGATATTCACTGAACTTTTATAGAAAAAGGGAAACAAAGATATTTAAAATTTTCTACCAAAAAAAGATATTTCAATTTCATTTTGCTGAACAAAGATATTTGTTTTTTGTTTTGGGTTTTGGCAAATGTATCTGGTTCATTGATAATAATAAAAAAAATTTATCTCTGGTTTCACCGTGGCACAAGAGTTTTCCTCACAAAAACTCTTTTTTTTTTTTAATTTCACGAATCATTTCACTAACACTTATATTCACACTTGTAATTTTGCAAAATGCCTCTGGTTAGGTAACTTCCTCACGAAAATAACTAAATTACGCTAAATAAGAAAGACAATAAATTAAGGTTTGAGTTCCAATATTCTTCATACTATTAGGCTGAGTCCAATGCAGCCTGCATTTATGGGGTTGTCGGCATTAATGGCGATTGGGGAGTTCCAACGCAGAGAAATAAATGCCGAAAATCGGCAATTATGGAGGCGATCGGCAATTGGATCGCTATATATGGGGGAGGGTTTGCCGATTTCGGCATTTATGGAGGCCGAGCTATCTGCTGAGCGGCACAGCCGCCGGGGCTGGGCGGTGGGCCGCACGCGCAAGGGAGAGAGTCTCTCCCTTGCGCGTGCGGCCCACCGCCCAGCCCCGGCGGCTGTGCCGCCCAGCACGTTTTTTTTTTTTTTTTTAATTGTTGACGTTGTAATTAGGAGTTGTAATTAAAGCCATTAGGAGTTGTAATTAATTAGGGAATCTGATTTAGGGAATTGTAATTAATTAATGTCGAGTTAATTAGAGGAATTATTAAAGGAGTTGTAATTAATTAGGGGAAGGGGAATTAAATTGAATTAATTAGGGGAAGGGGAATTAAATTTATGTTTGTATTTAGGCTTTTTAGGTCCATAATTTTTTGCTAAAAAAAATTCGGTCTCGAAATTTAACAAAATTCTATCGAAAAATTTGTATTTAAAAATGATGACGAACTATACAAAAATTAACATGAACAAATTATGTTAAAGTTTCGATAAGTACATTTTTCAATAAATGAAAAAACTGGAAATATTAAGAACCCCAAATATGGAGTTTGTTGCATTGGAGCAAAAGAAGGGAAAATGGGGTCCAATCCCCAAATTTGGAGTTCAAGGCCCCTATATTTGGGGTTTTGCATTGGACTTGGCCTTAAACGAAAGACAAAGTACAAATTTATGCACTTAGAGTCCCCTCCTTCTCCCTCGTGGTCCGGTCCTCTCCTCCCTATTCCTACCAATAATATGTAACCTTCTCCTACAAGTACACCACAACCAAATCCTAAACATATACCAAAAGATAACTCAAATCCTAAACAATAATAATATCCTGAATAATAACCAAAATACCAATTAATAAATAAAACTACTGAAAATAAACGAGCCCAGAAATTGCCCGAATTATTACGATAGCTCGTCTCGTAACAACAGAGCGAGACAGAGAGACGCAACGGGTTGAATCTGATGAGGTCCTTGGATCTGTTCAATAGAGAGGAATCGCAAGAAACAGCGAGAGATAGAAACCGACGGGGAGGGTAACTGCTAGTCTATCGGTCCATCTTTCTTTATTGTCTCTTTTCTCGAGACGCTTGGAAGAGTTTGAAAGAGTAGAGATGGATCCACTGTTATTGTTTATTGATTGCGAGCAACACCATGGAAGTGTCAAGATCCACTGCTAGTAGGAATTATGTTTGTACATATCAGTTCGTATTTGTTTCGATTAGTAGCAATTGTGATGTAGTGATTCGTATTTGTAGACCTCGCAGTCAACAAAGCAATATGACATTAACATTCCTAACAACTTGTAAACTTGCCTTTATTAACAAATGCCAATGTAAATAAGTTTTTTTTGTCTTGGTAAAAAAAAAATGTAAATAAGTTATTGATACAAATAACATGAGATGGATTAATTGTGAGATTCTCTAACAAATATCTTGTAAATTCCAGGATAAAAGAGCTTCTAGATAATAAAAACGTCTGTCATTCACACCCTCATTAATTACGTCCTTGAAAGACCAGCATCCATAGATTTTCACATTCCCAAATCCAAATCACCTTTTTTTAACGAAATTTGATAAACATGAAGACACTTGGCATTACCAATTTTTGTAGAATTAATTAATTAAATAAATAAATAAATTGGGGAGGAACCATTCCTTCCCCCTACAGGATCCTTCTACACAAATTGAAAGAAAGATCGATGTCTCCAAAGGGATTAAGATATAACACAAAATTATATTCATTTCCTCCTAGGATTGATCAAAACCCATGCAGTTGGCGATCATATGTATCATCGCCAGGCCCCCCGATCGAGTATCGCTGTATTTGTCCTACACTTCTATTAGCCAGTACTTCGAAAAGTTGTATCGGAAAAGGTAAGCGAATATACACAAACGATTGGAACAACGAGTTTGCGAAGTTGTTTTGTTTCATTTAATAATAGGGGATGGGAATTGAAAGATGAACACGTACGGGGAGAGCGGCTTCGGTGTAATCGAAGGTAAATTACAGGGGCTGGCTGGCCAATTAATTTAAGCTCAAAAGTTTAAGAGGCAAAACAATGTATTCTGTTCTCCCATTGGATGCAATCCCCTTGTATTGCGTGTTGATGTACAACTGTCATTTTCCATGGAATTGAGGATCGCATCAGATGGGTTTCTTCTTCTTCTAGGAACTTCTCCTTACAGTTTCGGAGACAATTTCTATAAGTGCTTTGTTCTTTTTTCTAGATTTGCATATAGGATACGTCTTAGTAAATGTCTCATACCTATCCACAAGTCAGTCTGAAATTTTGTATTGTGCTCTGAAAAAGGTTTGTTTATGAAGGAATAAGGAGGTTTAAGGTTCGAATTTCTAAATAATATCTAATTATGATTTCCCCTCATTTAGTTAGGATATCTGAGAGAGCCCCGAATTAGGTTTTTACACCTAAAACCCTAATCACTGAGACGGTGGGTTCCATAGATCTATTGAGAGAGTTTTCGAGGAAGATTCAAGATTCTTAGGGTCTCGTAGTTGAGTTCCTAGATTGCCTCCTTCATCTAGTATATAAGGGTGTAATTCTTTTATACCTTTTAACATATATATATGTGTGTAAGATGGCTACCAAAGATATAACACTAGTTGCCCTCACATATATGTAAGATGGCTAGCGAAGATACAACACTAGTACATGCAACAAAAGAGCTTGCGCTGAGGGATTCAGACAGACGAAGAAGACGATGAAACTTTGATAATAAAGGAGACATACAAGATTACTGGCCTAGATGAAGTAGTGCAGAAGTTAGGTTTAATAGGTCGTGTGGTGGCTCGACGAAACCCTAATGTGAAATCGATTAAGATTGCGCTATTTAAGGTTTGGAACCTAATTAAAGAAGGACTTCATGATAACACCACTCGAAGAAAACTTGTATACGTTTCAATTTTATGACTCGGATGACCGTAATAGGTTGAGATTTGGAGGTCCTTGGCACTTCGATGGGGAATTTCACAGAGGCTAACCTAAATATTCACCCTAAGCCCGAGGACTTTTGTGAGTTGGAACTCTAGATTCGAGTAATTGATATGCCCTCAGCTTACAGGAACAAAGGTATGGCAGAGAAGATTGCAGGGAAGTATGGGATGTTTCTTTTGTTGGGTGAGTGGAATTCTGGCATGTGCATAAGTGCAGCGAAAAAACATAAACAAACCCCTTCGTAAGGGTACAATGCTAGAGATTGAAGGAAAGATACAAGACATACATCACAAGAAAGAGAGAACACTTAAGAACTTTAAGAAAAAACTGTCACGCAGTAGGGATGCACTTAAATACTTGATAAAGCTACATATGCCTTGCCTCATATCCTTAGAAAGTCTCGAGTTGAGGAAAGACTCAATCTCGTGAGAGAAGAATTTGTCATGCTTACGAAGGACGTTTTGCACTTCATCACCATGTTCAAAAGTCCTCTAAGTGCGATGATTGGCCTTGTAAGCTCCATATGATCCACTACCTAAGATAAAAAAATGTTGACACAAACGCTTAACACAGGAACTCTAAAAGATGTATATAATTGATTTGTATATGGTCTATTTACAATCTTCCCAAACCATGTTTGAGATTTTTCATGGCAGAATTCCACAATATGGAATCATTTTTCTAATAATATTCTTATCAAATGACTTTTATTTTTTATTTTTATTATGACTAGTTGTGAAGTACATATCATTTAAGTTGGCTTGGTCAATTAATTTGATAAAATATCATGATTGACTCAGCCTATGCCAAGATCAAGAACATATAAATATTGAGGAATCTTGCACGTATATATTTATATTATCATAAAAACGAGTGCTTGTGAACCCATATTGTACCTGCGGTTCGCTTGGTAAAAACTCTTAATGGAGCCTAAATTGATAGGCAGTTTTTAGCGATTTGAAACGATATATTAAACCACGTCGTTAACTTTTCCAATACGATCTCAAGCATTGTTTTACAACTTTTGGAAAAAAAGTCAAATGATGATCATTTAAATCAAGGGTGTCAATTCCACAATGAAATGTAAATGAAAAAGGGTTTAGAACAACCCCCTCAAAAAAGCCCCAAAATATGGGTCAGTGCCCACTCCTTTACAATTTACCTTATATTCCATCAACATCCACCACCGTGCTTTCCAATCCATCATCCGAATGTTCGAATATTTCATCCAATCCAAAATAACCCATCCATTTCTTCCCTATATAAATCATTTGGACCACAATTTACATGGAATATCCATCCACAACCAACCAACCAAACCAAACCAAGGTTTTATGCCCTTGACTTGTTCCATATCCATCCATGTATTTGTATGTAGTAGGCAGGCAGGTGCTGCTTTGTGTAAGTAGCACTTACTGCACCGTGACAAAAGTATGCTGATTGGAGAGACGACACACACGTGCAAACGAGAGACAAAGACTCTGCTTTCCCGCCTCCAAAAAGGTGCCCTCTGTCCTTGAATTCATGGCTGCGGCCGGCCAAGCAGAGCCGACCAGCAGACAAAACCCCAAAAAAACACAACAACCAGCTGGGAGCACAAATGACTCAGATGAAAAGGGGAGCAACCAGACAGGGAGCTGCATGGCGTCCTACTTGGTTCCAAACTATGGCACGACAAAACCTGGCCTACTGTGGACTGTAGGTCCTAAATTCTCCATGGTTTGCCACATGGCGCTCTCTTGATTACTCCCCAAATTTCTTCTTTTTTCCTGCTTTGCATATACTGAATATGGAAGATTGAATCCATCCAGCAATAAGAAAACACTGATCGGGAAGAAAAAAAGTATAAGAAATTCATAAGAAAAAAAGTATTCAGAATTAATTTTTCATCCGTGAGGAATTTTACCACCCATCATTCAAGGTATATGTGTTTTAGTTTTTTGCTTTCACGATACAAACTTAACTTGTATTTATAACATTATGTTACAAATTTAAGTTGTACGAATTCTATTATGATAAAAAAAAAAGGAGAATTTTTTTTTATTCCATTCAGAAAAATTACAGACGAAAGATTCGTGCGGCCACAGTACAGCAAAAAATTCAGCATAATTTTGGAATTGTAATAATTTTGAAGAATGGTTAGCTTTACAAGATATTCATCCGGTTGTGGGGAGCAATGGTAGCAAGGAATCTCTCTGCCTTTTGGCCCAATCAGCGGAAAACCTGGTTGCGGCGCCCCTGATTGGCAATGTTGTTTATCCCGCGCCTTTTTTTTGTTATTATTAAAAAAAAAATCAGGGGATTGACGGATTACGCCAAAATGAATTCATCAGGGGTCGTTTGGAAGTTGCGAATGTTAAATCGTTGCATTGTAATGAATTACCATAATATAAATGCATGTATTGATATAATGGATGTATTTTAGTAATACAGTGTTTGGTTGTTGAGATTCTACTTTATGCGTTGATTTACATAAAATTACTTTTATGGGGAAATGTCATATTTACCCGCAACTCTTAGTATAAGACAAAAAACTATTAGGGATATAAATGGAAAGAAAAAAGTTGACACAAATCTAAAAGCAACAATCTCAACTTTTAGTTGAGATTGTATAATGCATCATTTTTTGTGATTGTTAGTGGGACCTACCTAAAACAATGCATGCATTGTTTTACACTTTGGCACTTCCAAACATTGTATTGTGCACAATACATGTATTCAACAAACACAACTCTGACAATCACAACTTTCAATCCAAACGACCCCTCAGTATCGCAATTCCATGAAAAATTGGTATCCTAATCGATATTCCTGAATACAAAAATAATTACCTTTGTGATTAATAATCAAATATATAAATAAATAATGGTTAGAACATCCCTAATCTCGTGCATTTTATATGGTGTAGATTTTGTAGATTTAATTTTGCGATTGAAAATTTTGGTTATGGGAATTTGAGGTGAGAAATGTCTAATAAAACCTAATCGAAGTCATCATTTGATTGGATTCAATCAAATCTTTCATTGAACTAATTCATTATAGGTTCTCATTTAGCGCAAGGAGACTCGACAAAGAGTCTTGAGTTCGTCTAGAGCTAGGACATGGATAGTTAGAAGGGAGGGGATGGTGATATCTCAATTCTTGTTATTGATAATCTTTAATTTTATGGATTGAAGGTTGAGAGACGACTAATGAGAGTGTATCTTTGTGAGTCATGAAAATAATAAGAGATTGAGTGAGAGACGAAAGTGACTTAAATTGGAAAGTATAAATTGGGTTGGATGGGGGTTTGTGAGTTTTCAAATATTGAGGAAGAACCAAAGTATGTGTGCTATATTTAATTTTGTTGTTTCTCGATATTACGGTATAAACAATCTCAATCTCGTATTTATAGTCTCGTTGACCAACATTCCTTTCTCTTTTTTCTATTTAAACTTTACCTTTTTAGTATTTATATTCTCGTATCTTGCTCTTACTCTTCGGAATATGTTTGGCAAAAAAACTGCACTAAGTAAAACAGAACGGGCCGGGCTGGCCGAAATGCATTTAGAGCCACACGATTTTTACCTGGCGAAATTGAGCGCAGCAACTGGTGTGCCTTCTTGTGGTCCAGACTAGCCTGACCCTCCCTTCCTTCCTTTTCCTCACAAAATGCAACTGCAAAATTTGCCAATTCTGAGAGAAGAATGCAAGGCGTGCTACTAGCTACAGTTAGCTCAACTCCATGCTTTCTTCAAACATTCCTCCGTCATCCTCACCACCACCGCCTTCCATTCCGCCAGAACCAGACGAAGGGAAGCGGCCGCCTCTATACAACTAAACCACTATGCAATCTGAGAGACACACAGCAGCCATCTTCAAACAGCTCCTGGCCCGTCGTTGGTCTTTTGCTGTTTGGTTCAGGTTTCTTCTTAGGCCCCCTTCTCGACGGACTCCATTCCAGGGTGGACCTCGTCGAGTATCGAACTGGGTCGATCGATATCGGCCCTCTGCATACCGACATCTGGGTAAGCTCCTCTGTTACTCAACAAAAACTCGTGGCCTCCAAGAATAAAATGTGTCTGTCTTCTTTCTTTCTATCAGGTCCCTCCCATGCTTGGACTGTTTTACTCCACTGTCGGGTTGCTGCAGCTATTCGTAGACGACAAGACATCGTCTGAAGCTCCACGAGGCAGCCCAGAGAACCTAGCTGCTTCGCTAGTGTAAGACTGATTTTAGAAATTCTCTGGTTAATTTCTCCATGTAATCCAAATCATGTATGCTTCACCTGTAATATTTGCAGGGCGCTTGTGCTGTTCCTGGAGTTGAGCGCTGAAATGTACAGAGCAGGAGTAGCAGATAACATCGAGGCATACATACTGTTTGCATTAGCAGAGTTGATATGGTTCTCTGTGGACAGGACGCGGATAGGATTCACACTCGCATCAATCGTAGGCGTCTGCTGTCCACTCGCGGAGATTCCAATAATGAAGTACCAAAAATACTTAGCCTGCCTTGGTAGTTGGTACTTTGGAAGAAAAACAACTATGATCAATAGTAACAACTGATGTTTCTATATCAACCTGTGCTGGCAGGTTCTTGCACCTTTGGGAGTACCCACAAGCTAACATTGAGATATTTGGTCAGGTGATTTACCTTCTAACCAACCTCAAAAGAGAATATAGTAGAGTTGTTGGAAGCCTGATATGGTGATGCCGTTATTGACGCAGGGACTAGTAACCTGGACTGTCACTTGCTACTTCGTTTACACACCGTTCCTCGTCAGCCTGTCCCGCTGGTTGAGATCAGTTGTTAAGACCTCTGCTGACAACAAAAACAAATCCATCTAGGGGAAAGTGACAGCAGATTCTCGAAGCCTTCCGCTGGAGGACGGGTGATCTAGCTGTTGAGAAGGAAGGCTTTCTGTCTATTGGGCTGTCGTGGCCTGAAATTCAATGGAACACCTTTCAAGCAGGAACCAAACAAGGAGGCAGTGACAGAAACCTGAAAACACCAATGTTATAGCTCTATAGAGGAGCCATCATCCTACATATTTTTCGATGCTAACTGAAAGTCTAGTCCAAGTCTTGTGTATATCAGGATCAGAGCAAGATGTTTGCAACTCTGCACCCTGTTCTCTCCTCATCAAGAATTGCAAGTTTAAATTGGAGTACATCCTTGCTCTAATGCACATAGTGTTCTAACATGATGTCCTTCTGGCTTTAAGACGCAACTCATGTTAACAAAAGTTGATATAGGCATTGCTACAATACATGCCAGGCTCATCCTCTCTCAAAATCAGAACCCAAAATGCAGTAATACATGATACTTTGAAGCCTTCTGCAAACGGTTCCAGTCATCACATACAGCACTGATGAAGGGGAACCGAAGAGGCGAAATATCAGGCCTTGTAGTGGCAGTAAAGAAACAGAAGGCTTTACACATTTGTCCATTCAAGAAGTCTCTCACAATGTAAGCACAATCAACAAAAACCACAAGAGTATAATAAATATAAACCCCTTGAATTTTTTCTCAGAATAAATCCAAGTAGACAATATCAGAGGACTTACTAGTTACAACAGTGGCGATCTACGATCAATCTCTGCAACAATATACGCAACCTAATCCACAAATACGACATTTTGGATATCTGGGAACTTCTCCTTGATTGCAGCTTTGACTCCTGAACCGATAGACTCGGGCCCTGTGTATCTAACCTGACACTCGCCGCTCTCGATCGATAGCACGTCCACACTCCCGCCATAGTTCTTAATTGCTGGTCTTAGAATCTCAAGATGGCCATTCACAGCCTACGGAGTTGGATATTGGCATGTAGAGAAATTCATCAGCCAACTATTGATGGGAATTTGCTTTTGTTTACAAGAATCTGAGACCACCGACTAACCTCCACAGTAGCTGCCCCGTTGATATCTTCATTGCCCACCTGCCGGATTTCTTTGACTGCGTCCCCAAATTTTTCCTTCAGAACTCGTTCAATCCCCATTTTCATGGTGGTCGTTGAGCTAGGGCAACTCCCACAAGCTCCTGCCATAATCGATCCAAGAAAAAGAAAACAATATCGACTCAATCGTCAATCGCAAAATTGCAGCAAGATAAAAGGAAATCAAATCAACAATTCAGACCTTGCAGTTGAAGGGAGATAACGCCGTCTTCGACGGAGACGACGTCGACGTTCCCGCCGTCAGCGATCAAGTAAGGCCTCACGTCCTCCAAGACTAAGTCGACGTTCTTAGCCGTCAGATCGAACGTTTGGGCGGAGTAAAGTCCCGACGAAGACGGCGCGCTTGAGCTCGCGGCGGCACATATCGCCGTTCCGCGGGAAGCCTTTCCCTTGCAGACGATTCTTCTACTGCTTCTTCCGTGATTCGAAGGGAAATCTATGGATTGCTGCTGGAACTGACCGATGGAAGAGGAAGAGGATACAAGTATCGGACAGCGATGAGGTTGCACTTTGGATGTCGCAGCGGACGCCGCCATGGAAGCCATTTCTGGGCGCGAGAGAGCAAATGGGTGGATAACAATCGTTTTTTGTCTTTGATCTGAACTAAGCTTTATTTCATCATTAGATTGTTTTATATGTATGTATAATAATCTAAGATTAGATATTTCTGGCAGACATCCAAGACCACCACCAACCAAGGTTGTCAAACCGGTTTATACCATTACGTCGTTTTAGTAAGTGAAACTGGTAAAATTGGTGATACGTTTATACCGGTTATACCAACTTTAATAGAATACCTGAGGAAAATGGAAAATCATCAATATCAAATAAATTAGTTAGGAAGCAACTAAAAAGATTAATTCACATAAAATCATTTATAGTTAGTATTTTCCTCAATTTGTTTCAATGTCAGCCGCTCTGTATAGATATACCTATCAGAAGAGGGACAAAATTAGAGTATGCGAAGTTATGTGTTGAGATATCTGCATACCACAGTCGGGTTCTTTGGTTCCTCAGGCATGAACTTCGAAAGTGTAACACCAGGAAGAACAGAAGGTCTCATAATCTCACTTGCATGCCTTCAACTCCGAGACCACAAGAAAGATCACGATCGCGACTTTCAAATCACGATCAGGATCTCCAGTCTGCGAACTCCCTTTGCAGACAGGTCAAATCGACTTCATACCGAGATGACGCAACAAATTTCGAGTTCGCGACCTTAAACTTCTCCGAAAATGGGCATGAACTTCTCTGAATTTCCAATCTCTATAAATAGGAGGAACCCCCAGAGTTTTAGAGAGCTTATATCTTTCTAGGCAGATTTTAGAGGGAGAGTAAAGAGATAAGTTCACGGATTAAAGAAGAGGCAGAAGGTGCATTTGCTCAAATACATATGAAAGAGTTGCGTTATTAGCTTACATCCTGTTGAAAAGAAAGAAACAGCTGAGAATTCTATCGAACAAACAAAGCTATGGTTTCTCTGACTTCCATCCAAATCAACGTTTCCTAATGAACCCAGCTAAACCTTACAATCAGGCTTAGTAGTGGTTGTACGATTTCTCGAAATCCCCAGGTCTCTGATGCTGGAACTCACCATAATCATTATGAGCTCTAGAAGTATAATTTTCCAGATGATTTTGGTAACTGGGCCTGGAACCGACAGACAAGCTTGCTCTGGGGAAGTGAGGATGCACCGTTGATGAGGCACCGCCATCGTAGTCAGGATATGGTTTTTGAACGAAACCACTATAACCTGCGACAGGCATTTGCCGCCGTGCTGCTTCCTGTTGGCGTCGTTGAGCATCGAGTTGATGAAAGAACGCCTCAAATTGTTTGCTGTGGGTGCCCCTCAAGGCGGATAACTTCTTCAGGTAACTATCTCGTATCCCACTCATTGCCTAACAAACCATTTGAAGATCAACGTCAAAAAACCATAACAATTCAATGAGGTTGATTGTAAATATGGAGCATAATAATGAGATAGATGTCTGATACCTCACGATGTTTGTAGTTCTCTTCATCTTCTTCCTTGTCATGGATTCTTCCAAGCATCGCTGCCTCCTTTTTGTAGTCTAGTTCTAATTCCTCGAGTGTCCGAGGGAAGTAAGAATACTCAGACTGCTGGTTATGGGAGAGAAACTCAGATCCTCCTCGCCTTCCAGCATCCCATCCATCTAACCCGCCACTGCCTGTGCCGCGACTGTGCCCATCATATGAACCATAGGAATCACCACCATGAGGAGGACGTCTAGGAGACTTAGAATGGCTTGACCGACTTCTACGTCCATCTTTCACATAAGCTGCTTCAGAAAACAAACAAAAAGTCAAGGCCTGGATTCTCGAATCCAAAAACTGAAGTGCATTATTTAATGTATACAACTCATTTATAACAAACCAAACCATCCTCAAGTCAGACATTTTGTTTAGATATTTCTTTGGCTTTCAGGACAACAATATTATTTATAAACGGTGGACTGAGCTCCATACAAGAACTTACCTCTTGATTGGAATAATCACGGCCAATAAGCAGCAGCACAGTTAATGTATTTAGCAAAATGAGTGCCAGGAAATTAGTATGAAAGCTTGCAGAGGCCCAACAACAATGAAAATGGGATTACCAGTTGTTTATGGATGCCGTAAAAGTATCCTATGCTGTCCCTACCTTGTGGTGAACCCCTTGAGAATTTCTGCATATCCTCACGAATACGATCTTCTATAATCTTATCCTGGCGTCCAAATCTGTGTTGATACTGAGATGCATCACGAGGGTAACTTGGATGAGACCTCTGAGATTCAGAGTATCTCAACCGAGATGCAGGAGGGCTTGGTTGATCAGGTGACCTAGACCTGCTCATCTTAGAGGTAGAGGAGGCCCTATGATCACCGCCATCTCCCTTAATCATTTTGTGCACAGCATCAACACCTTTCTTCAATATCAACCTGTCCTTTCCACTAACAATAATAAACTTCTCCTCCATTTTGAGCTTGCATCCAATATCTCTTTCAATCCTTTGCATTGCCTTCTCAGTAAATAGGGATCTAATGTACTTTTCTCTTGCAGGAACCCTTTCGATAAAATCTTGAGACTTGCGATTGGCACCAAGAGTGGAAGGGCACCCCTGTATATGTGCCAGATTGAATCTCACACCATTTAGTGGCAGTTTGCTGGTGATGCTAACACAAAGTTTTTTTATAAGCGGTAGGAGGGAGAGAGCAGGAGGGGGAATGACTTAACCAATCTGATCTCTCAAAACATGCAGACAAGGAAGTAAGGAAGATTCCCATACATTCTTCCCCCAGTTTAATTATGTTTGGCCACAAAAAGAAAAAGAACATGAGCTAGAAATTAAAATCCTCCATTTTTCATTAGCAATAGCAAAAATTAAACTACAGTAGACTAGTCTGCAAAGGGAAATAGGTTAGGAGTTATTACGCTGTAAGCATATGAAAACTTAGGCTTCAGAAGAGGTTTCTTTTTCCCTTCTTGAGAGCAAGTTGATCCAGAAAATTAAACTATCAGACTATAACAAATTTTGCTTTCTGAACCATACTGGAGCTACAAAATACGCCAGCAACCGGTCCACAAGAGATCCTGTCACGCTGACAGCATTCCAGCCAGGAACTAAAATGCATTGCATGTTTATGAGATTATGTCTTCAGCAGTAAAGCAACCTTCATAGTCCAAGAACACAGACCGAAACAGAAAGAAAAACAATACCTGAGTGAAATGACCTGATTCTCCGCAAATTTTGCATATTAACTCTTCTTCTTTTCTTTTCTTCCAGTTCCGCTCTGTTGCTTTTGACTTAGCTTCCCAAACCTTTGCTTCCCTACTGGTAAAATCGGTTGGGACAGCATTGGGGTCAGGAGACCCCTCTTCCTCCTCAGAAACTGCTTGGGATTGATTATTTCCTTGTCCCTGATCCTGTGCATTGTTGGCAGTAGATCCTAGAGGACCAGTATACTCCTTGTAGATATCCCTAAAATCATCATCATCCATATCTGATGTAGTTGTCATCCCAATAAGGCTAACTTCACCAAAACCCCTGCACTATCAACAGAAACCCCATATTTTATCATCATCCATATTTTATCATCCAAATTGGAAAGACAGAAGTAATTACTCTGATAAGAAAGCATAGAAACAACAAGCTTATACACATTCAATGACTGCAATGCTAAAGGACGTGATAGCAGAAACATAAAATGAAAGCAAGGTTTGCAAACATCTGTTGGAGGGGGATGAAGTCATATAAAACAAGAGCATTTAATCTATTTATTCCAATATCAGTTAAAAATCAAAATCAAAATCAAAATGGAAGACCACAAAGCACCTCAAACGATAGCCATGAAACTAGGATTAAAACAAATCACAAAATGCAAGACGCATATTGAAAAGTAATAAGAACCAAGAACAAGATAAAATAAGTAACTGGCAAATAGTTGGCTACTTATATCATGCATCCATAGCACATGATATCAACAGTTAATTACGTAAACAACATTCACAAAATACATCTCCCTATATCTGACATTCACGCCCATCCATTGACCCATCTACGGAGTAATATCAATCAACATCAGGAAATAACTATTTGCCAGCACCATAGATCCAAATCCATGGAGTAGCTCCCAGTTACAGAATCTAGTCAGGAAAACGAGTATACACCCAATCCACAGCAGCTAAAAGGTAATGAAGAAAGATTTTAGGCCTAGTGTGTTTATCCGTAATTGGTCTTGCTGTTTTAGATGCTGATCGAGGAATGTGGTGGTAAGATGGAAAATGGCAAGGAAAGGGTAGGCATCTCAAAGACGACAACTGTGTTTACAAGCAATCAAACAAGGCCTTCCAATTCTCTTATAAGACCAATTAGACAATTGGAAATGAAAATACAAAATCATACTTTCTGCTATACAAAAATCATACTTTCTGCTATACAAAAATCATCTGCAGATCTCACCATGGAGAATGCAAGTAGATGATTTACCAAATCAAACCAGTGTCATTCGAAAACATGATAATAACCAAATCTATTTGATACAAGTCCCTCATTTTGTAGTGATGTGATGATGCAAAGCCTCTTTTCATCAATACAACGGCAAACACAAGTAAACCAGCAGTCAATATTAACATACTGATTATCACACGCTTATCTGGCCATTACAATCTCAATAAAAGGAAACCCTACGAATTAGCAACAGACCCCCAATTTGAATAGATAGCAACTGGGGTTTTGACCCCATAAGCAAACACAGGCAGAACAATATAAATGAAACGATACAATTTTGCTGCCATTATCGATAACATGTCAAACGCACATTCGGCAGCAATCAAAATGATGTTTGTATGCCAGAAAGGATAGCTGAAGATGAGTTAAAAACTGGAAGCAGCAAGCAGTGTTCAATTTACCCGAGTCTCCGGCAGATTCTCCCGTTCAGCTCCCGGGTTTCTCTAGATAACTACGTCAGAGCCAGTGACGAACCCTGCACGAGGCGGAGATGGCGCCCGAGAGCTCCCTCAGAACTAATCGTCTCTATCGCGCGGATGTTTGTCGAGAAGTAGGGCTGCTTCGCCGCGAAAGCGCTGTAGCCGTGAGTGATAAATGCTGACGGTGCAGACGGAAGGAACAAACACCGACGAGTAACGCTGACCAGACAAAAGCGACGGGCGGCGGAGTCAGAGCTCTCCGATTGCTTCGCTATCTCTAAGCTCTTTTATTTCCCTGTTCTCGACGAGGCGAGGGCTGCCCTCTTCGACTTGCGTTGTGTGTGTCTATTGAGGTTGAGGGTGGGAAGGGTTATCAAACCGGTTTATACACGATTGTAACCGAAAAAGTAAGTGATAGGCTATTTTATAGCAAAATGTAGTTTAATTGCGGTTTATACCGCATATCGATCTAGTCTCTAGTATGAGATTTTGGTTGGACCATCAATAGTAAGGTATGATTTATACGGTTACATTAGTCTAGTTCTATAAAGATAGTAAAACACTTTAAGGGAGTCATTTGGATGAGTTAATTGTCAATGTGGTATTTGTAGAGTCAAATTTGTTCATGTGGTATTTCAGTGTTATTTCATTAGTAATTTAAATAAAGTATCTCGTTTGGATGAACCATTCAAATGTGGTATTTGACATGTAGGGGTCATTTGGATGCAGGTTTTGGGTGTGGGATTTGGGCACAATCCTACATAGTGTGGGATTTTATTAAAATCACTCGTTTGGAAAGCAATTATATGATAAGAGATTTTAAATATTAGAGATTTCAGAAACCCACAATTGTGGGATTATGAAATAGCTGATGGTGATCAGCTATTTTAAAATCCCACACAAATTCCACAAATTAAAAACCTGGGTTTTTAAACCAGTGATTTGAGCCAAAATCCCACAAATTAAAAACCTGGATCCAAATGACCCCGTAGTATTTGGTAAAAGCATAGTAAAACGAGTTATTTCGAAATAACACATAGGTACGAGTTATTTCAAATAACTCGGTTTTAGTTTTTTTACAAATAACTCACTATCCAAATAACTCATTTCAGTAAAACGCTGCCAAACGAATTATTTGTGTCCAAATAACTCATACAAATACTCCATCCAAACGACCCCTAAGATTACTCTTATGTTACGTAGAGTTTGGAGATCAACCAGAAATTATCGAAATCTTTTACTTTTAATATATTTTATGAGGTGTAACTCGGTCGATGGTGACTGGTTTTCTGCCAACTAAGGGATCGTTTGCTTGATGGATTTGGGTCATGTATTTGGGACTCAAATCCCAAGCATGATGGATTTTAGCCAAGTTCATTGTTTGTTGTCAGGTGTTAAATCCGTGGGGTCCATGGATTTGTTTCCTTTTTTGGATCCAAATTCGTGGACCCCACAAACTTGTAAATCCCACATATTTGGGTGGGATTTGTAAATCCTTGATGGCTAGTTATATTTATAGCAAATCCATCATAATTATATCATCAAATCTATCATGCAAACAATAGACTCTTCAAATCCATGATGGTACAAATCCCTCATAAATCCAAAAGTTTTTTTTTAGCCAAAACCCTCATTTTTCAAATCAAACAAGCAAACAACCCCTAAACCTTCAATTCTTTTTTTTAGAACAGATAGGGTACAAGACCTTATTCTACAAAAACTCAAATCTCGAACCATCCATCAAATTGTCATCTCTCAAAATTCATTAAGAGATTTTTTATAACAAAAGATACTCAATTATATTGAATCAAAACAGTAGTTACACCCTGGAATTCAGCCCGGTCTGATAATCAAAGAGACGATTCATAGTCGGAGATAAAGAAAGGGCCTTGCGAGCCACCGAATGGGCTACCCTATTGTTCCTACGACCTACAAACCGAATATTAAAACCACTATGATCCTCAAAACACTGCCGAACCTCCTCCATAACAGCTCCAACTTGATTATCATTGGCATCACCTCGAGCAATCTTATCAATGACCACTTTGACGTCTCCTTCAAAACGCATCTCTGTGTGGCCATTAGCCAAACACCAATCAATGGCTTCACGGAGGACGAGTAATTCCACGACCATAGGATCCTCAATCAACGGGAATAGCACCCCCTTGACAAAGAGGACTTCCCTAGAATGCGTCATGATCACCATTCCCCCGCCGAATGAGAACCGGGCCTTACTTCCCCATCCCACATACAAATGGGCCTATGAGCATCCACAGTAGCTCCTTGTTGGGTCAGGGTAATTTATGCAGCCATTTCTCTTCTTTTACGAACATTGAAATCAGAGGATAGAGAGAGGAGAATTTTGACCAGTAAAAAATTACTTTTATTATCTTTTATTTATATTAATCGGATAGGTACTCCTTCTTTTGAACTCATAATTAAAAAAAAAAATTGCATAAAAATTGCATAGTATGTTGCTTTTTTACTTTACATAAATTTAGAATCTTAACTTCCAAATAGTGTAACATATAGTCAACACCCATAATGAAAATACATAATTAAGGGCGAATTCCCTTAAATCTGCGCTACATGGCAATCAACGGCGATGATTGATAGTTAAAAAGTTGATGTGTCAATTAAAACAACAATTTTTTTTTCTTTCACATCATATTAAATCTAATAAATATTTAGTTTCATAAAAAAATTAATTAATATAAAAAAGTAGTATTAAAAACTTATCCTTGTCGGACGCTTGCGACAATGAAGAATAAGAAAGGACCGACCCAAGAGCTCGTTGCGAAATAGAGGGGAGCAATGAACATCAGCTTCCAAATGATGATCATGATCAAGATCCTCGTAGCCAACCTCGTCAACGATTGGAAGACCAAAATGAAAGGCGACAATCGAGGAAGAATCTCTCTAGGTTTGGCAGCGGTCCTTGCTCTAATGAAAACCGCTAGATTGTTTTTCCTCCTAGACACTCCCAACTCCATCCTCGAATTCGATGACATGGTAAGGGCAAGGGCAAGCAAATGCTACTAAAAATCCGCGGCTCGAACGACATGGACGCCAAGTTCGAGGACCTCGTAAGAGTTAGTGGCGCCGCCAAGAAAATCGACCGCTCTTTGCAGAGCCTCCACGTGGAACGACGGTAGCACCCCTAGCTCATGCTCTGCACCTTGATCTCGTTCTTTCAACAGGTTACTGGGATCAACGTCGTTATGCTCGCCGATATTAATTAATTTATTTATGAAAATAAATATTTATTAAATTTTAGTATAAATTTGAAATAAAAAATAAGTATTATTAAAAATAATTGTCACGCAAGTTTTTTAACTGTCAAACATCACATTTGACTTCAATGTATAATAAATTTAACAAAATTGGACGGCTAGTGACTAAAAATAACATAAAGTATATAAGTGAATAACGAATAAAATAAAAGTTGTTTTGAGTGGCAAACATGAAATATATTGAGAAACCAAGTGACCAAACATGCCATTGATCTACGAATGCATAAGAATCTCAACCTCTTGCCTTACTCGTGGGCAAAAAGAGAAGAAAGGAAATAGAGAGGAACATTTCCGAGGGGAGGGAAAAGGAGACGAGAGAGAGATCAGAATTAGCAAGCAGAGCAGGCGTTGATAGACCATCTCGGAGAATCAAATTCCAACTCACGCAGAAAAGTGTTTGTCTTGTTTTTGTTTTCTTCTTTCTGGAGGAGCTGAGAGTGAGAGGTTTTGAGAAGGGAAAGAAAGCTCAATATCTCTCCCTCTCTCACAAACTTACACTATTGCGTGCTTCGTACGGTCTATCAACTCCAATCTGCAGAATCGAAGAATCCGACTAAAACCCACTTGTTTATCTCTCTTTCCCCCCTCTCTGTGCTTGTCCTCTTTTCTGTTCTTCGATTGTTTCACCTCTCTTCTTCTGGGCTCCTGTTTTTTCGGATTTTTTGTCCGTAACTTTTTTCAGGTGTAGTTTGTAGGGTATTACAGCCGGGTTTTAAATTTCAATGGAGACTGACAATGGGGTTTCGGCGACTAATGGGGTTGGGAGCGGCGGGTCGTACTGGCTGGATGCTTGTGAAGACATCTCTCTTGATGATTTAGACGCTACCATCGCTCAGGTTCCACTTGATTTTGCTTATAATCCGGAGAGTAATCTTGGTAATGATTTCTTTGGTGGGATTGACCACATCGTTGACTGTATTAAGAGTGGGAGTGGCCTGCCTCTTCCCGTTGATCCTAACTGTGGCCGTGGGCTTCCTCTGCCCACGACTTGCTTTAGTAATGGAGAGGGCAATGTTCATAGACATAATGGGGTGGGTAGAGACAAGCTTTATTTCAATGGTGTCAAGTTGGAGTGTTTCGATAGTGGACCTAACATGTTAGAGGTTAAAAGGGAAGAGAGCTTGTTGGTGAGCTCTAATGGGAGAAATGGAAAGACTGAAAATGGATTGGTGAGGCAAAGGAGCTATGACGGTGGACAAAGTTGTGGGAAGAGGGCTAGGTTTAGTAATGGCTGCCGATACAGTAGACAGTATGGTGATAGGCAGCATGACTCTAGAGAAAGGGATGCTGGTTCAGGTAGGAAGAGGGGACGGGGTTGGAATGATATAGAGCGGAGGGATCATATTCGCAGAAAAGATAGATACGGTGGTAATGGCAGGAGGGATGGTAGAGAAAGGGGGTGTAGAGAGATCGATCATAGGGGTTATTGGGAAAGAGATCGTTTGGGATCGAACGAGATGGTTTTCCGGCCAGGTACTTGGGAAGTGGATCATCACAATGGTGAGCCAATGGCTAATGGTAAAAACCAGCCGGAGTCTGATGAGAAGCGGGAGTTGAAATCTGAAGAGCCTGGGGAGAAAGTTCCCGAGGAGAAAGCCCGCCAATACCAGTTGGATGTTCTTGAACAAGCCAAGAAGAAAAACACTATAGCTTTTCTTGAGACCGGGGCAGGGAAGACACTAATTGCTGTACTGCTCATGAAAAGTATATGTAGCGACTTGCAGAGGGTGAACAAGAAAATGCTCGCAGTATTTTTGGTTCCCAAAGTTCCACTTGTTTATCAGGTACGTACATTCAGTGTTCTAAGCTCCAAGTTCTTAATAATGTTGCTGGGAAGGCAAAATATCAAGTTTAAGTTTCTTTACATTCAATATCCAGCAAGCAGAGGTTATTCGTGAGCGTACTGGCTTCCAAGTTGGTCATTACTGTGGTGAAATGGGTCAAGACTTCTGGGACACTAGAAGATGGCAGCGGGAATTTGAAACAAAGCAGGTAGTTCATCATATGATTATCTGCTAGTTAATCAATAGATGCCTGTATGGAGTCAATCCTGTGTATTTCCTTATGCAGGTTTTAGTAATGACAGCTCAGATTCTGCTGAACATCCTGAGGCACAGCATAATCAAAATGGAAGCTATAAATCTTCTAATTCTGGATGAATGCCATCATGCTGTTAAGAAACATCCCTATTCGCTTGTGATGTCAGAATTTTATCATACAACTCCAAGGGAGAAGAGGCCATCTATTTTTGGAATGACTGCTTCTCCTGTTAACTTGAAGGGTATTGATTCTTTTGATGTTCGGTACAGCTTCAATTCTGACTGTATGCATGAACTACTGGACTACAAGGATCTCTGACCTTCCAAGTTTGTGTTCGATCAGGTGTTTCAAGCCAAGTGGACTGTGCAATAAAGATCCGTAATCTGGAGAGTAAACTTGATTCTGTTGTTTGTACAATTAAAGACCGGAAAGAGCTGGAAAAGCATGTCCCAATGCCCTCAGAAGTTGTAGTGGAGTATGACAAAGCTGCGAGCTTATGGTCACTGCATGAACAAATAAAGCAATTGGAAGTTGCTGTTGAAGAAGCAGCACAGTCCAGCTCTAGAAAAAGTAAGTGGCAATTTATGGGAGCAAGGGATGCTGGCGCCAAAGATGAGTTACGGCAGGTTTATGGTGTCTCTGAAAGAACCGAGAGTGATGGTGCTGCCAACTTAATTCAAAAGTTGAGGGCAATCAATTACGCTCTTGGTGAACTTGGTCAGTGGTGTGCTTACAAGGTATTTTCTTTGATTTACTATTTAATGCGTCTCTCTTCTCTCCATTGTAACAATATGTATTCTGTGTTATTTGCCATTCAATGCTTCTCTCTCTAATCATTGAAAGTTTGAAACAAATTGTTGCTATAACTTTCTATCTTCTGTTTCGATGTCAGGTTGCTCTATCCTTTCTGACGGCTTTGCAAAATGATGAGAGGTCAAACTACCAGCTTGATGTCAAGTTTCAAGAATCCTATCTGGAAAAGGTTGTGTCCCTTCTAAAATGCCTAGTAGCAGAAGGAGCTGCTGTAGGAAAAGTTCCAGAAGTTCCAGAGAAAGAAAATACCAATGCTCTAACTGTAACGAATCCTGTAGAAATGGAGGAGGGCGAGCTCCCAGACAGTCATGGTGGGTTTTGTTTTGAGCCTTCTGTTGGAAGAACTAGATTCTTTTTCAAGGAGAAATAAAGTTGAAGAGGGTGCAATTTGTGGCTGGCAATATGCCATTTGCATCTTATTGCATATTCATTCAAACTAGATTTTATTGGAAATGGTTTTCTGTAGTAACTGCATGCACTTTTAGATAAGTAACATTGTTGAAATAATAACTTTGACGTCTTTGGTAACGCTGTGGTGTAGTTGTGTCTGGTGGAGAGCATGTTGATGTGGTAATTGGAGCTGCAGTTGCTGATGGAAAAGTGACCCCGAAAGTGCAGTCACTGATAAAGATACTGCTCGGATACCAGCACACAGAGGATTTCCGCGCAATCATCTTTGTTGAGCGGGTGGTTACTGCTTTAGTTCTTCCCAAGGTTGAAGCATTTCATTTGCGGTCTTGTTAAGATTCCAGAAGGCTTGGCCCTTCATTCCATGTTCCTCATCGCAGCATATTGCCATTTTTTGGGGCCAAACCTGCAGGTCTTTGCAGAGCTTCCCTCTCTTAGTTTCATCAGATGTGCTAGCTTGATTGGTCACAACAATAGTCAAGAGATGCGGACAAGCCAAATGCAGGACACAATCGCAAGATTTCGGGATGGCCGTGTATGCAACCTGGCTTTTTGACTATCTTATACTTAACTGGATAGTTTGGTATTTGATGTCTTATCAAATGATTACAGGTGACTTTGCTGGTTGCTACTAGTGTTGCTGAGGAAGGACTTGATATTAGACAATGCAATGTTGTAATCCGTTTCGATCTTGCAAAAACTGTTCTGGCGTACATTCAGTCAAGGGGCCGTGCAAGAAAGCCTGGTTCAGATTACATCTTGATGGTTGAAAGGTAGTGCTTTTGGGTCTCTGTCGATTATCAGAGTTTCTTTTCTCCATAATAGCTTTGGGTAGCTCTAAAGTTTCCACTGTTTTGCAGGGCAAACCTATCTCATACAGCATTTTTAAGGAATGCCAGGAATAGTGAGGAAACTTTGAGGAAAGAAGCAATTGAGAGAACTGACCTGAGTCATATAAAGGATACTTCAAGATTAATTTCTGTAGATCCAGTACCAGGAACTGTTTACCAGGTGCCTTCAACTGGTGCTGTTGTGAGCTTGAATTCTGCTGTTGGACTTATCCATTTTTACTGCTCCCAACTACCTAGTGACAGGTGCTTTTATTTGTTGAAATCTTAAAATATAGCTAGTTATGTTAAATGTTAGTCATTGTAGGATCTACTCATATGCATCTGTTGTCCAGATATTCTATTCTTCGCCCCGAGTTTATTATGGAAAGACACGAGAAACCAGGAGGTCCTACTGAATATTCGTGCAAGCTCCAACTTCCTTGCAATGCTCCATTCGAGAAGCTTGAGGGACCCATCTGTAGCTCAATGCGCCTTGCACAACAGGCATGTTATTCTACCTGACATTTGCTTCTCTCAATTCTGTATAGATTGCAAGAATGTCTTCCTTATCAACTTAAAATGTGCAGGCCGTGTGTTTGGCTGCCTGCAAGAAGCTCCATGAGATGGGAGCATTTACTGATATGCTCTTGCCAGACAAGGGAAGTGGGGAAGACAGAGAGAAGGATAACGATGAAAGTGAACCACTTCCTGGGACTGCTAGGCACCGAGAATTTTATCCTGAAGGTGTTGCTGATATACTTCAGGCAAGTTTTTTTCTTCTTCTTTCCATTTGATGCGATTCTGATGGTTTGCTTGTTAATTTTTCGTGAATATACAATCTTTCAATGAAGCGAGGTTCAGGGAAAATTGTCACATTATCTTTTACCTTCCTTTATATTTGTGATACTTTGAAGTAGCGAAGGAGGTTTCATCTGTTGTATCACCGTCTCCTGCTGTAAGCCTTTCTAGCAGGAATATTCTCATCCACAGGTTGTCTTCGCTCTTTTCCAGGGTGAATGGATCTTGTCAGGAAAGGATGATTGTGCTGACTCAAAGTTGTTTCGGCTTTACATGTATGCTGTTTCATCTGTTAATATTGGCACTTCAAAAGACCCTTTTATAAGTCAAGTTTCAGAATTCGCCGTGCTTTTCGGCAGTGAGCTGGATGCAGAGGTATTTACATTTTCCTCCTCTTGTCTGAGCTCGGATTAAAGTTTATAAGGATTCCTCTGTTCCTAATGGAGCTGTTTGCATAGGTGTTATCGATGTCGATGGATCTCTTTATCGCTCGAACCATGACAACAAAGGCATCTCTTGTCTTCAAGGGAGCAATGGAAATTAATGAAAATGAGGTTTGTTGTTGATTAGTCAAATAGAGCTCGTCAACCTTTCATGTCTCTCTTTCTTTCTTTTTTTGATGAATTCATGTCTCTCTTTCTTACTGACTGCTAGACATTAATTCTTCTGCAGCTGGCTTCCCTAAAAACTTTTCATGTTAGATTGATGAGTATTGTATTGGACGTGGATGTTGAACCTAACACTACTCCATGGGATCCTGCAAAAGCATATTTGTTTGTCCCTGTGGTTGGCGATAAGTCTGTAGATCCTGTAGTTGAAATTGATTGGGATCTGGTTAAAGAAACATCTAATTCGGATGCGTGGAGCAATCCCCTTCAAAGAGCTCGCCCTGATGTCTATCTTGGTACAAATGAGAGGACACTTGGTGGAGATAGGAGAGAGTATGGATTTGGAAAATTGCGGCATGGCATGGCTTTTGGGCTAAAATCCCATCCAACTTATGGCATAAGAGGAGCTGTTGCTCAGTTTGACATTGTCAAAGCTTCTGGATTGGTTCCTAACCGAGATGTGGAAGGAACACCAATTGTAGGGTCATCCAAAAGCAAACTCATGATGGCTGATTCATGCCTTCACGCCGAGGATTTGGTAGGTAGAATAGTAACTGCTGCTCATTCTGGGAAAAGGTTTTTTGTGGATTCTATACGCTATGACATGACAGCAGAGAATTCATTCCCAAGGAAAGAAGGTTATCTCGGTCCGCTTGAGTACAGCTCATATGCCGAATATTACAAACAAAAGTATGTCTACACTTTGAACTTTAGATGCTTGCCCGTTTTATCTTCTCTTTTGTTTCTTGACCTTTTTGCTTCTAGAAAAGGGAGTTGGGTTCCCTATCATAAATTCTGTGATATATTCTAATCTCTTGGTTGCATTTGGAGAGCTTGATAGCCTTCATGCATCTCCATGTTGCTGTTGAAGAATGCAGGGCCCTTCTCTCTAGTCTGTAGCTACTGTTCGGTGAAATTTATGGAAATTTCACAATTTGGTTTCACGTTGACAGTAGCTTATGACTTTGGGGAAAGCGTTGCTTCTTCTTTTGCAACAGAGGGGTGCATTAGGCTATTGGGTCCCATTTGTTCTTATTAGGTATGGAGTTGAATTGATGTACAAGTGTCAACCTTTGATAAGAGGCCGTGGCGTTTCCTATTGCAAAAATCTCCTCTCCCCTAGGTTTGAACACTCTGAAGGTATGCATCTATGTTCTTTCCATATCTCTAAAAGCGTGTTTTCTATTGGCAGAAAGATTTTTCCGCATTTGAAGTTCCTTGAACTAATGTGCAAGTTTCTTTGTGTACATAGCTGGTGATGGTGAAACAGAGGAGTGTCATGACAAAACATACTATGTGTTTCTTCCTCCCGAGCTGTGTTTAGTGCACCCTCTTCCTGGTTCTCTGGTTCGGGGTGCTCAGAGACTACCGTCAATTATGAGAAGGGTTGAGAGCATGCTCCTTGCTATCCAGCTCAAGCACATAATTAAGTACCCTATTCCTGCTTCAAAGGTATCTTTGTTTGCCCGAGGCAGTTTGTTCGGCTGGTATTAGTACATCTTGAATCCTGTGGACTAGCTATGAACTAATGCTGTCATTTTACAGATCTTGGAAGCTTTGACTGCTGCTTCATGTCAAGAGACATTCTGTTACGAGAGAGCAGAGCTTTTGGGAGATGCCTACCTAAAATGGGTCGTCAGTCGATTTCTTTTTCTCAAGTACCCCCAGAAACATGAGGGCCAACTTACAAGAATGAGGCAGAAAATGGTCAGCAACATGGTTCTGTATCAATATGCACTGATCAAAGGCCTTCAGTCTTACATCCAAGCCGATCGTTTTGCTCCATCTAGGTGGGCCGCTCCTGGAGTTTTGCCTGTCTTTGATGAAGATACAAAGGATGAACACTCGTCCTTATTCGTCGAGGAGAAATCAGGTGTGTTGGAGAAAAAGCCAGTAATAGAAGACAGTCATGTTGTTGATGAGTATGAAGAAGATGAACTTGAAGATGGAGAGCTTGAGAGCGACTCTAGCTCTTACCGAGTACTCTCTAGTAAAACACTGGCAGATGTGGTAGAGGCTTTAATTGGAGTTTACTATGTTGAAGGTGGGAAAATTGCAGCGAACCATCTTATGAAGTGGATAGGAATACAGGTAGAGTTTGATTTTGAAGAGACAGATGGGGTAATTCAGTCAACTAAAGTACCTGAAAGTATTATAAGGAGTGTTGATTTTGACAAACTTGAAGGTGTTCTGAATCACAAATTCAGCAAACGGTCCCTATTGGTAGAGGCCATAACTCATGCTTCTAGACCGTCTCCTGGAGTTTCCTGCTACCAAAGGCTGGAGTTTGTTGGTGATGCAGTCTTGGATCATCTCATTACACGGCACTTGTTCTTCTCATATACAGATTTACCTCCAGGTCGATTGACAGACTTGCGTGCTGCTGCTGTAAACAATGAAAACTTTGCCCGTGTTGCAGTAAAGCGTAAGCTCCATGTGCACCTCCGTCATGGATCGAGTGCACTAGAAAAGCAGGTATCTTTCTTTTCCTTAATACTATTGTTAAAATTCATGTTTTCTGCATATATGGTATATTGATGTACTGTTCAATGAGTGCATTTTAAGATTCAATGTTTGGTTATTGTGATTGTAATTTTGGAACTCGAAAAAATAGTTACTTTTGTGGAGGAATTCACTTTTGGAGAAAAGAAATTGGAGTTTTATGGAAATACATGGAAGTTGATAGGGACATCAGGGTAAAGAAAAATGTGTAAAAGAAAAGGAATCTCAATAATCTCAACTAAAATGTGAGATTCTATACCATTTATTTGAATGAATGATTTCAGCGGTCACATGAAGAAATAAATGCATGCATTGTTTTTATTTTGGAACAAAACTTCGGTATTTAGAAACACGAGGAATTTTATAATGCTATATAGCATTAGTGCTATAGATTTTTGCCTTTATGGTACAACTTGAAATGGTACCTTTGACGTTATGGTACAACTTCAGATTGTACTTATACTTTCTGTACAAATTCTGTTATAGTACAACTTAAATTTGTACCTTATGTGATGGTACAACTTCAAATTGTAAAGTTGTACCATAACATAATGATACAAATTCATTTATGGTACAACCTAAACTTATACATTTAATGTTATGGTACAACTTCAAGTTGTACATTAAAGCACCAATGCTATATAACATAGTAGAAGTGTTCTAGAAACACATCTACCATTGCATTACTGGGCTGGTTACTGCTTTCGGCAATCTTGATGATGTTTTGGGAAATCTTTCACATTTCAGATACGGGATTTCGTAGAGGAAGTTCAAAACGAAGTGTCGAAGCTGGAGTTCAATTCTTTTGGATTGGGAGACTGCAAAGCTCCAAAAGTTCTTGGTGATATTGTGGAATCAATTGCTGGTGCTATCTTCCTCGACAGCGAACTGGACACTGGAGTTGTTTGGAAGGTAGTATTTAGGCTCCCTCATTAATTCATGGAACTTGCTCCCTTTTGTTGCTTCTGTTTAGTGCCTGATGATTCGAAAGGTAAAGAATCCGATTGATTTATGTATTTTTTCTCTCCTGGTTTCGATAATTTTCTCTCAGGTTTTCCAGCCTTTATTGGACCCAATGGTGACGCCCGAGACACTTCCGATGCATCCAGTGAGAGAGCTGCAAGAGCGATGCCAGCAGCAGGCTGAAGGCCTGGAATACAAAGCCACTCGAACTGGCAATGTGGCCACTGTCCAAGTTTTCATAGACGGGGTCGAGGTGGGAGTTGCTCAGAATCCTCAAAAGAAGATGGCACAGAAACTTGCTGCTAGAAATGCACTAGCTATTCTCAAGGAGAAGGAAACTGCTGCTGATGAAGACAAGGTCGATCAAGACGAGGAGGGGATGAAGAAGAATGGGCACCATACTTTCACGAGACAGACCTTGAACGACATCTGCCTGCGTCGGAACTGGCCTATGCCTTTCTATCGGTACACATTGCCTCTGCGTTATTTATTGGACGTGGTTGAGAAGTTAATCGTCTGTTTGACTAATGTTCTCGTAATGAAATCTTTGAAGGTGTGTTAGTGAGGGTGGCCCGGCGCATGCAAAGAGGTTCACGTTTGCTGTTCGAGTGAATACGAATGACAGAGGGTGGACCGATGAATGCATCGGAGAGCCGATGCCAAGTGTGAAGAAGGCCAAGGACTCTGCTGCGGTTCTTCTCCTTGAACTCCTCAACAGACGGTACTCCTAATGTCCAACAGCATATATACGGCGGTAATGGAGAATTGTTGTGTAATAAAAGCAGAACAGCACTGTAATCTGCTGCGGCTAAGTTCTAATCCGTCGCTGCCTAACCGACTTTTTGGAATGGGCAATCTAGCAAGCAAAACATGGATTCTTGTTCTTCTCTCTTTGTCCACACACACACTCTATGGCCTAACTTCTCTAGTTGTTTAGGAGACGAATACTAGAATATATGTATATTGAATTTGTGTTTGTATGTGAACCTTGATTGCAAACCCTTATTCTCTATATCTAATTGATGTTTATCGCTTGTATTGGCCAAGCTTTAGTTGTTGTTGGTGTTGACCTACGAGGGAGCAATCCAATTAGGTTAAGGTGAAACACATCAATTGGTGGGCTATTATCAATTGCATGACTATTGAGTTGTCAATTCCTCTCTGGATAAAAAGTAAAAACCCTTAATTGACAATCTAATATTTGAAGCTACGAGTGGTTAATTGGGATGAGGAGACCACCCTCTCACTTAACCATATTGGAAGGGAATTTAGAAGCACGACCATTGATTCAAAGAATACTAACAAACTATTGACAATATATAAGATATGATGAATTATATTTGGTTTGCATCAATCACATTTTGATCTATTGCTAGAGGGATTTGACCCTAAACAACATCTCTTCTCTTGCAGTCTTCATCTTAGTTAGTTGTTGTTTATTTCTTGTGTAGTTCACTTTAGTTGACAAACAAAACCAAAACCCTTTGAATTGACTAGATAACCCTAAATACCCTTGTGGAATACGACTCGAGCAACTATACTACGAGTTCAGCTTGGGTATGCTTGCCCTTGCTAAGCGAAGGAGTATCTATGCAATAATTATCTATTTTTTTATATTCTCCACCACTCGTTACCACCCTTTATCTCCTTCGTTATGACTCAATTTTTGAAATTGTTTGTACATAAGGAACAAGTTTATTGTGATGTACAAAATGATATCCATTCGATTTCTCATTTGACTAAGTTTGAAGTTACAAGAAGTGTAGTCTTTTGTGTCAACTTCTTAGTCAATCGAGTGGATGACATTTTATTATTTTATCATTCTTAAATGCTGCATTTTCCTAATTTAGCCTAACAAATTGACATGAAATCATTATAACTACTATTTATTTATTTTCTTTTTTTTTCGGATAAAAGCTACACATCATTTAACCTTTGTTTTTTTTTTTATTGAACATCATTTGGTCTTCGACTGATTGAATGAAAGGAAATGTTAATGAAAGGAAGAGGAAAACAAGAATACCATGAATAATAATGATAATAAAATTTGGAACAAGAAAAGTGGAGGGTCATCCGCAGCTGCAAACTACCATTTCGCTGCATCCAAACACGAGGCAGTGTTTCGCAAACATTGTTTTTCTCTTTCGTCCATTTTATCAAACACTTTTCAGACTCTTTCCTCTTAATATATATGGTTGTGGGTACGAACATATTCCCTTCAATTCAATAAAAGGCCGCTTTAGGAGGAACATTGTTGCTCTTCCCAATCGTCTTTGGATCATCAATCAGATAGGAAATTTAGCAGGTCATCAGCTGCACACAGAAAGAAGACGAAAAGAAGGTTGCCATATGTTCTCTCTCTGTCGATTTACAATCTGGGTTATTTTGTAATGTTGCATGCGGATTATTATCTTTAGTGTTCTGGAAACTTGGGAGGATTTTTCAAATGTTTATGTTCTGCCCGGTGTGCTTTGAATGAACAGAAAGTTGACTGTGTTTGTTCTTTTGATTACAATTGATTTTTGGATGCAAAGATGAGTACCAACGATAACAATGGAAGCGATGGTGGTGAGAAGCGTACCCCAAAATTGAACGAGAGGATCCTTTCATCTTTGTCTAAGAGAACCGTTGCGGCTCACCCATGGCATGATCTAGAGATCGGTAATGTTACGGTGTTTATTACTGAGCCAAGATTCAAAAATTGGGATACAATAATAACACGCTTTATTTATTTATAAATAATTTATTAAGTTATCTCTAATTTTCAATAAATTTAATGCATTTGCATGTGTTCTTCGAAATTCGTGTCCCTGGGACTCATGGTAGCTCCACCCTTGGTTTAGTGTCATAAACCAAAACTCGAGTTAATATTGTGGTCTTGGACTTCGAACACACGATCACTTGCAAACCAATTAGGCTACTATATCATAATTAACTGGCTCAAATAACTCGAGTTGTTGGGGAAAAAGTTAATTATCTTATACATATCTCTTACATTTAGAAATATAGAATGATTTGATGTTATGGGATATCATATATGTTCTTTAATTTTTCATTGTTAAGAAGATCTTAGTTCTTTCATAATAAAACTATAAACGGTGATGTTCATATCTGCAGGCCCTGAAGCCCCCAAAGTTTTCAACGTGGTATGTTTTCTTCTCGATCATGATCTCTAGTCCAGATCTATGGTTTGTGGGATAAATCGTTATTCATCCAAAAATCATGGTTCTGGATTCATATAGGTTATTGAGATCACTAAGGGAAGTAAGGTCAAATACGAATTGGACAAGAAGACAGGAATGATTAAGGTAATAAACACCATAGATATATTTACTTCATTTTACCGAAAAACATTCTTCTATATTGCTTAGGGTTTCCTTATGATATGTACAACTGTGAACCTATTCGTAGGTTGATCGTATTTTGTACTCGTCTGTGGTTTATCCTCACAACTATGGATTCATCCCTCGAACCTTATGCGAAGACAACGATCCTTTGGATGTGTTGGTTCTCATGCAGGTCGAGTGTCTTTCTTTTTGTCTATATATTTCTCTTCCATTTTGGTGTGTGGAAATTGCTAACACACTAAGTTGGTGAATCTGCAGGAGCCTGTTCTCCCGGGCTGCTTTTTAAGAGCCAGGGCCATTGGACTCATGCCCATGATTGACCAGGTAATGCATCCTCTTTTTATCTCTAAAGTCAGTAACTCTGCGGTTTCGGGTAAAGAGTGTGGTATAAAATCCATAATATAACATATTCTCCCAATAACTCGCGAGTTATTGGGACCAACTGGTTTATGACATGGTATCAGAGAGCATGTTTGCCCAAGACCCAAGTGGTCTTGATTAAAGCACAAGGTACGGTGGGACCTGTGCAAACTTCAAGCCCGTGAGTTGGCTTTCGTTTGAGGAGGCGTGTAAGAGTGTGGTATAAGATCCATAATAACCCACTCCCAATAACTCGAGTTATTGTGACCAACGGTGGTTTATGGCAGTTTCTTTGGCATTTACGGTCCAAGAATATATAATCAGGGTATATTCCTTCTTTGTTTTATTGATTCAGGGAGAGAAAGATGACAAGATAATTGCAGTTTGTGTTGACGATCCTGAGTATAAGTATTACAATGACATCAAGCAGTTGCCTCCTCATCGCCTTTCTGAGATCCGTCGTTTCTTTGAAGATTGTATGTCTTTCTCTTTAACACTAATTAACCATTGTTACAATGACCTTCCATTTTTCTCTTCATAACAATGTCTTTACAGATAAGAAAAATGAGAACAAGGAAGTTGCAGTTAATGAGTTCTTGCCTTCTGATGGTGCTACTGAAGCCATCCAATACTCAATGTAAAGTTTTCCGATCTTGAAATATAAAGCTAATATTTTTGTAAATGGGTTTTATTATTATTATTATTATTATTATTTTTTTTTACATATTACACTGTACAATCTTTGAACGCAGGGATCTTTATGCTGAGTACATTCTCCATACACTTAAACGATAAGCAAGAAGAGGCAAAGGAGGCCATTTTGTTATAAGTTGGTTCCTTGCTTGGACGAATCTCAAAATATACTATACAATAAGCCGCTTCTTGATTTAAGTTTTACTTATACTTATTGAAGTTTTGATTTTTGAATTTCTAGAGTTCAGCAATGTCGTAAATGCAACTCTTTAATTTTATTTCTGTAAAAAAAAAATTTGCCCTCTCTACATACAGAGTGGTATACATATATATGTTAAACCAAAATGTTTGAGCGTTCTTCTTTATTCTGACATCCGTGTACAAATATTTAAAATTGAGATAACTCATTACTTATGTATAGTAATTATTCTCTCTGTATATTTGTTGCTTATATTTTTTATGATGTTTTTTTTTTTCGAAGGTGAAAAATATAACACCCTAATAGTACAGTTATAAATTGAAACTTGAGGCCTTACTACTCTACTCTATCTAATTAAATTGAAAGTCTTTTAATCAAGCAAGCAATCCCCATTGTTTCATGATCAGAAAGAACATTCCAGAGGCGTCGAATAAGGCAGGCTTGGTTCCAGCTGAATAAGTCTTTAAACTCAGCCATCATTCCTTCTTAGGGAAAGCAACTAATTTCTAAGTTATCTTAGTCCTGCCCTTCTAAGAATTCCCATAGGAAATAAGAGCATTGCTTCTCTTTACTACTTTTCAGTTAAGCATATTGTATGGTTTGGTAAGAATTTGTCCTAAACTTTCTCTGTTTCTCAGCCAAATGTATGTTTATTTATAGATTCGTTTCGGTTCATGTTTGGTTATTCATACTTATATTCGAATTTAGCAAAACAGCATTCATCCACCCAACCCACCCATAACCTGCAGCAAAGTCACCCAACCCATCCAACACTAATATTTGGGATGAGTGTGGATCATGATTAAGTTCACCAGTTTAGTTGTAGGTAGGTGACCTTTTGCTCAAAATCGGTGTAACCCTCCCAGTGTCCATCTCTAGTTTTCGGTTGAAAATAAACAGAGATACCAACTAATTGGGTTATCGAGTGAATTGAGTGGAGATCATCAGAATTATGAGTCGAGCCGTTTCCGTCTTTCGGATAATTTACTCCTTAGTCAATTTTTTTTTTTTTGATAACCCAGGGAACCTCAGCCCCACGTGCCGCATGAGCGACAGCGGGGCCTACTAAACCACTGGGGGTACCTGCATACTAACCGGGGCTTTCTGCTACCAACATCGGGGAGGCTTCGCCTCCGATACCAAGGGTGCCGCCGGGAACGCACAAGTGGCTCCACTGGGAATCGAACTCAGGACCTCTCACATCCAGAGCTCAATTGGACCAGTGTTTTCACCACTAAGCTATGTTACCTTTGGCCCTTAGTCAAATTTATGGACGGATTATTCAGGCTGGTGCTCTGTTTTGATAAATCTAATTAAATTATTAAGTAATTATTATACGTTTAGACTTTAGACTAAACTAAACCCACCCGTCCAAATAGAGAGCTTGATCTCTAAATTGAAGAGAAGTAGAAAACCAACACACCATCGTCTTTCTCAAACTCCAACTGCAAATTCGTCATATACGCTTCGTTGCCTCTCTTTTCTCGAGAAACAAACACTGCAAAAAAATTGGTTTTCTTCTGCTAATTCCAGCAGCTACAAACTCAACTGACAGACAGCAAGCGAACAAGATGACGGTGGCGATGATATCCTTGGGGACTTTTATTTTTGTCCATTCACGAAGAAGGGAAAACTAAAACCGTCTGAAACCCCAGTTTTTTTTGGCATCGTCATTGACTCCTCCACTGAGTCGCGTCGGCGGTGGTGATGATGGATCGTCAACGGACCCACTTGATCGGCGATTACGTAATCGGACCCAGACTCGGGTCGGGCTCCTTCGCCGTGGTTTGGCGGGCCAGCCACCGAGTCTCGGGTCTGGAAGTCGCCGTGAAGGAGATTGATAAGAAACTGCTCAGCCCAAAAGTTAGCGCCAATTTGCGCAAGGAGATTTCCATTCTCAGCACCATTCATCACCCTAACATCATTCGACTTTACGAGGCTTTCGAGGTAACCAAAAAGAAAACGTTCCATCGTCACTATTCTATTGCTTTACCATGGATGTCGGTGGTTTTTGCAACTGAAAAGTTCCTTTGGATTGTATGTTTTTGGGGTAATGATAGACTGCTGATAGGATATATTTGATACTGGAGTACTGCGACGGAGGTGATCTGGCGGCGTACATTCAGCGCCATGGGAAAGTTCCAGAGCTTGTTGCCAGGCACTTTATGAGGCAATTGGGTATTTTTTTCTTCTTCTTCTTCTTCTACATCGTTAGTTTTCTAGTTTGCTGTGGGATTCATGGATGTTCATAGTTTTGGGATTTCTCTAATGGCCGCCTTCTGGGTTCAAGACTGCATCTTTCTACTGATTGACAATACGGGTCGCTGGATTTCTTTGTGCAGCTGCAGGATTGCAAGTACTACAAGAGAAACATCTCATTCACAGGGACTTGAAACCACAGGTTTGAACCAAAAGCCAGGGTTTTTGTGACAGTCTCTGATTGCTGAACTTGTGAGTGATTTTGTTTTCCCCTTAGTTACTTGTGGTGGATTTTGATGAATTGGTAAACTACTATATTTGCAGAACCTGCTTTTGTCATCACATGAGGAAACTCCACTGTTGAAGATAGGAGATTTTGGTTTTGCTAGGTGAGAATCTCCTTGTTAGTTTAATGAATTTTGCATCCGGTGTTATTTCTTTTTGTCTTCCAAGTGTGCTGAGCACAGATTTGGTGATTGATGTGATCAATCATCTCTCCGTGGTACACGATGATGCTTTTTCTTATTTAGGAAAAGTGCTGTGTTCTCATCCATGACTGACATTGCAAACTGGAAAGATCATTATATCATTAACATACAGAACCAAGCTCAAGACAGCCCATATCATTTAGGCTGCCTACAAATGTTCCATCAAAGATCATCTAGCACGCATAATCACTAGTTCTCAGGTGAGCCACCATGAGTGTTGTAATTTAGGTTCCTGATGGCTCCTGTCACAAGAAGCACTCCTCATTACCTGGAACTGTTTTTGCCTGTTAATCACTGACATGTACTTTGGCGGCTTAGCTAATGAAAAGTCAACCACCATGTAGGAAAGGGACAACTCTATAAAAACAAGATTTTGATGTACTTAATTTTTACATGTGGTGCGTTATTGCAGTTTTTGTTTAGTTACAAAACCTGAAGCTGTCATATACTAACTTCTTACCAGCAGCCTAACTACGAATAACTTTTCTAGCAACTATGTATGGCTTTTATATCGCTTCCCACTCCCCATCTGGCTAAACTCTAAATAGTAAATAAAAAATTTATGTAATATTGACTTCATCTGTGGCTCTGCTTTATGTCATTTTCTCATACATTTATCTACCAGGTCCTTGACACACAACGAATTGGCTAAGACGCTTTGTGGATCTCCTCTGTACATGGCCCCAGAGATTATTCAGAACAAAAAGTATGATGCCAAGGTAATCAACCATGTAATGTTTGAAGGAGTAGGGAAGTTATTACTGTAGATTTTCCAGTAGTAGCATTTCTCACGTAGTTTCTTTAGACATGCAGGCTGATTTATGGAGTGTCGGTGCAATTCTATTCCAGCTGGTGACAGGCAGACCGCCATTTCAGGGGAATAGTCAATTTCAGGTTTCTATCTTAAGAACTCAAGTGGAAGAATTGGTGACAAAGAAGTTACCAATGCAGCCTGAAGCTGACAGAGTTAAACATTTGGATTCTTAAATATGACAGGCTGTAATATTTACTTTGTTCTCTCATGCATGCAGCTCTTTCAGAATATTTTGATGTCAACTGAGCTGCAGTTTCCAGAGGGTGCTTTGGAGAAGCTGCATCCAAACTGTGTAGACCTGTGCAGAAGCCTTTTACGCAAGAACCCAGGTACCTATATCCATGTGTGTGTAACGTACCTGCTTGTAGCTTTGCACACTATGGAACAGTATGTTGCTCGTGATTGGGTACGTAGTGTTGCTTGGCATCTGTTCTACATAGCTGACCAGGAGACAACTTTGCTTTTGCAGTTGAACGGCTAACCTTCCTGGAGTTCTTCAATCATAAATTCTTAGTGGAGCCTAGGTAACATTTTTCAAGTTGATCCTTCAATGTTCATTTACTAAGTAATAACCTACGTTGTTTGGTCCCTTTTCTGCGTTAATCGTTATTTGTTGCATTCAAAATGCTGTAGGCTAGCTGTGGAGACAGAGCAATGTTCTCTTCTTTCCCTACCAAAACAAGTAGTTGAGCAGTCTCATTCTTCCTGTGACAAGAGCTTGCAGCTGCATTCACAGTGTCTTATTTGCTCTGGTGAGAACAATCTGAACTTAGCAGTTCCATCTGCCCCTGACCACAAAATACAACATGGTAAAGCTGATGGTGGTACATCCAACCATGCAAGCATGTTTCGGTCTCTGGAAGATATTGCCAGGGATGAGATGGGGAAACCCACTTTTGGCAACAAATTGACAGTGGATCAGACTCAAGGTCATTGTTCATCATTCAACTCTTTTATACTTTAAATTTAGTTCAATGCCTAATAGGCCTAGACTAACTTCATGGTCATAGTCCTGTCACCCCTTTTTTCCTGTAACCTAAGCTTGGGCTTCTTAACCAGGACTGATTGTTTTCTTATTATCTTCTAGTTGCTGGCTGTATGCAGTCCATTGAGAAGGATTATGTTCTTGTTAATTGTCATTTCACTTCAAAGGAGAACATCACGTGTTACTTCGAGACGTCATTGCAAGAAAGCTCCAATAACGGAGTTTCTGTATGTGGACCCACTGAGGTGAAAGTGGAAAATACAGCAAGTGTCATGCTTGCAGAAGAGGTTGATCCTGCTCATTCCTTGGAGCAGGGAGTCGAAGGATCAGAACCATTAGCTACAACATGCAATTTCAGTACATGTAGGGAACTTCAAGGGTTATCCATATTACATCCATCAACTAGGCTCCTCGTATTACGACAGTATCTCCAGGCAGTATCAGAAGTGGTTAGTGAAAAAGTGAGTTCTTTCATCATCTGCTAAGTACATTATTTCCCCTTTTTTGTAGGTTACCCAAAGGTTAGATCCGATGGGAGTTAGATGTTTTTGATACATGAGCAATGTTCTACTTTGTTGACACTCTGATGAGTTGTCCAAGTCATTTGAGTTCTAACAGAGCTGGGCTGTTGTGTTAGTAGATGATGAGGTGAAATGCTAACAGTATTGAGGACTTGACATAGCAAAAAATGCTTAGAGAAATTTGAAAGCTGTTGTCTTTGAGGAGTAGGCGAGTGTTGTCGAAAGCAAAGTGAGACCGTACCTAGTATGGTCAACATTGTAGTCAATTTTGTTGTCTTCTCCCTAGGATGTCTAGCATTCTTCAGGTACAACTAGCTAACATTCTTTATACACAGTTTGTTGCATTTCCTAGGATGTGATCATCTATTTAAACAACTTTCTGTTCGGGATTCTTCAATGATGGGTAGTAGGCAAATAGCCAAATACAAACAATGAGTGCTATAGAATTTCGGGTTGTGTTGAATGGATGATCTATTAGCAAGCACTTGATAGGATTCATATCCCTTGTGGCAAAATGCAGCTTATGTTGAAGCAGGCAGGAACATGAATCTTGGAATACATTCAAAAGGAGTTTTAGTTTGTGATGATTTCAGATTTTTATTGTTTGCAGTACAAGGCAGGACAATTTCTGGAAGCATTTTCAGTTGAACTGGTAGTTTTGGCTTGCTGGAAGAAAGCAGTTGAGATTTGTGGCACCTGGCTCACTACAACTCCTGGAAATGAATTACCTGAAATCTCAGATGTTCCGCCTACACCGATTGATGATGACCCCGTGTTCCGTGCGGCAGATAAAATTGAATTTGACAAGCCTTCCTCTGCCTGCAAATGGGCACAAGAAGGGTTTGTTTCTGCTCTTGATAACGCGGAGAAATTGTCAGGCCACCTCAAAGACGTTGATGGTTCGTCAATTCATCAGTTTCGTTCAATTTTAGGTTTCGTTGAATGATATAATGATATGAGTGTCTTTTTTTTAAAAAAATAACTGGTAATATTTTAAGTTTCAGTATGCATATATCTTGGGTTGGGTTTTTACAAGGGGCAGAGTATGAAATGAGTTTTAGGTTGAAGAACTATGTTGTTTTTAACTGTAGACCAGCTTTTTGAAAAGTAGAAGTTACCTTTGAACCAAAACAAACACACCAGTATGTTTTCTGCACTTACTTTTACGCTCTGTTACCAATATCTATCTTGTATTACTTTTGCAGCTGCAGCAGAGATGCCAGATGCAATGGAAATTATATTCCAGAAGGCCCTAGCTCTAGGGACAGCCGGTGCTGTAAGTGACCGTCTTGTCTTCTCTCACTGCTGCGCTTCTCTGACATTGTTGCATTATGTTAAAAATATCACTGTGTTTTCTTCATCTTCAGGTGGACGAATACATGGACAACAAGGTCAATGCAGCTGTCTCGTACTCCAAAGCGTTGCTACTGTTGTCCTTCATCGTGGGAGAAGCGACTTCTCTTGCGCTCAACCCTCCGTTTATTCTAACTCCTGCTAACAAGCAGCGAATTCGATGCTACATTGTCAACTTACAGTCACACCAGTCCAAGTTTCTGATCTCTCAGCTCCGCATGCCACAGCCTTGAATTCAAAGAAAAGAACTAATCCACCCCATCACTCTCTATAGTACATCCGGCCTAGCTTCCTTTCGGTTGCCGCGTAAAAACTCACCAATTGGCAGCCAATCTGGGAATGGAAAAGTTATATGCAGCAGCATGCAATTGTTGAAATTTTGCATGTCAGCCAGTAGATACTCGAAAAGGACAGTAACTAGCTGAGCCAATTGAATGAAATATTCCTTACATGTGTATATACTATATAGTGTAAAAAGAAAGAAAAAACTCTGCACTATGGGAGTGGAAAAGCTGCAATCCTTGAATGCAACGATGTAAATGAAAGCGGTTTCTTATTGATTCTGCTGATAGACGATGGTAAATTGGTAGCCTCTTTGAATATGCAACTGTGGGATGATGGTTATTTTGGCGACCTTTGTTTGTTGACAGATTTGTTGGCAAGCTGCTACGGCGAAACTTGGGGTATCGTGCAGTTAGCGCAGGACGTTCTGGGTTTTACACGATGAATATTTTTGCAGTAAGTGCACAGTCCAAAAATAGACGTTAAGAGGCGCAGGAAAATATGTCAAACATGTCTATAGTGAACTTTCTAAGTGTAGAAATAATTCAACAGAGGAAGTACTTAGGCTTTAGCTGATGGCAGTCACAGTTTCATGCGGTTTTGAGGGAACATTGAAACAATAAGCGTCAAATGTAGCAGAGATGGATATGGTACACACACACATTAACACACGAAAAAAGGTCTCGTGCAAGGAAGGGGACTCTTAAACTTGTAACAGAAATGATAAAAGAGGGAGGGAGATAAAAATGAGATGTAACATGCTCTGCCTAAAACAGAGGTTTCCGCTGTTTAGGAGCATTTTCATCTCAGATGGAAGCTTCCCCTTCCAGCCCCAAGCATATCCGCTTCGACTCCTTCTCATCCCCTTGGCCTCCGCCGCAACTGGTTGTCAGCCTGTTTTCCCTGGCCTCGACGGAACATCTTTTGTAGGGCTTGAACCCGGTTCGACGAGGCTTGAGCTTTTCATTCGCGACAATTCCTATAGTTGGTAATGAGCATTCCTCCTCATGAGTAGGAGAGATGGCATTCTGCTCCTCCCTGGGATGGCACCTGTTGAGATCCAATACCATTACCTCTACATTTCTATGCTCCGCGTTTTGCATCTCTACTTCGCCATCTGGTGGGGGCGAGAAGCTCTGTGGAAGCACTTGTCTAGAGAATAGTGCTTGGAAGGCGAGACGTCCCTGAGACATATTGGAAATGTAAGAGAGGGACGCGAGCCAGATGCATATACCTTCTAGCAGTTCTGTTTTCTCGCCTAAATCAATCATGGAAGTAATGAAGGATATAGAGATGTTATTAGATTACACTACCTCTTCCGAAACAGACTTCCACGAATCACCACTTGTGCTTGTGTTGCTCCTACTTCGACGACAGCCAGAATCAGTTGTCGATGCTGGAGGGTTGTTTGCATCAGCGCCTTCTTTCATCGGCTCTTCCTTGTCATCATCTTTCTCATTCTTCTCTAACGCGTCTGTCTCCACTTCACTGCTGGAGGCTGTGTTTGAACCGCACGAGGAACGATCGACTTGTTTCCTGTTCTTTGGTTCGCTAGAATCATTATTTACCTCTGGTGCCGTCGAGTTCATCTTGTGACCAGCAACTTGCTGCACAGCAGCATTCGGGTTTGAGCCTCCGTTATTCTCTTCTCTCTTGTCAGACGAAGACATGTCATGTGATTTGGAGGTTGAGTTCTGAGCAAGCATTGCAGTCTCTGAATGTGAATATTGGGGAGGAGTGCCTTCCTTGCTCCCCATTTTAAGTGGACTGTTATGAGGTGATGGAATTGCAGCTGGCGGAGGGCAAGCAAAGGATGCACCATGCATTGGAGGAGGAGGAGGAGGAGGAGGAGCACACAAGGGAAGCAGTCCATGAGCAGCCCACCAGGCAGTTGCCGCTGCCACTGTAGCTCCAGCAATGGCTGCCATACTAGGAGCAGAGTTTACCACCTGTCTGGATGAATCTGCCCCATTTTCAACATTTGCATACGGCCAAAATGAGGCAGCAAAGCTTGCTGCGGCATGGGCAGCAGGGTTCTGTAGCAGAGTAGACACGATGAGACTTGAAAAGGCCGAAGAGATCTGGAGAAAGGATCTGTAGTCATCTTGCTGATCTTGGGGAGGATTTGGTGTGAAGGGGAAAGATGGAAATGATTGATGTGACGAAGATGTTGGCGGCCTGTTGTTCTGGACTCCAGCTGCAGATGGAGTTGGAAGCGAGTATACATTAGATTGTGCCTGACTACTTTCTCCTACAGTGGTGGCCATTGAGTCATGACATGTTCCCAATCTCCTCCCATCAAGAATGTGCACTGGAACGTGCCGAGGATAGTTCTGCTGAAGCATCTTATCCTCTGGTGGCACCACATTGGCATTGTTGTCATCATCAGCTTTCTTGTCTTGCAGTGACTCCTCGTGCAAATGGAGGCAGGAGTTCCCGAGCTGAAGGAGCTTACTGCTACTGCCATTGTCTGGAACTTTCAGATTGAGCTCTGGCCTGTTATTCTTATAATCATTCCACTTCCGATTTCCATCAGGATGTTCAGTGGTGATATGAGAGTGCGATTCATTTGTTGCATCCTGAGTTGCTGCTGCATCTTTCAAGCAAGGCACGAACTCCCTAAAGGAGGATGGTATCCTCCTAAGCAGTTCCGGTGGTGTTGTGGAAGTTTTCTTCAGTGATGAAGCGGAGGAACTGCAATTGAAGAGTTCTGAGCAACTTTCGTCATGGTTTTCTTTTGCACCAGTAGAGTTCTCATCGCCACTAGGTTTCTGGATAATGATAGAGGTGCATACAAAACATCAATAACATGAAGGCGAATATATTTTGAGAAAAGGAAGAGAATAATAAATCACCTCAGGAGGTGGTTCTTTCTCGAGGTCTAGCACTTGCTGGCTGCAAGGAAGTGAAGTTGAAAGGTTTCCATCCTTTGCTCCAGCATGAGACGTGATGGGACTAACCCCTGTTTTACGAGGATAAGGATTACTCGGCTTCCTTTTCGGTCGTGGAGGTGGAATGTCGATATCAATAGCCTTTCCCACTGGAACACCTTTCGCTACAGCTTCCTTCTCCAACTGCAGAGAAAATTTTCCTTTCGGTTTGCAGATTAGAAACAAAACAAAAATCCCAAAACTTGTCACTGCATGCTCACTAATGGCAGAGTAAATAAAAGAATTGATGAAGAACCACGAAAGTGTTTAAAAAGACTTGTTACTTCGATGATTGTCTATGTAACAGCATGTTGATACCAAGTAATGTAAAGTGTTTAAAAATCCTTCTATTATCCCAGAAACTACTCCTCACAAAATCTCAAAATTATTGAGCTGCTCATACAAAAGAAACACAGTTTCCCTCGTTAGGTTACACATGAAAGAGAATTTGATGGCTTTACTTTTTTCTCAAGGAACTCGATGACTTCTAAGTTCTAACATGACCGAAAGACCAAATTTGTAGTTGTTATAACAAGGACTTCCTCCACTATACTAAAACAGAAAAGGGGCTGGTTTGGTAGAGCAAAGGAGCAGACGAGCAGTGACTCCTTACTCAACCAAACCAGCCCCCTTCTGCTTTACTTCCAAGAAACATTATTCTTCAGTTAAGCTGAAGAGTAAAGAGCTAATCACCTTGCTATTTCTGGACCACTTGTCCCAATTTGCATCACCATTGTCAAAAAAGTAGCAGAAAACAGATTAAAAGAGCTAAGCAAGGATATAGCACGAGACTTGCTAACTTTTATGGGATATTCATGAATGACCATGTTGAGAAACTATGTATCCATCTTGTAGGACGCACACAGCACACATTTAAACAAATAAACTTTCAGTTCTATCCCTACAGCGACCAGTAAGTCATGTTGGAGAAACATTCTTAACGTTGTTACTCTGATACATTGGCTGCAAAAGCTCTCAACAGTTGTTTACTAGAATGACTATTAGACCAGTGTAAGAAATTACTATTACACTCACATACAGCTCTCTATTATGTCTCCAAATAGTGCATTGCTAAGTTTCAATTTTGTAATGCCTGACTCATAATAAAAGAGCAGCTGAACACTTCATCATAACACAGCAACAAAATGCTAAAAAGTATTCAAAGAAAAGCACTAAACATCCTGCTATACAAAGCAACCTTAGTAGCAGAGGGCACACTGGTATTAACAAACATCTTTTCGTTCACCCGAGTATATAGGGATAACACCGTAATACTAGTTTATATATTTCGATAAGTCAAAGAGACTATAGTTTTAAAGGCTTTGACATGGCTAGTACAAGGTAACTGGTTTCCACTCCCAAACAATAAACACTTTCATCTAACTTATCTTAGAGAAAATAGATTTAAAGATGACCCTGGCAACTCCCAAGCATTTTCAATTCTATCCTCCGAGTTTGACAGTCTGACTTCAACTAAGTCAAAGAAAATGCTTCTTTAGCACAGTTCTGCTATAAAAACAAGTGATAACGTTTTACTGCAAAAATCCACTTCAGGCTATGGGTGTGTGACAATAGACTGACAGAAACTTATAACAACATAAAGGAGACACTGACCTTTGAGAAGAACTTCTGTGCATGACTTCTAATCTGCACAGCAGTCTTTGTACCTATATGTTCTGTGCACCAACAACAGAAACACGCCAAGGACAAATGCAACAGTTCAACAAGAATAGCCAGCTTGAGAAAGGAATAAGGTCGACTTTAAGTAGGAACATCCTCATCATAACTTACATAAGTTGGATAAATTTTCTACCAAAATGAAACTGATCGGCCTCACTGCTGATGAGTATCTAAAGGACTAAAAATTCGCAAATTCTCTTTGGAAAACAATAGTTGAAGTCTGTGAATGAATAGAAACTACAACCTTCTATTCGCTGCCAAGCTCGACCATAGAGCTTCAGAGCCTCTAGGAACCTATTATGCTCCTCTTCAGTCCATCGCTCCCGTTGCTTGGTAATCGTATAAGGTTTCCTCGCCTATCATTTCACACAATCCAGAACTCAGTAACCAGACCCTTGCTTCACTATTTTAGCTCACAATATGAGGAAACCAATGAAAGCAACGAAAACACAGGTAAGTCCATCAGAGAAAGAAGCCAGCAAGCTAACCTTAATAACCAAGTCTTCACCAGACGAGTATGTGTCCATTTCCGGATCTTCAGCAGCTGTTGCCGCTTCAAATCCTCTCGAACGAGCATCCGACTGAAGAGCAACTTCCCCTCATCTCTGGCAACTTGGAAAACTGAAACTAAAGCCGTTGTTTCTGGAATAGAGAAAATCTGAGAATAGCACACTACTGCAAAAGGATAGAAAGAAGGAGCAGGAAATCGTATAGAGTTCCGTCTCAATTGTGTCAGAACGACTAAGAACACCAGTTGTCTACATACTTGAAGGTCAAAGATACAGTACAGATAGTATTTTTTTTTTTTTACTGCAAACAAATAGTAAAAATCCAAAAGAATCCACCAGTAACAGATAGAGAGACGCTCCTCCCATTCTGAACTTAAATGTAAACTCCTTTATTCAGAATCCTCACCAAATTGGACGCGTGAACTGCAAATCCTTTAGAGCATGGAAACAAGAAACAGAGAACAAACAAACAAAACAAACAGAAGAGAAACTCGAATCAGTAGTCAGCAATCCAGTATCCAGTTCAATCCACCATTCACCAGTTCTCAGATCCTAACTCCTTGATTGCAGGCAATCACCAAAAACAAGCAAGGATAGTGAAGTTGAGCAGAGTAAGAATTCCAATCGGAGTTTTCTTTCAAAACATTTCTCGGCAACCAAACAGAGAGTCGAACAGCTAGAAAATCAAAAAGAAGCTGCGAGAAGAATAAATCGAAGTACCTCGTAGGAAATCCATGTGACAGTAACCGATCAAGCAAGGACTAGATGTCACCGGAGTTCCGCCGGTAAACTCATCCTCTACCGACAATGGCAGATCGGGAACCTCGCAAAATCAAGAGCTCGTTCCGGAAGATAGAACTGGGGATTCGGCAGAGGAGATGAAGGAAAGAAAGAAAAGAGGAAGTAAAAACGAAACATATAGAACAGGAAGGAGAAGAAGGAAGAAGTGATAGCGAGTTTCGGTGAGACCTAAAACACCAGAAACGAACACAGTTGGGGAAGCGCTTGGAGAAATCTCAGCCACTATAATTTCCCAGCGGATTTCTTTTTATTTTTAATTTTGTTTTCTCGTATTTAATAAACAAATCGAAATTAATATTTGAGGCTGCGATTGGAGCCGAGGGCAAACTCGGGAGGAGGGAGATGGAGCCATGTGGCTGAAATTTATTGGCTGGATGGACTTGACGCCCACCTTTGCACTTTTTTGTCAGAAATGTCGCTTTTGGACATGCTCTCCGCTATTCTCCGCCACAAGCGTCCTTTGAGGGTGGGGATAAGGTTGTAAAAGAGCACCTAGGTTGGTCGCATGGTGGGGTCCTGTGGTGGGCGTGACGTGGATTATCTGGAAGGACCGGTTGTATCCACCGGTTGCGAGGTTACGGGAAAGGAGCTGGCTGCTGCTTTATATGGCTCACAGCGCTCTGTCCTACGTGGCGGTTTGGAAGAGGAAAACAAGAGTGCACAGGGATGATAACCGGTCGGGTTGGGTCAGGGTAGATATTGCATAATCGTTACTCTAACTAATATGTTAACATTTAGTTTGTAACTCCAACTAATATGTTAACATTCACACGTATAACGTATTCTCACGTTACAAGAGAAAAAGTACGACAATAGTTCACTGGAATGAAAAAAAAATTAATTAAAACAATATAATTTTATGAAAGTATTATTATTTATATGCTTAATATAAAATATGTTAGAGAAAAATAATGATTATTTCTACAAAATACATATGCATGTGTATAATAGGGCGGGTTCGGGTTGGATAGTGAGAAAACCATGTCTACCCATTACACGCAATTTTCGCTTTTGAGTTTTATCAGTAGCCACTAAAAATCTTCCGGATTCGGGTTTTACCCTACCTGATTAGGTCAGATTCGGGCGGATATCCACGGTTAAATTGAAATTAGGGGTGGGAAAATGGTTACACTTTTGTGGTTAAATCGAAATCGCATTGAATAGGCACGGTTCGTGGTTAAAATGTTGATTGTTAAATCGAGTCTCATTCCATCATGGTTGCAGTATAGGTTGTTTTGCAATCCAACTGCAAATTACATCAAATAAAGACATAGCCGAATAGCGAACCGCATATTACACTAAACTATGGAATATTAGGCCAACATTGTAAGTAATACTTCAACGTCGTTTTGGGTTAGGTATTTGTATGAGTTGTTTGAGTAAAATTTAATGGGTTGGGTTATTTATGAATACCGGAGGAATGCGCTATTGTCATTGTTATGGTGCTAGTATTACCTTGCATTATTGGCAATTTTAAAGTTTATTGATTACTAGTCCATTATGGTGCTAGCATTAATATGATGACATATTGTATGTTTAAGAAACTAAATCTAGGAAGTTTTTCACCCACTCGCATGAAAATCCAGTTGGCAGATGATAAGCAAAAACGTATATGCCTAATTCTTATCACGTAGTAAACCGGAAATTCATGTATTATCTCTTATGGAGTGGTAGAACCTTACGTTCTATCAATTCTATGGAACAAACTATAGGTGAAAATAATTAAACAAGCAAATTAAAGGTCGGGATAAATTCAATGGAGAAAGCTCTAGGATAAACACCGAGACTAACTATCTACTATCCAAATTACTTCACTTTTCTAATCTGTTTAATTCATATATCTGTAGCCAAAATATCACTATTGTGCTAGCTATCCCTGTCGCGAATCACTATGTACTAAACAGTTAAATCAAATCCTACTGTCGTAGCTCAGTGAGTTAATTATTTAGCCCGAAGATCGTTATCTCATTCAAGACCTCATAACACCTTATTTAATCCACTGTCGCTTCGATAAGTTACTATGTCACAGAAATATGTTCAGTTATTAGGATTTTACTGTCGCGAATAACCTAATTAACTACGAATCTATATATTGGTTACCAATCAACACAAAGGATTAAACAATTTCATGCACTATAAATTAGAAGAAAAAAATTATAAATCAATCCATCAAGTATATAAATAGCTCTTGGTCAAAAAAAAAAGTATATAAATAGCTACAACCTATAGTATTTCCCAGAAAATTGGTGTTTAGTTTATGACAAATTGGCGCTTCCAACGATCCGCTTCTATCCCGATCTGCTTCCACGATCCCGGTCCAAGTCTCCAATTCGTGCTGCTGCTCTACAAGTTTGCCCCCAAAGAATTCTCCAATTAATTCCAGTCCAAGTCCTTTCCTTCCTCCAAAAAGAATTCTTTCCCAGCTCCAATTCCATCAATGTCCCAGGCGGACAAGAAGCTGGGCCGGCCCAAGAAATTCCCAGCTCCAATTCCCTGTCACTAAAGGACAGTGGACTTGGTCCAAGTAAATCCTGAAAATTGGCCCTTCACAAATCTCAATACGACAACGGACTCCGTCCCAACTCTCATTGAGCCGCTCATTTGCTCGGGCCCAAAGGATGATTAATAATCCCCTCTTTTCTTTCGTGTCCAAGGAAGGTGAGGGCCTGAGGGGTCATCGAGCACCGGCCCATTCCAAGTTGCCAAGTTGCTTGTTTTCACAAACAGACCTCTAAAGCCCAATCCTCTTTTTCCATTTTTTTTTTAATTTGTCTAAGGTTACATACACACCCTCTTGGGACTTAACGCGGTCGTTGAGGTTTGCCACCTTAGGCAAAACCCATATCGACAAAGCACGGGAGAGATCCATGGTTCATAAGTAAGAAACCGACCTTAACCGACAAGACGCGTTTTGGGGTGTAATGGAGGAGTTCTTGTGAGAACTCTGAAGTTAAACGTGCTCGGTGTGGAGTACAACAAGGACGTATGACCTTATGAGAAGTCACCCTGAATTGCACCCCAAGTCAAAAAACCATGAAGGTCGAAGCCCAAAGCGAACAATATCTTCGTCGGGAAAATGTTCGGGATGTTACAAATAAGCTAAAGACGTAACACATAATAAATGGACAACAATAACCCATGTTGTGTTCCCCCTATAATTTTAAAATAAACAAGCATCTTTTTATTTAAAAATAACCCTTAGTTGTGACTTTTAATCAACCCTTTATATATATAAAAAGTTTTATCAAAATGTTAGCACCATTCTTAAAAAACAAGGCATGTGAAGTAAGCAAAGAGGAGGGGGGAAAAACGAAAAGAAATAACAAAAGAAAGTAAAGCCAAAATGTCCTTATCACTTCCCTACCGCATCCCACATCCTCCTCCTCTAGTCTACTTCTTCCCCTCCTCCTCAAGCAACCCACTCCCTCTCCTACCTTATCAACTAATTCCCCACCTCTAAAAAAAGAAAGAAAAAAGGACTAATTCCCCGCCATTTTTAATCCTCCCACTCAATTCTCAGTCTCTCCCATATCGCCATCATTCCTTTTCATCACTAAATGAGAAACAGCTACCGGTGAAAAACGAGAGTTAAAAAAAAAAAAAAAGAGAATTCTCCTCCCGCGGTTATAGATAATGACTCGGTTATTTCGATCTAAATCCTGCGGCCTAGTCGGCATCACCGAATTGAACTCCTCCAACGCCGCTCCCACCTTCTTCTCCCGCCGCCGCCGCGGCGGCTCCGACGCCCGAAACGATGCCGGCGAAGAGGAGGAAGGCGACGAGGAATTCATCGATGGTTCCAGGAGCCCCACCGCGATTTCCACTCCGTTCATCAGTCCGGCGTCGAGGTACGGCGGTCGGACGGCGGCGGATCGAGGCGGCGGCGGAGGGGGGAATCAGTTCGCTGTTCTGGATGTGCTGGTGACAGCGCTGCGGAGGTCGCTCGTCACGTGCAGCGTGGTGGAGAGAGACGACGACGCATCCTCCTCCTCCATGGATATTAGCTGGCCTACGGAGGTCAGGCACGTGTCCCACGTGACCTTCGACCGCTTCAATGGATTCCTCGGCTTGCCCCGGGAGCTCGAGCCCGAGCTTCCCCGGAAAGTCCCCAGCGCCAGGTCAGCTTTCGATTAAGCTGGTGCATGTTCGATTATGGTCCGTAGTTTCGTGTTCGGAAGGAAAGAAATTTGGCGTTGAATGGTGAATCATGATGCTCACTGCATAGGTTTAGTCTAGGCTAGATCTCAGACTATGGCAGTAATGAGTATTAGTCTCAGAATTTGATGACTGAATGTGTCAAAGATTTACCTTCCCGTCGTCCATTTTCAGTATGAATTTGCTTACCTTGTTGATGGTCCTGCTGATGTACTTTCCTGGGTTCTGCTCAGTGCGAATGTGTTTGGTGTGTCTGCGGAGTCAATGCAGTGCTCTTACGACGACAGAGGGAACAGCGTGCCGACGATACTTCTCATGATGCAGAGGCGTTTGTATGTAGAAGGAGGCCTTAAGGTGAGTGGTTTTATGATGTCATTGTGAACTCTGTGGCTGGAGTATGACCTGCTATCTGGCTGATAAAGGATGCTGGTGGAATTTGCATTTGGGCCATGTTGTCATAGGCTGAAGGAATATTCCGAATCAATGCCGAGAATAGTCAAGAGGAGTATGTTAGAGAGCAGCTTAACAGAGGTGTCATTCCACGCGCTATCGATTTCCATTGTCTGGCAGGTCTGATTAAGGTCTGTGGTCGAAGTTCCGCTTGCTCTGATATATCCCTTTTAAATCCATAGTTCTGATTCTGATGGTAAACTGCTTGTTTTTTCTATGATACCTCTGCAGGCATGGTTCAGAGAACTACCTTCAGGAGTGCTGGATTGCCTAACGCCAGAGCAAGTGATGCACTGCAACACAGAAGATGACTGCACTCAGCTTGTGAAGCAGCTTCCTCCTACCGAAGCAGCGCTTCTCGATTGGGCCATCAATCTGATGGCAGATGTCGTGGAGCATGAGCAGTATAACAAAATGAATGCTCGGAATGTTGCGATGGTATTTGCACCTAACATGACTCAGGTTTGTCAAGCTTGTTTCTTCCAATGTGTCTTGAAGGCTTCTTCTACTTTAGGCGGGATGATGATCTAATTGTTGAATCTTCCTTCCTGACTGTTAACTAAGATTTTGCTCTTTGGTGCGATATAGATGGCTGATCCATTGACTGCATTGATTCATGCCGTACAAGTGATGAACTTGCTCAAGACGCTGATCATGAAAACCCTCCGCGAACGAGAGGAATCAACTTCAAATGCCACTAGGCAATCAGCACACCCAGATTCCCCATCTGATGAAACCCACCAGTCGATTAGTCAAGAATCTTTTGTAAAGCCATGCAATGTATTTCCGCTCGATATGGCTTTCACCACTAACATCTCAGGGTCCAACACTACAAGTAGACCAGACACCAAAAGGTGTGGAGGGGGAATCAATGGAGACCAAGAATCAGAGTCCATTTCCATCAGCAGCCCAACTTTGTGCGGAATGGACAGCTTTGAAAACGGATGTAAAGAAGGGTACGAGAACAGGGACCAGCGAAGTTTGAGCAAAGGGATGAGAAGGTTATGCAGACACCCAATTTTTCAGTTCAACAAGCCGGCGAAGAAAATGCAGGATATTGGTGGCTTTCTAAGTAGCAGTGGCGGTGACAGAAGAGAAGCTTGGGCTTGATCTGTATATATATCCTTTACTGCTTGGTGGCCCTGGCTCTAATCGTCCCTCTCTCTACGTTACTGAACTGCAGAGTTCTATCTCCATTGCTTTCCCTTGTGAAAAGTTGTTCCTAGCTTGTTTTCGGATGTGGATGTTCATACTTCTTGTGTTGTCAGGTTAAAAAAGAATATAGTAGGTATTTGGTTAGGCTTTAGCTGAAGCTCTAGCCAGAATGATGGATAATAATTCTGTCAGTCTGTTTGTCTTTGATGCAGTGAAGAGTTTGTGGAGTTTCGAGTTTTTGAGTGGTGAGATCTTGGAACAAATGCTTGGTAATGTTGCAATGAAAAACTAACCGGTTGATGTTTATTGTGGAGTTAACGCTTTCTTATACGGATGATATTGAATGCTCTTTCAAGCAGTAGCCAAGCTAATCTTTTATTAATACGTTTTGGTACCTAAACTTTTATTATTATGACGTTTTAGTACCTAAAACTTTAAAAGTTTATATATTGGTCTAAAGTTTCGATGTCACTTGGATCTATGAATCCAATTAATCCAATCTATGAATCCACCAATCTATGAATCCACCAATCTAATTCTTTTGTCACCTCTACTATTATAAAAATAAGATCGGTTTCCGTGGAACGTAAAAATAAACGACTTCCTTTATTGAGCTCAAAACTTCCCAACATAGTTTTCAGCCAGATTATAGTCTAAGCAATAACTAAAATCTGCTCTTACAATTGAGTTGTTGCAATTACAGGTAGGATGTATAATTGTCCAGGTGGTAATGGTAGTCTCTTCTACCTGAATAAGTGACTCACTTTTTCTCAGTAATGGGGAAGCGTATTGAAACATTATATTGAAAGACTATATTGAGACGAAGATGGGTTGTTAAGAACGTCGAGGAGGTAGGATGTGCAGTTGGTCAGATCTAGTCTGGATCGTACATGGACGATAGTTGGAGTCAGCAGCTCTCTTATAGTCCCTCATTTGGGATCCCTTGGGAAGAGGGTCAAGTTTCCCTTCAACCATATAGCAAAATGTGGCAAAAGGAAGGAAAATCAATGGACTACCAACCCAATCGCCTCCACCCCCTTATGAACTACGAGATCACCTTAATGACGCCTTCGACATCTAGGAATCACGAACCGATCATAGAACCCCTTTCAATAAATAATTGAAACACATTAGATGTCCAATCTCAAGTGGGACAATATAGGCAGGATAAGGGCAATTACTCATTCTTAAAAGTTAAAACTAGTATTCTTAAAACCAAAGAGGGAAGCGGAAAAGGGGAGGGAGGGAGAGGGGGGGGGGGGGGGGGGGGGGAAGCTCTCCATTCCTGATTTTCCTGTAGTTGGATCCTCCGGAACCACAAGAATCCATACTTATAAGGGGATTCAAACTAAGCATCTTTTGATAAGATTTTCTCTTTGGATAGCACAGTACGATGAAAGTTGTGTTCCCGGGGGGGGGGGGGGTAGTGTTAAGTTATTGTCTATTGTTGGCTTCTATGGAAGAACCAGTCGGCCCCCCGAGAGGTAGTTTTTTTCCTTGTGGTGGATGTCTGCGATTCGATTCCTCTTGCTCTAAATAGTGAACTTAGCCGATATAAATTTATATGATATCATCCAATTTTTTCAATTCAACAGTTTGATTATGACTTATATAATTCATGGAAGTTGATAAGATTCTTACGGTGGATACCTAGCCATCCAGAGACAAGAAAGGTCATAGTAAATGATGAAATGCTTAGAGGGAGTTGAAAATAGGTGAAAATCCGGAGATTCTCGAATATGTCAACCTTTCAAACTGTTGCTGAATCCATAGAAAGACAAGAGAGAACATGGCAAATGATATGATCTCAAATTGGCCATTAACCCAGCTGGAATTGATTGATCACGAAGGCAAGCTAAGTACATTGAAGAACACTAATTTTTGGCAGTGTCTTTTATTGTTTCAGGTAGCCAACTTTGGACGAGTGCAACTTGTTATTGGCTCGATGGAAATGGACATTTGAGGGCTTGTTTTGAGCCTAGTGTTACCCACTACAAGCTAGAGTGCTTGGTTGTTCAAGGAAAGGCGAGGAGGACCGTTTTAAAAGCTTCTCAAACAGCCTGGTCAGAACAAAAATTCTGCCTGAATTTGGCTAAGGCAGAGGCAGTGTTCAAGAGGGGCACTTTGAAGCTCTATTCAGGATAGAAGAAAGAGAGTCAAGCTTCAAGAAATAGTATGCATCTTCTAGTACAACGATGAGGCATTGGTTGACTGACATGAAGATTGGAAGAGCTTGAACGAAGAGTCCAAAGATCGGTTCGAGCTACGTTTTCTGCCTTGGAGAATAAGCAATCCGAATCCTAGTCGGATTAGGATTAGTAGACTGTTTGTGTTTTAATTTGTTTTTTTGTGATGGTTTTGGATTCCTTTTCGTAGTAGATTGTAATTGAAATATCCTTAAGAATTTTCAGGATTAGCTAGGCCAATTTAAGTTGTTTTGACTCGTTGTAATCGTCAGTTTTTTATCAATTGAATAACAAACCGAGAGTTTAAGTTCATAGGCTTTGTCTTGTGAATTTGGAGATCTTCCTAGCTGATTCTAGGAATTATCTTGAGCTTGTATCATTCAGTTATCTCCACTGTTCGTGGACAAGCATCTACCCTAAGTTTTCGAGCCTCTTTCCCTACGAGAAGGTTGCACGAAAATCACCATCCCAACTCGAACTCCAAACTCCGTTTTTGAGTTCTTCTTTGAATTAAATTCAATCCTTGATTGAATTCGTTGCTGCGTTTTCTCTTATCCAAGCTACCCAATTAGGGGCTTATCAGCAAACTAAAACATCATAGTAACTAGAGGAAAGAAAGAAAAAACGATTCTCGTAGTAACGGCGAGCGAAATGGGAGCAGCCTAAGCCACGAGTTTGTGGGAGAGAAATACAAGCGTCGTGTTGCTAGACGAAGCAGTGGAGTACTGCACCCTAGATGAAAAAAGTCTTGTATCCAAAAGCATCACTGACTTACACTTTGATGTGAGTAGCATGGGGCACATAGAATCCCATGTGAATCATCAAGACCTCCTTGCAAAGCTAAATACTCCTAGGTGACCAAGACTGAAGTAGTACCGTGAGGAAAGGGTGAAAAAACCACCCCAGCGGGGTTGAAATATAACATGAAACCGTAGGCTTCCAATCAAGGGGAGGAGACACGTGACTGTTGAAGAATAAGTCAGCAACTCATAGGCAGTGGCTTGGTTGAGGGAAGCCCACCAAAGTTGTAGCGAAAGTGAGTCTTCATAGGGAAATTGTCACTGCTTATGGACTTGAAACTAGGTGAAACTAAGTAGGGTTCGAACCGAATGATGCTAAAGAATCAACATATGAGTTGTGGTGAGGGGTAAAATGCCACTCGAACCTAGAGCTAGCTGGTTCTCCTCGAAATGTGTTAAGATGTTATAGTTGGCGGGAAATCTAGGGGTAAGCGTTGTTTTAGTGTGGATCGCGCAAGCTATACCAAATCAAGGCAAATTCTAATACCAAGGTTCAAGAAAACGTTGGGCATAAGGCGAGCGTTAAGGCTCTGCCTAGCGCCTAGCATGCTTAATATATCATGTGATTTTCGCGGGTAATGACCCATCCAAATCTTCGGGTGACAACGTTTGCGCCCAATGCCAGAAGTTCAAGAAAATTGATGACTGGATGACAGGGAGAGCCGACAATGGAACCCCCGGTGAACATCAGCCGTAACTCTCGAGTATGCATGATTTTGTACTGATCAACTTTGTTTAATATGTCAACAAACTAATCACTTGATTGCAATAACTCGAGTTGGGTAAAAGGGTTTGCTAATTGTTTTGATCTCCTATTGATTCAATACGGGAAAAGAAACAAGTAGAGCTCGTGCGACAGAATCAACGTGCCGCCAGATGATCCCCCGATCTGGGGAACGCCAAACTATTTAACGGGACAACTCGACAAAGAGACACAGGACAAAAATGATTAAATGACAACATATAGCAACGTGAAAGGACACTGATAGTAGGGTCTAAATCTGATGATGGACAGGTTTCTAGGACCACTACTGCAGCCTGCAGGACAGGGATCGCAGCAGGTCCAGGTTTACAATTATTGTGTGTGTTGGGGGATACAGAGAGCCGCAAGCCGTTTTCCGATAAATGAAGCCACCAACCCACCCTTCTTTCAGTTTCCATCATTCCAGTTGGAGCGAAAAGGGCAACCTCCTTACAGATCCAACAGCACGACAAAACCAAACCTAACTACCAACTGTAACGTAAGATTAACTGCAATGGTGATCATATTCGCATCAGGCATTTCGTGTCAATATAGGGTTTCAGTTGGCAGGAAACCCTCTGCTGCGGCCCGAGGCCTTCATTTCCATTAACTTGGAAGAGTTCATGGTGAATCTTCCTTAGCCATTAACCCATCTCACTATGATGTACTAAACAACAGTCATGTTGATGCGACTGCTCTGTGCGCTCCTGATTCCTAGCAACGATTGATTAGAAGAAATGAATACTTGGGCATGCGTTGTTAATTAATTACAACTCACTAAAATATCGAATTCACGGGGTCTCTATATTACATTACTCAGCTTTATTTTATTATTTAGCAAATCACATTAATATAAAAGAACTACAACTACGCTAACAAACTAAACTAAGATTAGACTAACCGGATCAATGATTGATGGTTCTCTAGCTTGATTCACTCTTCATTCATAATGCGGAGAATCCTTGACTAGACTTTGAATCTCGGCTAAAGCAATCAAGGCCCTCCTGATCCGATTGAGGGACATATCCTTCTCTAACACGACCGAGGCGTTCTACACTAGATTCCGTCTTTTGTGAGTTTCAACACAATACACAACATTGAATCGACTCACTCTCGTGTTATCGATCCCCTACTTCCAGTCGTCCATGTTGCTCAATTGACGTGATAAGGTGATCCCTCTCATAGAATCAATAATATTACCTAAAGCATAATTGAATAATGAAATCAAGCATAGATTGGATATGAACTCACGGATATCAAGATAGTGTACTCATACAATCATTCAATCAAGCTAAACATGACTAGAGTTCATCAAAACCTAAGTGAAGGAGAACTATTTCCATAAAGAGGCGAGAGAATACTATATGAAGCTCTAAATCTTCAATCTTCATGCCAAGACTTGTTCCTTGAGCTCCAATGGAGATGTAGACCTCCAATTTTGTGCCCACACAGCTCTAGATCGATTTCCCTCTCTTTGGAATGCCCCTTGGGTGTTTTTGGCCAAAAAACCTTGCTCTCCCCTCTCAAAATTTGTAGCAGCGGCTTTAAACCCGAAGCAGCAGCTAGAACACGCCTTGGGACATGATCAAAAGACAAACCGACTC